AGTCTTTGAAAAAAGACGAATTAATAAAGATGAAGGCTGAAAGCTTTCTTTCCTCAACAGCAGTTGAGTTATCGCTTTGGCATCGTTTTTGTTTTCTCTGTGTGTGCGCGAAAATTTTTGTTTTCGATCTCATTTTGTATGATTATCAAAGTTTTCGGCACAATTTTGAGCAAATAAGGCAAACCGGAAATTAAAGCAAGTCAAGCCCTGTGTGGAAATATGTAATCTTCGACGATTTTTGCTTGATGTCGGATAAATTTCGAATATCTGGGCGTGTTACGTCGTAATTCGAAAAGTTTTAATGTCACAGGATGTTACTGACGATTTTCGAGCGTGAAACGTGAAAAACTTGACTTTTACGCAGCCATCACCAAATTTTTGAGCTAATATCATGTCACAAAAGTTTTTCAGCCTTCAACTGGGAATAGGGTAATATTTGTCATGCAATTAAATGAGATGCACATCCGTGATAACTGAAATCCATAGTCAAATGTCATCAAACGCCGTTATTTGTCATTCGGATGGCGTGTATCGTCATTGTTTCCCGCACGATTATTCATCTTCCATTTGCCGCCCCCCGAATGACACCACGAACGATTGAACTGACGATAATGCGCGCATAATTCACGCGCGGAATCATCGCCATCGACTTGTTTGTTTATCTTTGAATAAATGAAACGAAAAACAATTGCGGCTATAAATATCGGCGCACGGCTAATAGTCTAAAAATATTTTAAGAGCGCGTGTAAACGCGTGCGTTTCGGCCTGCCGCCTCCACGGCTGTAAATCACGCCGCGCCGCTTTTATATTCAAATTCCACCGCCGCCCCCATGACCTACACACACCGTTTATTATTATTATTATTACGTATTTTCGTTTTTTTTGTTTCCGAATCACATCGGAAATGATTATTGTTATTAATAATAAACAGCACATTGTGAATTGAAATAAAACATTTGTTATGTAGGCAACCAACAATGCAATATGTGTATGTGGGTAGATGGCGTTAGCGCTAATTGATTGGCGTCCATCGGTCTAATCGACGCGCGGTGGTTGTGAATTGCGCTCACGCCTCGCCACGCCGCCACCGGGGGCCGAAATCCCTGCGCAATCAGTCAGACCGTCGACTGATTAGTATTCGACAGCGGGGCGCGTCGCTCGCTTCTTAATTGTTTCGTGGATTTCGTGCAATTATTTACTGTATTTACACGTGATTTACTCGAATTAACCTCAAACCCCCTCAGGTGTAAACAGCGAGTGGTTAATTAATTGCGCCGAAAGTCATTTGGCGAAAAATGCGAAAACTATTTGTTTTGGTGCTGCTCACTGACGCCATCTACTGTCTCCTACGCTGGTCTCCGCGATAAATTATTGTCAATGGCGTGGGATTTGCTGTTTTTCCGCTGGAGGTCATAAAATTTATTGACAAATGGATCGGCGTAGGTGAAATATACGTTCGTCCAAGGTGGATTACCGCTGGTTCTGGTTTTTTACGCTTTTCACTTCTAAGAATTTAAAACCGGACCTCAGCTCTAATCCTTAATCTGACGCGTGTTATAAATCACACGAGATGACCAAAACCTGCTGTCATCTTAAATATCCCTCTTAGATAAAAACATACAGTGTGTTTTTATGATTTTTATTCATCATGTGAGGTTATGTTTTGTGTTTATGTGAACATATGGTATATTTTGTTTTCTCGCTTGGTCGTTTGTTCTCGTTTCTCGTGGAGCGTGGCGGCGGCGCAAGTTATTTAGGTTTCTATTTCGGCTGTGCGGGCTTGGGGGCCATTGTCGTCGGGTTCGGGTTCAGGGGGCGATTGTTCGACGCGCGTTTATTTGTCCGAAATTACAAAGCGTGCAGCGTTGTAAAACACAATCGGCCATAATTCGCCTGCTTTTCTCATCCGCTTAAGAGGTACTACCATTTCCACCTCCCTTCTTAAAATTAGCAACATTAGTTTAAATCACATTCGTTTATTTTCGCATCGTGCGTCACTGGAATTATTTTTATTTTTATTTAGATTTACGCGCGCGGAACTAATTAGTTATTAAGATATCAGTAGGGTTTTGCATTCTTCAAAGTGTAGCGAATAAATAAATAAAAAATAAGGGCGCGATCGCGTGCGAACGCGATAAACAATTTCATGCGTTTTTTTTCTTCTACATAAAATATTAAATGTTTTCCACTGCAAGGAGACACACTGTATGTGTGTGTGTGTGTATAAGGGGGAAAATGTGTAAAGTTTTAGCTAAGAAGATTTTCCACGACAAAAGTTGCTTCGGCGTGCTCGCATTCCGCTTTTAATTAGATGTATTATTTAACATGTTGCCATATTTACTCTGCTTTCCGCCGCGGCCTGACACAGTGGAGGGCGGAATTTTAAGTCGGCGTATCTTTGCCGTTCGCATTTCGCATTTAATCTTTGCTCATCGGGAGCATAAAGAGAGGCGAACGAGAGCTTTTACTTTTATATGTTTAGTCTGCGCGGCAACCCTTTTCGCTTACATATTTTATTACGTGTATTTGCATAAATTATTTAGATATATATGAAGCTTTATATCTTTGAATTTAATACTTTTTTATCATTTCGAAGGGGAATTTCAATGGGAAAAACTATTTTTTCATGGGAAAAGTGAAATATTACACATTTTTACGATTTTTTCAGTTTCGGGAAATTTTTATGAGGGAAATTTAATTGTCAAAACGTTGTTTTTGGTATTTTTTATTAGAAAAAATCACAATAATTGATTTTTGTTATTTTTACGCAATTTACGAGTTTTTGGGAATTAATTTTTGGAAAATTTGAATGTCAAACACTGTTTTTTCCATTATTTTGCCCGAAAAACCCAAAAAAATCTATTTTCCATGATAAGGATTAATTTGAGTGTCAAAATGTAGTTTTTGCATTTTTGTGAATTTCCCCCGTAATTTAAAATGAATATCCTTCATGTTTGGCATCACGTAACATACTTATTACATTATTGCGTTGCGGTTTTCGGCTTCGCAGAGGGTTGTGAAATGTTTGTTTGATTCGATGCGTGTTCCGCTGCTTCATAAATACTCGAGAAACCCTTTTTTCGGTCGCGCCTTGCCAAAAATAGCGGCGCATCGAAAGCACATCAAAACGATGTCGCGAGACGTCTCGCAATCGAAATGGACCAGATGCGGACGACGGAGATATAACGCGACACTTTAATAATTCACGCCGGCCGAACCGTAAAACCAGATGAGCCACTGCCACCCACACACTCGCACGCATACCACCACCCTTGCGTTCAAAAAAGGAAATAAGTTTGTCTCGTAAAAAAATAACTCAATTTTCAGCGGGAGGAATATCTTATATATAACGGGTAATTATTAGGTTGTTTTAACTTTACGACGACTTTGTGGGGTAATTATTTTAATAACTTTAACGTTTTCACCCCATTCGATATTCTTCTTCGTTACCTGCGGCGGTGTGGCGGCATGTGTGGGTGCGGAGGAACAAATTCACATCTTGACTCTCCTTCAGACATTTATCTACATTATTCGCGACTTCCTTGCAACATTGGAAGTGTCTTGTATGCTCGGAAGTTTGTCGGTTGCCCGTGGCGACAATACCAATTGGCGGGGCCAAAGTTCACTGCTGCTTTGCTTCCAAATAGCGCTTTCGCATCTTTTCGCCTAGGAAAATGCCGGTTTGTGTGTTGAGCGCTGCGAGTGAGTCTAGGGTGGAGCTTTTAAAAGCTTTTGGCAATTTTGCGATGCATATTACACACGCTGGTGTGCGTGCTGCGCACGCAGGAATGCCATTTTCGAAATTAAAATATAACCCAGCTGAAAAATTACCAAAACACACAAGTTTATTAATTACACCCACATACACATAGAGAAAAAAAATATAAACACTTTGCTTCCGTATGCGTCTGTAGTCACAGAAGAAGTAACAATGAAGTAGAATGGCGGGAAGTTTAAAATGGCTGAAAGTATAGTCTATGGAAGTATAGTGTACAGTCTCCATAGTGTAGTCAATTGGATTTGATGTTGACGTAGCTGTCGGTAATACAGTGTGATAATACAGTGTGATGGTACTATAGTACTTAGGTTTGAGCTTCATTTCTAGAATGCTAGATGGCGTTAAAGTAGTCAAATAGCCAGATGCAGAGGTATTATTGGCTAAACAATTTCTTTATTTTATTTAAAAAATAATTATTTTTATTAAATAAAAAGTAGCCTATAACCATTCGGGGACCACTAAGAATATGTGTACAAATTTTCATGATGATCTGTTAAGTAGTTTTTGCGTAAAAGTGTAACAAACATTAGGACTTTCGCATTTATAATATTAGTAGGGATTTAAATGGAATATAAAGTTTGCTTTTGAATATATTCGATGGAGTAAATAGAAAATAAACAGTAAAAAGTAACACATGAGAAAATAAAAATAAATCGCAGTTCGTTTCAGCGAAGTTGTGCGCGAACGGAGTTTGCAAAAACGTGCGCGCCGCCATTGTGTAGCGAGCGCGAGAGATAAAAATATCTTAAGCGAGTTATCGATGCAGAAGTGGAAGCCATGAATCGGGAAAAAGTCGAGGAAACTCAAGTCGCGTGTGCAAGCCAAATCGGACGAGACGAAATATTTCCAAATCGACAAGACAAACGTGTTTAGAATATCGAATCGTTGAAATAACAGACGTAAAGCAAGCAAAGCCGACAGGGAAAAAAAGTTTTTCCAGCCGGATGTATGTTTAAGTTATTAATTCTTGTGGCGGTTTATTTTTGCATTTTTTGAACGTGTGCCGCGACACCTTTATCGACACTTATTTACGAGGCGCTGTAAACAATGTCGTACACGAGGGGTGCTTATATTACACTTATTACTTGTGTGTGACGTTATGACGTTCGTTTTGCATTCGGGAAAACGTCATTCCGCATGCGATTTGATTTGTGAACAAAAAAACAAAAACTTGATTTTTTTTCATATTTTTCTTGATATGTAATGTTTTATTTTGTTGTAGATGGTGAACCTATCAAGTTACCGGAAAATTTGGAAAGTCTCCCGCGTGCTGATCATTTTCCCACGCAGCGACACCGATGGAACACTAATGAAGTAAGTGATTTTTTTATTTTTTTGCGTAAAATTTAAAAACGCGTTTTTAATTGAATAAACCGCCAGAAATGAAAAAATAACATCCGCGCGATTGAAAAATAACACACGTACAACCAAAATAAATTATTATATTGTTATTTTGGGTGAAATAAAAATTTATTTCTCCAACTCTGACTCTGGTTAGAAAGGGTTTTAACCGTCATAATGCGAAGTTAATACGGCGGAAATAATTAATAAACCGGAAACGGGATTCATTGCGTTCGGTTTGCCCTCTCGAACTCCACGCCTGCGGCCTTCGACTTTCCGTGGAAAAGGGGTTAAACACCCTCCACACCCGCCAGTAAACTTAACTTAAACTTTGTGTCTTTCTTAATATTTCTTCAAGGATCGCGGCAGAAAAAAGTTGTGTATAGTGTTCGGCTGGAACAGTCATTAGCGAGACTGGCGGGCAAAAATAGAAAGTTTTCGTAATAATAATCATGCGAGCGTGAGTGGGGTTAAACGTGCATTGGGGGTGATGCGTTCATTACCCGAAAGTTTTTCCGCAGCCGCACGCAAAATTGTTATTAATGTGCGCGCGTAACGAGAATAGGGAAATCGTAGGATATCCTGTGATTTGGACCGATTTGAAGAAATCGACTAAAGTTTACCATTTACGGATGGTTAAAATAACATTACACACGGGGAGAAATATTGGTGGTATTTGTGTCAAAGTGTTAAAAACCGGAACAAACATGCAGTGGGAAATAATTTGCGTGCGCGGTGGAATTGCAGTTGCGTTTTATTTTTTAAATAAAGCGCTCACATCATCGCGTAATGCAATAAATGCAATATTGTACAATAAGTTGTTTTTTTTCTGTTGGAATTTATGGGTTTAGTCAATCCAATCCGGCTATGTGTGTAAAAATGTAATAAGAGAAAATAGCAGTTTACAAGGTGTATAGCATATCGGTAATTACACTTATTGCGAATTGTGTTAAATTTTTAATTTTTTGTTACTCTGGACACATTGTATGTTGAATTGTTCCACTTTAGAGGTGGTGGTGGTTACAAGAGGCGACGGTGTGTACGACAACATGTTCGTCGGTGTGTATGAATGCGATATTTATAATTTTCCGGTGACATGCGAACTCTGCTCTCCGGAAAAGCCGGAAAACTCGCGGCTCAAATGCTTGAAATACCTCCGCGTGCGCGCGTGCACGACCCACGAAACAAAAAAAAAACCAACCAGCAGGCGGCTACAACCAACACCCACAGCACCTCAAGGCAAAACGACGAAGTTTACATGGCTTGGAATTGCGGAAATTACGAAATAAACAATTGAACACAACGACACATAAACAGGAAATGCAATTTTTTCGCAACACATTTAAATCCCGACACACCGGATAGTTTTGGTGTGGTTTTAAGTTGATAGATGTCGGGATTATTAAAATTGCTCGCGTGAATAATTAATTTTCAATTGTGCTATTGTGCATCTGGTTTTAACGATGCGAGCCTCGGAGATTGATTCAATCGGTAATTATTATTGTTTACCAATTGGACTTTTGGAATGTGCGAATTCCCGTCGGGCGACATGTGCGCCGATAATAATTTGCACATTTTCATAATTTATTTTCGTAATGAGCACGCGCGCTAGTTTACAACTTGCGAGGTAATAAATGTTATTTGTTGCTGCGCACAGATGTCATTTGATAAAATTTCGAACCAAAAAAAAAGTCACGTTTTATTGCTCGTCAAACATGAACATTGTCTCTGCGCGCGTTTGTTAAGTTGAATATGGCGTAATTTATTTTTTTCATCCCCTTGGGCGTGGGGTTTTCCACTCGTGTGTGGACACTGCGTAATTAAAACTAATAATTCGTGTTTGCGCACCCCGTACGCGCGCATAAACGAGCCGCAAGGGGTCGCGATGAACGCTTACGATAAAATTTTGTCAGAAAAATAATTTTGTTTGATTTTGAGCGAATTTTTATTTTTTTTTTTTCGCTTTGTGTGAATATATTTAAGGGGTAAATTGACGCAAAAACGCACGGGCACGTGGCGAGATGTTTAATGCACGACTTGGGCAAGGAAAAAGAAGAAAACCTCCCTGAAGAGTACGAAATTGCGTATTCAAACCCCACGTGCCCACACGAAGCAAACATATTAATTCAACGTTTTTCATATTTTTCGGGGCCGCTTTGTTTGGTTTGCGTATGTCGCACGACGAAATTAATTTTCTAAACACAAACAACGTCTCCACGGGTTTGTTATATGCAATAATTTAAAATTAATTGCTAAAAAATGAGTTTTTAAGTTTTATTGAAATTAGCGCCGGGGGCGGAAATGCCGTGCCGCCATCTTGATACGCACGTGTGCTGGTATTATTTTAATGCGTGAGTTAAAATGTCAAGATTGCAAAGATTCCGAAGAGCAGCAACCCTTGCCTTGCTTGGGTCTTGTCGAGGCTTTGTTTTCGCAGGAATTAGTGCGGCATTAGCGCCCTCTTTGTTGCTGTCACGGGCGTTAATTGCGGTTTACCCTACGCACACCAAAAACAATTCCTTTGATGTGTGAAACAACGCGCGTTTTATTTTTTACACTTTCCCACATCAAAAAACGTGAAATAATTCCCATGATGCACGAAATATCGAAAATCCAAAGTGCTACTTAATTATTGCGATTCGAGCGCGTTGTGTGTGTTTGTGTGTTGTTGTTTGGTCGATTATTCAATTTCCGGCGGCGAGTGCGTTTTGATTACCTACGTGCGCCCGTGACCATGATGCTGCGGTTTTAATTGTGGTCGTGCGCAAATATTTTTTGCCCTTTTGCACAATTATTAATGCATTATTTGTTATATCAAGCGATATGATTTTTTGATGAGCCTTTTATGGCACTAAAAATAAAATTGGGCGGATGGTGGGGGTAGATTGCAATACATCAAAGAATTAATCAACTTGTCGACTCGCCTGCGCGCTTAATTAACGGGGATTTTCAACGATTGTAAATCATTCGGTGTGTTTCGCAAAAAACTACCCCTCGACGCTAATTATACAAATGTTCCGCTTTCGTCATTGAGCGCATTTACCAACACGCATTCCGCATACAGTGTGTTTAGTTTTTCTAAATTTAGAAAAGCGGTGTAAATCAGAGTGGAAGAAAAGTGGCGGAAAAGCGTGCGGTGCACGTGCGCTAATTAATAACAAATCGCTTCCACTTTCCACGTTCGGAAAGTGGAAACATCAGGCGGTGATTTTCGGTGATTTATTTGACCCTCGAAATGGGAATAAAAATCGTAAAATCAATGCAATTTTTGCGCTGTTTTCTGATTAAATTTTGGATGATTATTAAGGTAATCGTATTTTATGCAATAAAAAATCGCAATAATTTTGAGTTATGTTCGAATTTCGTCATGGGAACGATTTCGAGTTTCCTCAACGACGCTAACGATCTGCACGAGGGCCCCACGTTCTTACAAACACGTCCGGCGTACGATTATGACAACGATAAGTTTGGGGATTAAAGAACTAACTGAAGAAGAATTCGCCGCTCGGTTCAGTCGTCATCGTTCCGGGGGCACGTCGCGCTCGTTTCGCAATAATAAACTACGGCGGAGGGATGCATATTCATGAAGTCGACAATCCGCCAATTCTTGGGGGTACAGTTTGTGAAAATATTTGCGCGCGCAAGCGGAATATTTCCTCTGCTGTTTGGGTTGCCTATCAAAAAATAGCCTAGAATCAGATTTCTTTTGATACACTATCCGAATGCAATAATTCAAAAATGGAATTGTGTTTCTATTCTCTATCTGTGTGTATGTGAATGTAAATTATTAATATTCATACATCCGAGCAGGCAACCCACAACACCCGAAGTTGAGGTATAGAATTCGAGAGTTTTACACTCTGGAGCACTGAGAGTTAGACAACACATGCATAATGAATGTCGGAATGTCGGCGGCTTACTGTTTTGATTAGTTTTAAATAAATTTGCGAAATTACTTTCGGTCAACTCCCGCGCGTATTAATTCACATCTACTCGAGCACAGATGGCGCGCACTGCAGCTTTTTACATACGGGTTGATTACGTTTACGGTGGAAAAACATGTTCGAGGGGGTGAAGGTGATTTACACCGTACATCATGTGCGTTGCTTTTGACTCGTAACAGAAGTGCTGCCACCGCCGCCGCCGCTTAATCATCATCTGTCTTGTCGTGCGTACAAGACGCACAAACACGACGCGATGCAAATTTATATCAATAACATCCGCTGCGTGTGTGTGTTTTTTGGTTATTTACAAATTACGAAATTTCTCATGCGGAATGTTTACGTTTCGGGCGGGAAAAATTGCGGTAATTAATTAATTAATTAAACACAACATGTTTTTGTCTGCCTTAGACACTTATTCCCCGGAATAGTGAGTAACAGGTGAGGCGGCGGCGCAACTATTTGCGTTTTGTTTGTTCGCGGCGTGCGCGTTTCGCTTTTGTTTAGATAAACGCGTGCCTGAAACAACAACTTGAGCAAACACTCTGTGTTTCGGTTGTAGCCACAAACAACAAACGGAATACGCCCAAGACAATAAACGCAAAAAGTATTCGGATACATGTATATTGAGCATGTGGTGCCATCTGGTGGGAAATAGCCACGCACATAAACACATGTTTAAGGACACATTAAGACGTTTTAAGACGGTCGTTGCGACTCTTGTCCAGGGTTTATTAAGGAATCCATTAGTGGTTGTTTGTGGTATTTGCGTAAGGGATAGATATAAATTTGTTTTAATTAAAATTAAACATTTTACGTTTATTTACCACGACGAATATTGCTTTTACTAGGATAAAGGACGTTGTCTTTAAAATGCCGGGTATTCTGGTGGAACGTATGCGCTTATGACAGGACTACTCATGGCCGAATTTAAATAATTGTCCTATCGTTCTGACCCAAGGATAACGCGCGCTTTTGGATTTCTCCTTATCGCTGTGGTCCCGCGCTGCGCAGAAATTCCCAACATTTGCATTTAGAATATCCACAAATTTAATTAATCAAAATTCGAAATATGGACACAATTTTATTCGGTTTTTCTTGTCTCTGCACACATGTGTTTGTTTGCTCGCGAAATATTTTCCCTACTCGGGTGTTATAAGTCATTTATTATGGCGGAGGCGCCCCCGAAAACAGGACTCGAGGAGAGAAAAAAAAAGTCGGAAATAATAATTTATCATTTTGATGCGAGCGGGCGGACGATAAAGAGTTCCCCGCACAATTTTCAAGCGGCGACGACGCCCGCCGCCGTCCGGAAGTGGCAGTCGTGCAGCGTGCAGTCCTTCAATTTATATTTATATTCGTGCGCTGCTTAAAGGCGTTCTTTGAAACTGCTTAAAAGTCATAAAAACTCCGGCAACGACTCCGAGGAAGCTGCTAGAGATATTCGAGAGGAGAAATGTGTATCGCGGAGCTCTACATTACCGACATTCAATATTTTTTGACTTACTCGCTGCCGGCGGGCACTAGTTGAGGAGTTGAGGAGTTTCAGGTTGTTTAATTTCGCAACTTTTTTGTTTCTCATTTCGAAAATATGATAAATACACTTTTGTGTGCATATTTGTGAGTAGAAAAGTTTGCAGTCATTTTTTATCATTTCTTTGATTAGGTTTTCCTGCTTGTTGAGAATGTAAAATTAGTCTCGTTTACTTGGACTTGAATATTTCGCTCTCTCGCATATTTTCTTTGTTGGAAGTTTATTTCTGGAGTGTGTAAGACCGCAAAGTTTCAGTTTGCATACATGCCATACGAACCATGTGCACACTCAAAGCATGGAATGGGGGTGGAATTCCTGGCAGCGCAAGGGAATGCAAAGTGAGGGGATGCACGACGAAAATCGATGGCTCGGTGGGTGCCCGTGACCTAACTAACCTTAAAATTTATTCATACGAAAATAATTACACCATAACATACGAGTTTTTCTCCTCGCGGAGTTTTGCTATTTTCTTCTGTGGATTTTTTTGCGAAAGATGCGAAATGCCTATTGGGCCGTAAAGCTTTTACGATTGTCGAGATCGAGCTTTGAGCATTCTGTTCTACACAAGCGCCGTCGTGACATTAATGTCGTGCTTTCAACGATTGCTTTCATGCTTTCAACTTTCACCCTTTGCACTTGGGGAAGCACTCGACTTGGACTTTGGCAAAAAAACACATGAAAAATTCAGAGATAGGTGATTTTGGAATTTTCAAAGTTTTCTCCTGTTTCAAAATGTTATTTTAAGAAGTTTTACATAATTCGTATCAATATTCCGCCGTAATTATCGCCTCGATTACGATATCCATTCCCTGGAGAGGCGTGTGAAGATAATGAGATCGACGAAAATTGTAAACGAGGAAAATAGAGAGTGCATTTGCAATGCAAATTCGCGAAAGTAAAAAGTAGCGCGGCGCGTTTTGTTGGAAACAAAAGCAGACAGGAGGACGACAGGAAAGGGTTGTGACAAGACGACGGGCCGCGACAAAGGCGAAGAAAACGAGAACGAGTCGCCGCGCCATCAGCCGATTAATTACAAAAATAAATTTGTGCAAAACGGATGCAAATTAATTCACAACTCGCGGCAGCCTCTATTTTATATCTATATACGCGCGCGGGAAAAACGATAAAAGAGATAATGAACGCCAAAATGTGATATTAACAACTGAATATTAATTAGATTATAATTTAATAAATTTATATATTTCTTTTAGATTATTTAATAAAAGCGCGGAGTACAAGTGTGCGGAATGTTCGTTTCAGTCAGCGATTTTTACCACCTCATCCCCCTGCGGGCTATGATCGCTTTTGTCGTCGCCAAACGCTTTTTCACTTCCTTCATCCCGCCGCTATATATGAAACGAAACAGACATTTCTCTAAACTAAACTCGAGTCAAGGTTATGTCTCGAAGCTTCGAAGAGCTCGACAAGTCAGAGAATAAAACGAATAACGAAAGAGATTTCAATATCTTGCATCAGCATTCTTCTGCGCGGGGATGCTAGCGCTAGCGTCCCGAAATGTCGCCGAGTATAGTAAGTGATAAAAGTGGTAAAGGCGATAAAAAGATCATAAACTTATCGGCGGCGGTAATATTTTTATTTCGCGATTTTTCCGCTCATATTCCAACGCTACTCCTTTTACTTTTGTTTCCGACGCGTAGATGGCGCTACTTTATTATTTCTAGCATTGCTTTATTTTTTTCAAGCGGGTGGAGAGGGGTTGTAGGAAAATTTATGACGATATAAGTTTCGCTTCGACGTCGTTTACTAACCGCAAGCGGAAAATGTGTAACATGCTACCGTGTGGATGTCGAGAATATAGTATTTGAGTATTTGAATGCTATAAAGTTATTGCCAATATTTTACAGTATGCACTCGGTAGATTCAGAGCCAAAGGGGGCACTGGATTCGCTTTTTTCGCTTCTGAGCACAATACATCATTATTTATCTTTCCGCGCGGATGGGCCGCAAAAATTCGGCGAGCGCTCTCCTTGCCGAAAACAGGACGAGGTTGGAAAATAAAAAATCATAGAGGACATGCCCCGGCAGCGTGTGTATAAAATTTAGTAATGAAAATGAGAGAAAAACGGAAGAGTGGACAAATTAGTGTGTTTGCCCGATCGAAGCGGACGCAGAGATTGTATCGAGGACTAAAACGAGTTGGATTGTATCTTTATTTCGGCGATTGTATTATCCCTCGCATTTCGCGAAGACATAAAAGCATTTTATGTTTTATTATGTCACTGCTTGATCCTTAATTCCAAGGATTACCAGTATACAGGAGGAAACAAAAAGTATTTCTTTAAAAACACGTCGAAACTTTAAAGTGAAATGATCAGCTTGTTATTCTTGTTGTGTTATTTTTATTGCTTCTGACATATTATCGTGTGACAACACCCAGGATGTCGAATAATCCTGGTCGTTATCTGTTTAGCGCTTCATTATCCCGCTGTTTTCGCTCTGGCGTTGCACTGGCGGAGCGTAAAGCTCTCAAAATTGCAATGTTCGTGCGCTGCGAAAATTAAGAAAATTATGCCTTCGTCAAGGATTGCGGTCGAAAGTCGCGCGCGACATTCCATCATGCGCCGACATTTGAACATCTGGTCATAAACTTATACTAGTATATATATCCGGAAGTTGCAAGTCGGAAAACCGGAAAGCTGGAAATAAAAAGCGAATAAAAGCAAGTCAAGTACGTAAAGTTTGTTATTTTCGTGCAAACTTTATGATATGGCAGTCGGAGGACACTTGCAATTCCATTCCGATTTCCGTTTATTCGATTTTCCGTATTTGAGAGCACGGCACATGTCAAAGGAACACAATAACGCCGGGATTAAACTCTGAGGGCTTGCAATATTGCGTTTTTGGCATTAAATGAAAGTTGAGACATTTAACAAGTAATTAGTTAAGGGTATGATTTATTTTACAACACAACTTTAATCCCCTTGCGCATTGAGATGTAAATCAGCGCAAACAGTAATAAATTTTTTATTTGAGCACTAATTAAAGACGCATTATAAAAATGTGAACGGGTATGCATGAAACGTGCAAGCGAACAAGCGGAAACATTAATTTCGAATTCGGCCTCGTGTGCACCGCCATTCACACGGGTGATTTGTGTGCGCACGGAAAAGTTCAAAAGAAGCTCGCGCCAAAAATAAGTCAAATCGATGGCGGGCGGCGGGCGGAGGTTCGCGTCGCCGTTAATTGCGCAGATGTAAATTACGGCCGCTTCCGGTTGAGATAGCGAACACGACAATATTATTGTGTGGACTTATGCTGTTTGTGTTTGTTGGGTTGCAGGAAATCGCCGCCATCTTGATCAGTTTTGACAGACACTCGGAATGGCAAAGCAAGGAGGTCAAAATCAGGTAAGGCAATTTTACCACTGCACCTTTTTTTATTTAAGCATAATGAACTTTTTTATTGCTGCAAATTATATTTTTACGAGATGCGTTTTTTACTGTTTTATGTTTTTTTGTTAATTATTCCTTATCGTGACGAAAGAAAGTTATGATTGTTGAATTTTGTGTGTTTGCAGACCAAAAAGCGGTTCTATGTTGCTCTACAGTCGGAAGAAGGTGCGCTATCGCCGCGATGGGTACTGCTGGAAGAAGCGGAAGGATGGCAAGACAACGCGCGAGGACCATATGAAACTGAAAGTACAAGGCACAGAAGTAAGTTAATAAAGCAATTTTGAGTTTCTCTACGTTAATTTGAAGTTTAAGAGACCTTCTACAACGTGTATGCCCTTTCTATACTCTATATCCGTTGGAAGTGGCCTAAAATGCATCTTAAAAAATCTGTATTTTTGGTATATTTTTTATTTTTCAGTCGGAAAACAAGGCCGATTATGTCTGGAACCAATTAATTTCGGAGTCGAGATGCCGAGCCGAATTTGTATTCTAATTTTATTTTTTGGCTGAAGAACAGGGTCGACCTTTTTTAAAAAATTATTTTCGGTCGAAAGACAGGGTCGAACTTTTTTAAAAAATTATTTTCGGTCGAAAGACAGTGTCGAACTTTTTTTATTCTCGAAAGACAGGGTCGAATAAAAATTAAAAGACGAAACGAAAAGCCTTTTTTGACGAAATTTTTATGACCTCAAAAAAAATTGAAATTTCTTTTGCGAGTTTTAAACACTTTATCTTAGTAAATTTTTGTTCTAAGATGCATCGTTTAGATAATAATCACGATAATAAATTTCGTTTTAGTGCGAAGTCAAAATTTTTGTTAAAATTGCCAATAGGGCCTAAACGGTCACTGCTAGAGGATAATTGTCCTGAAATAAATTAATTAGAATTCAATAAGCTATCCGAATCCGAAATCAGAATTTGAAAATTCGCATTTTTAATTCTGCATAAAAAAATGAAAAAGTTTTGCCTTTTTTTTGACGAAATCTTTTCACGGTTTATGTTTTTTATAGCATAAGTTTAAAAATTGGAATTTTGAAATTTTTTTTTCGGATAATGATAAAACAGTATATTATAAGTAATTTATTTTAGTAAAATTTTCTTATACAACCCTTATTTAAGGCCCTAGTGACGCCAATTGATAGGAACCAAAGATACCGAATATCTTCTAAACTAAACGTCTCATTCTAATAATTTACTAAGATATTTTGTTTAAATAATTGTCTTCTTTCATAATCTGCAATAAAATCTATAGTTTTTTTAATTTATTAAAAATTGTAAATAATTACGTAAAATATGGCGGAGGCGCCTGACATTTAATTACGTAATTCTAATTATTTTTAAGTACTAATACTAGTATTGTGTAGAGGAGCTTTTAATTACCTTATAAACATATCTTTTCATTCATTAATACTTGCCGTTTACCCTGTAGACGTATTTATATAGAACGTGTATTTCTATCGACACTTAATTACCGATTATCTAAGAAACTAATAGAGATAATCAAAAACGGAAAACGGCATAACGTCCAGGGAACAATTCTACATATAATAAGATTTTAAAATTTTTACTTTTGAGAGAGGGAAATGCAATTTTCCGACGCGATTTTCTCGGAAAGTATGAAAGATGCAAAAAAACTTTTTGCACTTTTTTCATGTCATGATAAGGATCTATTAAATGGCAGATTTAGTTTTTTGATTCTGAGAAGTTGATCAAAACGCCTCGAAAAATATCAAGAGGTTACACTTACCGATTTTGTGGGTCAAAAATTAAATTATCAGCTAGAAGAAAATGGAAAACGCCATTCGATAGAGCCTTGTAATGTGATGAAAGATATCCAGTCAGTTTTCCGATAACACCAATATTTCCCAAATTACCTGTGAAAATTGAAACAGGCCAAAAAGAACCACTACTCAGATTTTTTCAAATTTTCCAATATGATGTAGAATGATGCCCAGAATCCATTTATCAATGTTTTGTTCCGATATCTTAATTAGTTTATGAGTTATTGACCATTTTCAATTATTACATAAGTATTGAAAATTTAAATTTATTAAGCGTTACATGATGTATAATTATGTTCTGAATCCAAATTTGAAAACAGTTTTTCTTTATCTTGATTAGTTTGTGAGATAAGTGCGATAAACTGGATTTTCAGTTTTCTCCATCATTTCTTATGAGAAAAGTGAAATTTGAAAATTTAAATTTTTATTACTGATTATTATAGAAATCAGTCTTCTAAACAAAATATTTTAGCAACATTTTTTATTTAAGCTTTTAGTTTAGAAGATATATACATAAAACTGTTAAATTTTGTTTAAATCAAACTTTGTCATTAGGGCCTAAACTAATGACTGTAGGAGAAAACTTTACTAAAATAAATCATTTAAAATGTTCTGTTTAATCACATTCCGAAGAAAAAATTTCAAAATTCCAAAATTTAATTTTTTAACATAAAAAACATAAACCGTGAAAAGATTTCGTCATAAAAAAGGCAAAACTTTTTCGGTTTTTTATGCAGAACTAAAGATTCGAAATTTTCAATTCTGATTTCGGATTCTAATAGCATATTTAATTATTATTAAATTATTTAAGAACGATTATATTCTAGCAGTGATAGTTTAGGCCCTATTGACAATTTTAAAGAAAAATTTGACTTCGCATGAAAACGGATTTTACAATAGTGATTATTATCAAAACTATGCATCTTAGAACAAAATTTTATTAAGATAAAGTATTCAAAGTAACATTTACTTCAATGTTCTGAACAAAAAATATTAAATTTTTTATCAAATTAGTTTGACCCTGTCTTTCGGCCGAAAATAATTTTAAAATTAGTTCGACCCTGTCTTTCGACCAAAAATAATTTTAAAAATAAGTTCGACCCTGTCTTTCGACCGATAATAATCGGTTTCGGAAATAATCTGTTTGTTTTCCAACTGATAAATGAAAAATATCGAAAAAAATACCTATTTTCAAGACGAGTTTTAGGCCACATCCTAAGGATTTAGAAGGTAGAAAGGACATATACATTGTAGAGGGTCTCTTAAACTTCAAAATGACGCAGAGAAATTTAAAATTGCTTTATTAGTACAGGAGATATAGGGTGTTTTCCACAGCATGTTTTGAAAAATAACTAAAAACAGCATATTTTGATGTGCGTTTTAGGGCCCTTCCTAAGGGTTTAATCTATGGGCAATGTACGTACATTGTAAAGGGTCTCTTAAACAACAACTTGAAGTAAAGAAACTCTAAATTACTCTTGTAGTATAGAAGATATAGGGTGTTTTATATAGGATGAAAAATAGTGATAATAGTAATTTTTAATTGGCGATACAGGGCATTTTCTAAGGGTTTAGACTCTTAGAAAGGTATGGACTTTATAAAGGGTCACTTCAAGTATAACATGATATTGAGAAACAATAAATTGCTTGATTGGCACCAAAGATATAGGGTGTTTTCCAGAGCATATTTTGAAAAATAGTAAAAACAGCATGTTTTGATGGACACTTTAAGGTACTTCATGAATATTTAGGAGGTGGAAAAGGGGATACGCGTTGTAGAAAGTCTGAAGCAACAACATAGCGATGAATATCTCTAAATTGTTTCATTGGTACTCCTGATATAGGGTGTTTAAGGAGTGTGTTTGTCGGGTATGATTTTGTGTATATAGTTATGTAAATACGACTTGCGTCGGCTGGATAAACGACCAAAAAACGTCCGACGAAAGGGATAAGTGTTTTTTAATGTACGGCAATTCATCATTTAGACACAAGTGCTTTCATTTTACATTTAATCACGGTGTCCAAGCCGGCGAGATTTTATTAAAAACGTTTTATTAAATTTCCATGATAAACAACTTTTGTTTCTGACTTTTTAGTGCATTTACGGTTGCTATGTCCACTCAGCAATTCTGCCCACGTTCCATCGACGATGTTACTGGCTTTTGCAGGTGGGTGACACTTATTGCCTAATTAATACAAGAATAAGGCTTCAGCATGTTGTTTTACATTGCTAGTAAAGTGGTAAAGGTAACAGCTAGTATTTAATCTGATTATAGAATCCGGACATTGTCCTCGTACATTATCTGAATGTACCGTATCCGGACGACAACAAATTAGCGGTGATCACGCCTAATCTGGCGTTGTGGGCGGACAAGAAAGAGTGGACGAAAGACGAGCTCGTTTCACAGCTGAAACCAATGTTTTTAGTGAGGACGAACCGGATCTCAACAACGAATTAGAAATATCAGTATGTTTAAATATTATGCCCTTAGTAAACCATATTTTACATTCGTTATTTTTGCGTTGGATAGAAATTCAATCTGCAAACAGCAGAAACGGTGGAGGCGATTGTAAGTCAACTCATGGAAAAGCAGAGGGTTGCTCGGCAGGCAGCGTTAGTGAAGCAACTGGAATGTGGTTGTCCAGATTCAACGTGCGCTGATGGGAAAACTTGCTCGCATCCGATGAGGCGAATCACTTCCGCCAAACCTACTGAGTCACTTGCGGTTAACGCTAGTGGATCAGCCCCTAATAATAACTCTCGTCCACCAAGTCGCGCTGACAACAACAATCAAGTTTCATCTACAACCGGCACTGGAAACGCCAGTTCGTTGCATTTGAACAATCATAATGCGCCGAGGGTGTACTCAAGGGACGCGCGGGCCCATGCGCAAGCACTCAGCAGATGCTCCTCTTCTAGTAACTCCTCAACACCCCCGTTGGTCCTCTCATTGTCGCAAATTCAGGGCGGTGGAGGGCTCATCATTCTCAACAGTGGAAATGCATCCGGCAGCAATCAAAACACACCGGTGTCTGTTGCAGGATTTGTTTGTAATACCAATGCTACACCCACGGTTACACCTACCAACACCAGGCATAAGGAGAAGGTAGCACAGGCTATGCAGATGAAGCAGGAGGAAATGAAAATGGACTGCCATCCAGGTAATCCAAAGAAGAATAACAACAACAGCAGCAGTAACAACGAAGCGATGAGACAATCACAATCACTCTTCGACTATCGTGCGCAACAGATGCCCACCACTCAAGAGGTCATCATGTCCAGTGCGCCATCCACACCTTCGAAACAAATGGATACCAGTCATGAATCGGACGTCCAGCTGGAGAATCAATTCGGCGAGACAGTTGTCCTCTTGGGGAGTGGTCATGCGAATGATAGAGGCATGAAGCAGTTGAATTTTTTCAACGAGACCCTGGACCTTAGCCAGGAAGATATTCAGCGTACCCTTTCGGCAAACATGCCCAATTCAAACGGGGAAAAGGGACAGTTGAACACGAGCATCACCAAGTGCAACAACATGGCCGCCAACATCAGCAGAACCACGCCCATCAACCACAACATCACGATACGATGTCTGGTGAGCTGAATCCAATGGATTTCATTGATTGTTCTGTTGTGGTATCACCAACTCATGTAGTTGATGATGACGTGTTTGTGAATTTGGACGCGTTTGATATGCTGGGGGAGTTTCCCGATTTGGTCGAGGGGCTGGATTCAGCACATAATGTTTTGCTGGATGTTAATCCGTCCGTGCGGGATAAGACCCTTTCCGAAGGGCAAATCACGCAAATCAGCGCTCAAAGTCAAATGGATGGAGCGGCAAAGATTACAGATTACTCACCAGAATGGGCGTATCCCGAAGGAGGAGTTAAAGTACTGGTCACTGGTCCGTGGCATTCTTCCGGGCCATATACGGTCTTGTTTGATACGTTTCCGGTACCTACCACACTTGTGCAAAGTGGTGTTTTGCGCTGTTATTGTCCAGGTATGTCGTGTTGTCTTCTGTTGTTGTTTGAATTGACTTAAATTGATTTGTAGCACACGAAGCGGGCTTGGCTACCCTGCAGGTCGCATGCGACGGCTTCGTCATATCGAACTCTGTGATATTCGAGTACAAGCTGCCCCCTCGCGACGAGTCTGCGTTCGCCGCCGAGCCGAAAGTGGAGCGCTCCAACGATAACCTGCTCAAATTCACGCTCCTGCAGCGGCTGGAGGCGATGGATGATCGATTGCAAATCAAGCAGGAACCACCGGATGGAAGTGATTTGCCCGAGGATACGGCGTTGTTTACGACGCCGAATTTTGAGGACCGGCTAGTGAACTACTGCCAGACGATGTCGGCGCGCCTATGGCGGCACGGCGAGGAGCTGAGCGTCGCCTGGTTCGCTAGCCACAAGGGCATGACGCTCCTCCATCTTGCCGCCTCTTTGGGATACGCGCGACTCGTCTGTGCAATGTTGCACTGGCGTGCAGAGAACTCTTCTCTCCTGTTAGAAACAGAAGTAGATGCGCTTAGTCAGGACGAGGATGGTCGGACTCCACTGGTAAGGACCTACCCCACCCCTTACAGAATAATAAAAATAATCCCGCTTTTTTATTATTATAGATGTGGGCTTGTTCACGAGGGCATACAGACACAGCTGTAATGTTGTACAAGTGGAACCACACCGCACTCAACATGAAGTGCGTGTCTGGTTACACGCCCTTGGATTGCGCGCGGACGAATAACCATCAGGACCTTGTGCAGGAATTAGAAAAATTAGAGACACGCCGCGATAAGGTCAACATGTTGCTGCAGAGTCAAATCCAAGGCGATAATAATGTCATGCTGTCATCAGGGGCAATATCCCCAGCAAGTTCTGTAACCTCCCTCACATCTCTAGCCTCGGTAGCATCAACCTCCAAATCTCACGACGGGGTTTTCCTTCGTCCTGGAGTGGTCACACGCAGTGAATCGCAAAAATATCGCATGTTGAACCTTGACCTGGATACGTTTGCCTCAGATGGTAACCTATGTGGTAAAATGAACAGCTCTCCAAATCCACTTCTATCCGAAGGTAATGTAATACATCAGCGCCATCTGGGAAACGGCAACCGTTTCAGTAAGCGGCCATCGGTTGATAGTGGAATTCATTTGACTGGTGGTCAATCTTCGGATAGCTTATCGTCGTTGAAATCAAGCAGGCCCATTAGCAATCGAATAAGGGATAAACTTTCACGGTTTGTTGAGTTAATATAATTGCCGCGTGTTTATTATAAAGTTTTTAATTGTGGTTAGGTATGATCGTAGCATGTCTCTTCCGCTGCACTCACCACAGTCAGCGTGTGGCGACATCTCGTGTGACAATGACAACATGGAGAGTTACGGACGAAAGATGGACTTTGCGCTATGTAAGTTGGCATTTGATTCGTTCATTTTATACATACGTATTACACATTTTGGTATTTTTACTATTTTTGGATGATTCCGGGTTAGTTTTACGAAACTATCCCGGTATTCTCCTTTCGCGCATTTGAACTTCAACTCTGCATGTTTTGTTTGAATTTTCTACATATTTTCTATATATTTATCTACTGCTGTAATATAAGCGTTTATTATACTTTCAAACAACGCCTCCAACCAAGTACTACTACAGTGTGTTGATGATTTTTTTTATTACTTATTTTGTTTCTCTGATTATGTTTATGTTTTGCGCCGATTGCCTCGGATTCTCCTCAGGTGAAGTTAGTAATACGGCGGCGAGAGTTGGCAGTCCGCTAATCGACGTGGAGGCCGTGTCGGACGAGGACGTCGACACCGCCGACAGCAGCGCCGTAGGTCAGTCCGGTCAGTCCCTCCAAACAGTGCGTGTTGTGACTGTCTCACACAAACTCTAAGCTATCAAAATGGCGGCCGCGGTCGCATAACCGCCTACTAACCGTCATTTGTCATTCGATGTGTGTGCGATGTCGGTGTTTTGATGTTGTCGATGTTGTTGCGGGAATTAGCGACCACCAAACTAATAACTAACCCTCATAACCTTATTTGTTTACATTTTGTTTTGTTTCAAGCGCTTTGAGCTTAATGAATGCTGTGCATGCTTTTGATGTTTACAATTATTGTTAGCTTTATATATTGAATGTTATATATAATTCAACAAAATGGCCGTTGCTGCTTTTGATGTTTACAATTATTGTTAGCTTTATATATTGAATGTTATATATAATTCAACAAAATGGCCGTTGCTTGACGTTTTGCGTTCTTGTTGGTCCAGGGGAGCAGGATGTGCGTGTGTTGACACTGGCTGAGCAAATCATCGCCGCCATTCCGGAACGGATTAAGAACGAAAGCGAGGAGATGATGCTTGATCACAGCCCAGGGCCACCTGGGGATGTACTTCAATCATCAGATACCTTGAGTGATGTCTTTATGGAACCGCTTTTGGACCACTCGTCATCGAGTTATGAATCAAACGAGTTTAATTTTGAGTTTTCTGATCACAACTACAGGTATATTGTATTCTACATCTGAATAGTCTTTGTTTTGAATTGATTTTGTTTAGATACTACGATGTGGGCACGCCGGGGTCGAGTTTAAGCCCCGCCTCTTCCAGCTTACAGTCGCCATGTTCGTATTCGTTGGATTCTCCATCACCTCCACCGACCACGGCGGACTTTTGCGAGTTTTTCCAAGCATCTGCTTCTGTCTTTGAACACGATTTTTCCAACTTGACCTTGTCAGGTAACACCCCCACCCCTACCTAAAAACCACTCCCTGGTATTAATAAGTCACACCTTTAGATCGTGAACAACGCGAGTTGTATGAAGCAGCCAAAATCATCCAGAAGGCATACAGGTCCTACAAAGGTCGCCAACAGCAAGAGGCAAACAAGGAACGCGCCGCCGCCGTCCTCATCCAAAACTACTACCGCCGCTACAAGCAGTACGCCTACTACAAGCAGATGACCCACGCTGCGATGGTCATCCAAAATGGCTACCGGTCATACTGCGAGCATAAGCGCTTCAAGAAGAGCCAGGAGGCGGCCGTGTGCATCCAGAACTATTACCGCAACTACAAGGAGCAGGGGGGAGGTGCCGGCGGTGGCGCCGCCTCTGCGGGAGGTGGTGCCATCGCGAGGAGTGGCAGCAGTAGAGAGAGCACGCCCTCGGCGGGGCTCAAGTAAGTTTCACTTGGCGTTAGGTGTGTGTGTTTCTCTCTGTCTGTCTCTCTCTCACCTTTTCTCACTGTGGCTCTCTCTTAACTACTAACTAACCCCAAATGTGGTTCAAGCAAGAGCATAACAATCGCCCTGCCTGCTTCTATGTAGCTGGTGTATGCATACTATTTTTGTCGATGTGGTAGTTCTCGGTGTGTACACCCCCAAAGCAATTTCTTGTTGTTTGATCAATGTATCGATGTTGTGTGCGCGTGTGTATTGAATGGATAAGTGTAGAATGTTGTGACACGCCCACACGCCCTGCCCCCTAACGCTTGTCTTTGTTGCAGCAGCTCTTGTAGAGACAGAAAATTCTACACTTATTGTTCAATTATGTGAGTTGGAAAGCAATGCCATACGTGAAAACTAATTACACACTCACACACAGACACACACTACTAACAGACACATGACTGGGTGGGATTATTGTTATTGTTTGTTTGTTTTGTAGAAGGACCTACTCGCAACGACGACAGCATCAAGCCGCGAGGAAAATTCAGCAATTCATGAGGCAGAGCAAGAATAAGTGAGTGTATTATATGTTACCCCATTTTGTATTACTAATAATTTAATAATAGTGAACGCATGTAAAACTAACAATTGTCATCTTTAATCACACGCTCACTTAAAGTTTGTGGGACGAACCATTGGGAAATGTGGTGAGTGATAATATCAACTAACACTTCCAAAATGAATTAGATGATGATTTGAGACCAATTTGTGTTTGTGTGGTTTGTAGGTTACAGAGAGAACGAGCCGAAAAAGAGAGGCAGGCGGGCCAACAGTCAGCGGATGCCCGCCCAAGGTGAGCGTGTCTCGCGCCGCCCAGTTCCATCATCGGCCCAAGTAGGACACGCCTCCGGACGCATTTATACCCCGATACCTAAAGAAGACATTTTCGCTTTGACAGCTACGCCAGCCAGAGCCAGCTACAAAGATGTTATATAAATATGGAGTATATATTCTTGTATTTTGGACGCGGGGCCGCGCAAAAGGTGCCGCCCATTTGCATAACCTCTATCTACGACTTTAACTAATCTCTTAAGGCAAATTCAAGACGGTGATTTTTTAACTATACATTATCTATGTAAGAATGCGCGAGTCGCAAAAAGGATCGACAACAAAAGTGAGACAAACGTTTAGCAGACATATTGTTCACACACACCCACACCTACACACACCCACACAGATAAGACACGCCCACACTCACGTACACAACATATTCGGGTAATTTAACCCTCTTTAAATATTGTAAGAGTTTACATTTGACATTTACTACTTCTACTACTACTAATACTACTACTACTACATGCATATTTAAACACTAGCTTTGAATTAAGGTTAAGAAAACATAATGGGAAACGGTTTCAGTCAGTGCTGTGATTTCCTTCGAAAATTCACTATTTAAATTTACGTAGTAAATATTCTAGTCTATTGCTCTATTAGCTTTGTTTTTCGTTTGAGTTTTTTTGTTTCGTTTTGATGTACAGAATCGTAGATTGGAATATTTTCACTGCCATTCTTTTCAAAGGGTCGGATTTCTTCCAAAAACAAAAAGTAAACTACTGCTGCAGCTGCTTTCCTCCGCTAGATGGCGACACTCGCTACGTTTTTAAAATATATTAACAAATAATAACTAAAAATTCCATCCAAAGATATATAGAGATGAAAGTATCTATTTGATTAATTCTAGACCGCCGTACAGGTGTGACATGTACGCGCACGTGTCATGAAAGTGAACACATTTTTTGAATAATACTATATATAAATATATACATATATATGATGAGATTAAAAAGAAAACAAAGCATATAAAAGCTAAGCGATAAATAATATTATAATAATTCTTATATAAACGATAGTTCTGCTCATATACATATCATGCAAATTGCAAATTATTGCTATTTCTTAGTGTGTAATCTTTATCTCTTTTAAATTTAATCGAGTCACGAAAACCAAGTGGAGCGTTGTTGACCATGTTGATTATACTTAAACAAACAAAAACACTATATTGTATTGTAAGCGTTTCACCAAACCAAACAAAAACGAGTAATAATGTGCGTGTGGAAGGGAAACTTGCGAATATTTTGAGGTTAAGGTTACTTTGAGGTTATTACTATATTATTGGCCTAAAATGGGATAAGAAATGTACCTGCATGCGGGTTTCCCCCACCTCGCCACGAGAGTGCGCTGCTCGCAGTTTTCGCTTTTTTTCAGTGCGCGAGCAGCGTGGATAATAAAATGAAGAAGAAAAGAAAAAAACCATCTAAAATACTGTACATACTGTTATGCGTTTGAAAAGATTTTATTCTATCAGATAATCGGCGAATCTTACGGTAATTACGAAATTTTCTAGCGATTAGGACTCAAAACTGAGCTTCGTTACAAGCATCGCAAGCTGATGCTGGGTTTTAAACACTGCGTGGCTTGCCGCGAAAAATTATAACAATCAAACATTTCAATCTTTAGACACGTAAGTTTACATTAACATGAATTTCAAACCAAAAAAACTAATGAATAACTATTTAAGGAAGCTAACGACAGCAAGAAATAATTGACATTCGTCATGACTAGTACTTAATACATAGCAAACAACCAGAAGAGAAATATATAATACTATTGCTTCCTTTGACGAGGAATCCTTTTGCATCAAATATGATATGATAGTGAAATGAATATATTTTAAACTCGTAGGATTTTTGGGCGATTTGTAAATAATTTACGTTATACCAAACAGAAAACTGTAATGTTGATTCGAAATAATATTTTTGTTACAAGACTATTCGTTCCCCGAGCGCGCTGAATATAGGTTAGGTTTGAGACGCTCTTCTCTATCTCTTAGCCGCCTTTCACACACATGATTCAGTTACGAGTTGAGTTCGTCGTGCGACAAACGAAAATGAGTATTAGTTGTATTTGTAAACATGAAAAATGTAACACCAAAAAGTAACGCGCATAAGCATTAATTACCAATAAAACTATATTGTAAACGAAGAAGGTAGCGACATCTACAAATCAAAGTAACGAAATTGATGCATATTTTTCATAATCATCAAAATGTATTTATATGAGGGCTGGGGTATGGAGCACCTGGGGCAGTTTACACCCGCCCCATATGCACGAAAAATCGCTAAAACTTTTCAATATGGTTAGGGATAAAGTGGCGTCGATAGATGTCGCTGTGCGTGCGGAGCAATGGCGACAGGCTGCACTCTTACGCAAAACGAATTTTATCGTTGATTGTCATTCCTAGTTGACACTAATTTATTTATTTATTTATTTATTGTCTAAGTTGTTGTTGTCCAAGTATTTCTGCGCATTTTCTAAGTTATTGTTGAAAAAATAAGTCAGATGTGTACTTAAGTATCTAGTAAAAGTAAAAGTTAAAAAAAAAAACGAAGTGCGTGATAATTTTTCGATTAATATAATTATTGTAAAAGTAAAACATATTTATATTGTGCGCGTGTCGCGACCGGCGCCATTTTGTATTTACAGCGCCCGTCGCGACATTTTGGCGCTCTTCTTACCGACGTATTTGTTGTTATTGCATTAGAGTGCGGAGACCGACTGTTGTTGATTACTTAATTAACTATATATTTAATTATTACGTCTTATTGACTAATAAACACTTTCCGAATTTCAATCTTGCATTCCTCCTGAATTCCCTCTGCAGAATTGTGTGTTTTTCATCGTCTACGCCCGAAATCTTAAAACTTTGATCTTTGCACTCAATTGGTGATTAAATATTGGTTTGAGACTTGACAAAGTTTCAAGTTTAGTGCTTCGTATGCAAAGCTGCAGTCGCAAGACGATAACCCTCGTTATCAGCCAGGGCAACGCGTGTGTGTTTAAATAGAAGACCTTTAGTCGATGTTATCTTGCTTCTTGTGCGCCGGCGATAATAAATTTCTGCTGCTTAAACGTTTTCGCCTAAAATCAAAATTACGCGTTTGACAAGTGAATGCTTAAGGAATTTCGATGTTGCAAGCAGCAAACACGTTTCCCAACGCATTTAATTTCCATTATCGTAGTAATGTGTACGACACCAAAAAAAAAAAAAAACGTCTGGAAATTGTTATATAATGCCGCTAATCTCGGCGGGGGTCGCAAGGGCATCGTCGATGAGTTCACGGTTCGAGTGATAACAACCCGCCGATTTAACACTACGTTTGCTCGATGATTTTTAAAATAAAACACATTTTTAAATATTGTGAGCGTTGGTAATGCAGGAAAATTAAATTATTAAAGCGCGTAATAGTTAATTAACTAATTGTTTGCGTTGTGGACGCTGGTCAGCGTGATGTTGTTTTTAGGGGCACGCCGCGCCCTTACGGACTTCACCCCTGCGTAACACCGGGACAAAACATCGATTTTTTCAAGGAGCGCCACGCACGCGATTAATTTACGAACACTTAACGTCATAAAATTGCTTACAAAACCTGGAAATAAACGAAACACACTATTTTCTGTTCACAAGTTTATATTTGAGGTTATTTTGTAGAAAAATGTACGAAAACAATTTGTATGTCGGAAATCAGGTCAATTAGGCAATTAATTCGATAAGGTTATAACCATTACGGAGAGAAAATGGAAATTTTAGTTCTTAACGAGTTTGTGTTGCCATGGCGACGCTTGCCACCGCCATCAGTAAATCACTTACGGACTCAATCAATTAATATGCTAATTATTCTACTTAGCTCGACACAAACACAAACACACATCGGGATATTATGTAAATACTTGTTCAATTGTGCAATACGTGTCACATACCAACTGTTGACTTAAATATATTGAATTTTTTATTGAAGTAAGCATAACCTATGTTTAAATTGTATTGTAGGCAACTTAATGTACGTGGCTATGAAATATAACTATGTGTTCGCATTGTGGGCTTGTTGTGCTTGTGAGAAGCGCTTGAGTGTTATTTTTAAATAAAATGGCGGTTATTTTCGTCGCGCGTCGACCTGCCAATTATCTAATTTTATCAACGGCGCGCACCGCCGTCGCACCGAAACAATCATCAGCTTTGTTTATGCTCGCGCACAAATTTTGGGCCCGATTGTCGCTCGATCATGCGACGACGCTGCATTTCCATACAAAAACCTAGCGTCAGAAAGGGCATGCGGGTCGGTAAGCCGACGGACCCTTCATCCATTGTGTGATAATCTAATGTGACTTACGGTCAACTTCCGGCTTTGGAAAAAAGGCGCATTTTTTACTTTTAACTTGAACTCAACAATCGCGCGTTATTAATTATTGTATTTCAAGTTGTCTACAGTTGATTTCTAAATATATATTTCACATTCGGCGTAATCTTAATATATTTTATATGTAAATCCAAAAGCAAATGGCCGCCGCGGAGAATTTATGTCGGCGTGCGTTTGCCAAAAAGCCAACCCAACACGCACGCCCTGAAATCAGTGAAAATCAAGCAAGAAATAAACGGAATTCCAAAACCCGAAGAAAATTATAAATAACCACGCTATAGGCAACCAACACGACACATGATATAATTGCGTGCACGAAGGGCCCGTTACATAATTCATTTTTATCGCTGGGCGAGCATTAACGCACAACGCGCAATGGAAACAAAGTTGAAATTAAAAAATCGTCCGAAAACCTCGAAAAGTTCCATCGTGTAATTTAACGAGCGTTCCAATGTTTAAGACACGTTATCAACATATGAATAACATGCGTTTCCAGCCTGTCATAGTCCGCGGAGCCACGCCCCAATATGCGGCGCGCATGCGTCTGCCACTGGCGTGCCTTCATCGGTGGCGCACTACAAACTGGCACTCAGTCGCTCAGCGCGCCTCGTGGCGATTGTCACGCGCATCGCGTTTCGTTCATTCCTGCATCAATACACACATCACACACTAGATTCATCGAAAAATCACTATTAGTTAAACACGATCGATTGCCACCGACAGCACTAACTCAATTTTCGTGATTTCACGCATTTTTCTATTCACATTCAACCATTTTTGGCAATTATTAATAATTAATTCATAATTTCTATCTAATTAAATCCGCAGTTGCAAACACGTGTGTGTTTCTAGTGTCCAATTGGATTTCTACGGCAAACAGGTATTTAGTTTTGATTTCTGTACTGAAATTTTCCGTTTGTGTTTCGAGTTAGCATAAATAAAATCGTGTCGTTGTCGCGCCGTCGGTGTCGTCGGGTGGTGTGTGCCACGGCGACTCATGTGACTTGCACATTTGTACACTTTGCACATTTGCAACATTTTTGTTTATTAATTTGCCTGTTTACCTCGAAACGTGTGTAATTTGTACAGATATTCAAGCAAACGTACGACTTGCAACGGTCGCAAATGTTCGGCGCCGTGTTTTCTTCGAGTTATAAATAAATTACTCGAGAACGCAACGAGTTACAATAATAATTCTTGCAGGACTGGATTTCCGATTAAATTTTACACCTGTAAATATTTTAAAACAATCAATTACGTTAAAATTTATCATGATTTTCGTGTATTTTCTCGGGAAGATTATTTTTAGACCTCGCGTATTTAGATAACAATTTTAAAAGTCTATTCTAATGTTTTTTAATGCATAATAATCATGTATGTGCCCAGCGCGTTAATTACCATCAATCAGCACGCTCATTATCCAATTGCCGCAAGGTGGCAGCACTTTGATATCGATTTGTATCGTTTAGGAAAAATGCAAAATGCTCGAAAAAAGAAAGCGCGTGTTATTTGATTCGTATGCATATAAGGCGAGTGGTTTTTCGATTAGCCAAGCCCCGTGCGTCGCGGTGAGTGTAACCTGCGCGCGCGACTGCCCAACCAACCTGATTGACGAGTTTTAATTGTAGGCCGACCGGCGATGGTTCTCCATCGAGCGTGTTCGATGTGTACATGCGCGATTATTAATCACCTGCGAGAGAGGTTATGTCGTCAGTCAGCAGTGGCGCCATCTGCACGAGGGAGGACTGTTCACATCTTACCGGGCAGCATTAGAGTGCGTTTGGCGATAAGTTTCTAATACTGTCAGGTAAAGATGTCGTCCGGACTCCGTAATCAGCGAAAAAACGGCGTGAAATGTGAAATATTATCGAATCATGCTGGACGGCATTCTTGAGGTGGATGCCCACGCATCAGGTCGACCCACACGTGTTGCAACATACATGCAAGTTGCAAATTTAAACAGACGAAAAAAATGCGCAAGATTTTCTTGGATTTTTTCGGAAAGCACAACTTTTGAGACCAACTCAAAGTGTGTTTGTGTGAGACATCACGTAACGCGTCACATTAGTTATGCGCGAGCTCCGGTTCGCTTGTTGGGTGACATTAATTTAGAAACCGAATGGAATTCGAAAACATTAGGAAAGCATCGGTTGTGTGTGGTGCCCTGGTTGAAACGCGTGTGAGGCTGCGTCGTCGCGTTGATCGCGACGCGACACAAAACCGTTAAAACGTTTTTTAACCTAAAAAAAACTTAAACACGCGTGTATCTATTCGTATACTAAGGGTAGCGCATCAAATATAAATAAATACATTTCTGATAGAGGATAGGAGGAAGTTTTCGGTGTTTATCGACCTTATTCACTTCCGTTCGGCGGTCTAACGTGCAACCTTGACGAAAGCGCTTCTTAGATAACTTATTCAAATCGACAAACATGTCAGCCAGATAAACTATGAAAATATAATACACTGTCACCATGTGTTAAATATTAGTCTAGCGTAAGGGACACATTACGGCGTTATTAATTGGGGTTTTTCGACTGTTTGGAATAATTTCGAATTTCACGCACATCTGGACACGAGACACATGATTATTCCTCAGCCAGACCAAGAAAAAACACAACGAGTGGAACAAGTGAACTGAAACGCTTTGCTTCGCTTTGCTTGCCTCACCACCCACTTTCTTTCATTATTATTGCCATTCATAACACGAAATAAATAATATTAAAATATGCGCGCGTCCTTGGACGTCCCAACTTGCGCATCGTGTGCAACAAATTGCAGTAATATTAAAATTGAGTAATTAATAATTTCATGCGCGCGCGGACATGACATGTTTAACTTTTAACTTTTGCACAGCGCCTGGTATCAGATAACGCCAACGACACCTTATCGAAAAGATACGAGCACCGTGCACGAGTGCACTTTAACAACCGCTACAAAACGCACAAAACTAATGTGTACGGCCTTTTATTGCTTCTCTCTGCTGGCTACAAACAAAACGTTGCATGGTTGACGATATGATTGTTGTTCGAAAACATTTTACAACGCTTACCTAATTAATTTTCGGCTGGTTTTTTTTCTCTCTACTTGAGAATTATTACTATTAAAAGACTAACACGTAGGTGTTACGGGCGGTTATTTATCGCCGGCGTGTGTGTGTGTGTGTGTCTTCGGTTCGCCACCAACGCCAAAACATTTGTCGCAGCTTGCTGAGATATAAATACACGCGTGCGGCGTCCAGAAGAGACAATCGCGGGGCCAAAATAAGCCGCTACCGCCGCCGACACTTCACGAAACATCAGCTCGAGTATTTCTCGACACACAATAGGAGGAAAATCCACATAAAAACTATTTTCTAAATGACATTTATACTTTCAACACATGCGCAACGTGTAAAACTATATTTTGTGCATTCCAGCGCCCTCTATAGGTTATATAGGGTATTAACTAAACAATTTGTCGTCTTTTTCAACAAACACTCATGATCGCCGTGATTTCGAGTGCGTACAATGTTCGGTTGATAAGCGGGCGAGATAATGTCGCGCCCGGCGACAGCGCGGACGGATTCGGTAAACAAGCGCCTTATCTGTGTCTAATAGGGGAATCAAGTATGGAATCAGCGGATTCGATCGCTCATTGAGTGGATCATCGTTTGAGAAACACACACACAATACACTTATCCAGCCGGCGGCAATTGTCACTGACCAACAATCTCAACGAGCGCACAATGCCCGATGATTAGACGGAAACGCTTCATTAACGCCTCTTAAACCGCTCTTAAAGTTCACTTAAATCAAACAAAATGCACATTGGGAGATGTGTTTTTGTCTTGTTTTGTCTGTTTTAGTCGCTGGCGATAAAGATGTCTCCCGGTCGGGTATTTATACAACCAGCAATGAGTACAACGTTCCTGCGGGAGTCACAGGAATTTCCGGTCGGCAAATATTGCTTTTGTTTTTATTTTGTTTTGTTTTTGTCACAGGTTGCTTATTTATATTGATAGAAACGTCAGAAGTATACAGATAATTATGTGGTTCGAAATTCTACCTGCGTTTTCCATCGTTGTGATTGCGCTTGCGTTGCCACCGTTTATAAGTGTCCCGATTTATTATCTTTGTACTGGACACATGTATCGACGGTCGATGCAAACACAGGAGGAGAGGATGTTGTATATACGGGATACAGCCATCACTGGTAGTGCTTATGTGATGAATTACTGTATTCCGGACGCTGAGGAGCCAAGGGAAGGGAAACAGGAGGATAAAAATGGCGGAGAGGAAGAAAATTAAATTTTGACGATTAGTAATTCATTAAGGAGTAAAATAAATGTAATAAATACTTGATTAATTTATTTATTCAGTTATTAGGTACCCAGATGACTACCCCCACCACTTTTTGCGGGTTTTGCGCAAAACCACTCATTATGAAGTCTTCAGTTCCACTTAGGTTGTGTCCAGGTCACTCCCACTTCACATTTCTATAGAAATAATGTATAAAATGTTTTGTATTAAATTTGTTTCGATAATTAAGTTACTTTTCGTGTATTCCTGAGTGACCAGCACTGTGATACGCTTCTGGCTCGCTGCCAAACATAACAAGCCTGGGCGCAGACAAAATATTACTACCAGAAGACTCCTCCCGACGAAATACAACCTACGAGAAACAACGAAATGAAAAAGTAATCCTGTTTCATTGATGTTAATTTTAAATAATATACCTACGAATTAATTAAATACCTAGAGGTTATTTTTGGTATTTTGACCCAGAATCGGGGAAAATGTTAAGTTTTTCGCCGCGCGTAAAATTCGAGGTCGGCCCCAATCGATCCCCGACCACGCCCCCGAAATTCACTCCTGCAAATCCTACCCACCAGCAATTTGTCACAAACCACGTGGATACAAGATACAAGGTAACTTATAAATAAAAATAAGTACAACCACAAGATTGTTTTGTTTTCTTTTATTTATTTAATTAATTAATTAATCTATATATATATATATATAAATGAATTGCTGTTCGTTAGTCTCGCAAAAACTCGAGAACGGCTGAACGGATTTATCTTATCATGGTCTTGAATTATTCGTGGAGGTCTAGGGAAGGTTTAAAAGGTGAGAAAAATTCGAATAATTGCCGGGAAAATCCTCAAAACAGCTCTTTTCTATAGAATAAAATTTGACATTGAGATTCAATCATAGTTATAGTTAAATAGTTGAATTCGAGATGGCGCGCTGAAGTGCATTATTGACAAAACTTTATATGCATAATTTCTTTAAATTAAAATTGCTAATCTTATTGATAGAATTGACTCTTACTACGAGTATGTCTAGAACAAGAGAGTAAAACGAATTACATTTTTATTAAACACTGCCGGAACGAAGTCGCGGGCAACATCTAGTTAGTAATAAAATATTTGCGTATTTTAATACTATGTGTATGGTGGGTTGCTGCCGTGAACAAGGATAATTAAAGACATAAATATTGCCAGCGGGTAAAAAAACAGGGAAAGTGAGCTTTTCACGCAAATACGCAATCGATATCGCGAGGCGCAGTCGATGGAAACAAAGCGGCGGCGGTGACGCTGTTGCTTCCCAGTTTTCCACATTTTCCGAGGTGCTATTGGTCAATACCAACGTGAAACACGAAGCATACAGAGTGTCAGACACGCAGCGCGTTGTTCTCACGACCAACTCGCTGTGGTTGTTTATTTTCCAGGACAAACGAGAAATAGAGAACTAGGGTCTGTGTAATTTGCATATTAGGGCTGTTCACGTCCACACGATTTTAATATAACACTCGCACGACACTATTCCCATCCAAAATAAGTATAAAATCCTATTTATTCAATAAACCATATCTATTCACACAAAAAAACGTAAAAATGGAATAATGCTTTGTATTTTTATTGTTTATAGTTTTATGTTGGCGAGAATAATTTATGTTACTCTCCACCAACATGCGAATGGACTTAATTAGGTTTTTCCCTTTTTCTCCACGTCGTGCGTGCTATCCACGGCGAATATTTATATGTAAATGCATTTAATGTTTATAATCCTTCATAATACGTCAAAAAACTAGATTCCGCGATAAAACTTAATCAATAACGTTGCTTGCTTGCAGAAATATGCAGGAAACGTGTGATTTGTGAATTTCTGACCAATCAAACCCTGGTACAACCTCATTGGATGCTGTGAAAACATGCGCGTTGCGAAATTTCATCCCCCTGAGAGAATCACCATAGCAACGGGATGCTGGGGGTGGAACCAATCGCAAAACACGCCAGGAAAATTGATTTTCTCTAAGCGCATTACACAATAAGATGGTAAATACAATATAATCGGATTATATTCTACCAAAGAAGCCCCAACTGGAGAATTTCAACTAATTCAATACACGTCAACAAATCAGAGTAAATATATAAAGATAACCGATAATATTGCTTACTCTGGGTATAAATATAACTCGTTATCATGTTTACTGCACCAGCATGTCAAGATGTCTTGACCTCAGTGTTTTTTTATCTTTACTGCTCACATACCAACAAATACCAAGTAAAAACTATGTAGGTCTTTTTGAATAGTTATTATTCTCCAAATAAAGTTGCAAAACATATTATTTCTTCTCCTAGTTGGAATGCGCCGGTGGTTTGGACCATTCCGCAATCAGAATAAGATGGTCATAGCCATGTCCGTTGAGGTTGGCGATTGCCTTGGCTGCATCATTGCGGAACTTGAAGTGGACATAAGCAAAACCTTTGCAGAGTCCAGTTGACTTCTCCTTAGCTAAATATAACTTCTGAATAGGTCCAAATGGTCGTACGAGTTCCTCCAGATCGGATTCGGTGGTGGAATCGCTCAAGTTGTTAATACGGATGGCGGTGGCATCGTCTCGACGTGGCATGTTGGGTCCATCAGAGCGTTTGGTTGCGCCCTCTCGTAAACTAGGCGGGACATACTTACTTCCTGGTGGTTTTGACCCATCAGCACCTGCAGCACCTAAATTATTTTAAATATTGTAATAAATATATGTTTATTTAGGTATTATGGAGGTTGTGATGTTGTACCTGGTGCAGATGGTTTGAGTTCACCTGGCTTAGCACCACCAGCTAATACAGTGTCCTTCCATGGACACTTTGATGTCCAATGGTCGCCTTGACAGTTCCTACATTTGACAACATTCTTGTCACCAAGTGCCTTCAGTTTCTCAATGCCTCCCTCATCCTCCTGCTTCTCTTCCTCCTTGTTGGAGATATACTGCATGTAAACATCTTCAGCAACAATTGTGTTTGCGGGATTTGGACCTGGTTTGTCTCCTTCGGATTCACCAAACTTGGCCCAGGTTTTTCTCTGCGCGATGGATTTGGATACGATGCGTTTTCTGGAGAATTTCAACTAATTCAATACACGTCAACAAATCAGAGTAAATATATAAAGATAACCGATAATATTGCTTACTCTGGGTATAAATATAACTCGTTATCATGTTTACTGCACCAGCATGTCAAGATGTCTTGACCTCAGTGTTTTTTTATCTTTACTGCTCACATACCAACAAATACCAAGTAAAAACTATGTAGGTCTTTTTGAATAGTTATTATTCTCCAAATAAAGTTGCAAAACATATTATTTCTTCTCCTAGTTGGAATGCGCCGGTGGTTTGGACCATTCCGCAATCAGAATAAGATGGTCATAGCCATGTCCGTTGAGGTTGGCGATTGCCTTGGCTGCATCATTGCGGAACTTGAAGTGGACATAAGCAAAACCTTTGCAGAGTCCAGTTGACTTCTCCTTAGCTAAGTATAACTTCTGAATAGGGCCGAATGGTCGTACGAGTTCCTCCAGATCAGATTCAGTGGTGGAATCGCTCAAGTTGTTAATACGGATGGCGGTGGCATCGTCTCGACGTGGCATGTTGGGTCCATCAGAGCGTTTGGTTGCGCCCTCTCGTAAACTAGGCGGGACATACTTACTTCCTGGTGGTTTTGACCCATCAGCACCTGCAGCACCTAAATTATTTTAAATATTGTAATAAATATATGTTTATTTAGGTATTATGGAGGTTGTGATGTTGTACCTGGTGCAGATGGTTTGAGTTCACCTGGCTTAGCACCACCAGCTAATACAGTGTCCTTCCATGGACACTTTGATGTCCAATGGTCGCCTTGACAGTTCCTACATTTGACAACATTCTTGTCACCAAGTGCCTTCAGTTTCTCAATGCCTCCCTCATCCTCCTGCTTCTCTTCCTCCTTGTTGGAGATATACTGCATGTAAACATCTTCAGCAACAATTGTGTTTGCGGGATTTGGACCTGGTTTGTCTCCTTCGGATTCACCAAACTTGGCCCAGGTTTTTCTCTGCGCGATGGATTTGGATACGATGCGTTTTTCGATTTTGTACGTGCGCACAATCTTGACTTTCTTGTCGTCGTCGTTGAGCTTGTAGTCTGTTACGATTTTCAAATTGCCTTCGCGCACCTGTAATTTGTGTTTATGTGTAATTTATTGCAACATATTTTGATGTAAATTACTTACTTCTGTGGATGGTGGTAGGCTTCCACCTTCCAGTTCAACCTCATCAGCCCAGCTGGACTTGATATCGTCGGCTACCGGCATTTTTATAAGCGTTTGCAAGCTGATTTTCTAATAATATTGAAAGAAAATTTGCAAGCGCGTCCAAATCACGTTCAGAAATTAACCTAGAAAGAGCGCATTGACATAAGTAGGGGATTTTTGGTGCGCTCGGAAAATCAATAATGACATAAACCAAATTGTTTTTAATATTTAAACATAAAACAATTAAGAAACCTGTTGCATTTCACTTATATTTATAAAATAAATTTAAGTTTACTCTTGTTTTAGTTAAATAAAGCATATATATTATTAATTTGAGTAAAATGTAAAAATCTGGTGATAAATCGAACTGACTCGGCCTTCATCGGATGTAACTAGAAGATTATCGTTGTTGTGTTGTTGTGATCAATTATTATCACAATTCATAAGAAATATAGTGTTTTACTGGCATTAAACGAAAATATAGATAGTTTATATAGAAATTAATCAAAAACTAATAGAAATTTTCATGTGAAAGATGGATTTCCTAGCGAAAAAAGGCAAATCAGATGGTAAGCATCAACTGTAATCATTTCGAGAAGCATTTTCCTACGCCGACTTTATTTCATTAACAAAACAATCCCTCGATAAGTATTTAACATTATTTTATAAGAAATATCATTATTTTAGTTGCCTAACCGAAAAGTAGAACCTTTCATCAATATCCTATTCTTCAGTTTGGTTGTTTATTTTTGTTAAACTGCTGTTGGTGACACTGTTTGGTCACTGCGTACTTTGAGGTTATATACAATTTTTCAAAACACATTGCTGAAAACATGCTGCGACGCCAAGCACGTTTAAGACGAGAATATCTCTATCGCAAAACGGTAGAAGATCGTCAGAAAAGCATACAAGATAAGAAGAATCGTGTGAAAGAAGCTTTGGAAAACAATGTTGCTATTCACGGCGACTTGCAGCAGAAAGCACTACATTATCAGAAGAAACTTGAGTGGCAGGATGATGGACCTGAGAAAGCAGTACAAATAGGTAAATATTACATTTATAATCAAAAAATACAAAATAAATTAACAATAAACAAATGAATAACTAGTTTTGCTAACAGTTTGGTACTTTATCTATCAGGTGGTGAAAGTGGTGGAACTTTTGCAAATTCCCAAGATGATGAATATCGTTATGCGGGCGTTGAAGACCCCAAAATTGTAATCACAACCTCGCGTGACCCAAGCTCCAAACTGAAACAATTCGTCAAAGAAATGCGCCTTATATTCCCGAATGCCCAACGCATGAATCGCGGTAACTACGAGATGAAGCAACTTATTGCAGCATGCAGAGCAAACGACGTCACCGATTTCATCGTTGTGCACGAACATCGCGGTATTCCAGATGGTTTAGTCGTCTGTCATTTGCCTTACGGCCCGACTGCTTACTTCAACATGTCTGACGTTGTAATGCGGCACGATATCCCCGACATCGGAACCATGTCCGAACAATACCCACATCTTGTCTTTCACAACTTCAAAACCCAACTGGGGCAGAGAGCAATGTCTATTTTGAAGTATCTCTTTCCTGTACCCAAGGAGGACTCGAAACGAGTGATGACATTCGCAAATCATGATGATTACATCAGTTTTCGCCATCATACATACAAAAAAGTAGAAAAACAGATTGAATTGAGTGAAGTAGGACCAAGATTTCAATTGAGATTGTATGAAATCAAGCTGGGGACTTTGGATATTGCCGGAGCTGCTGATACTGAATGGGTTTTCAGACCTTACATGAACACTACAATCAAGAGGAGGTTTTTAAGTGATGAGGATGGATGGAAGCAAGAAGAATAAACAATTTTTTCCTATATTTGTTTTTTATCCTCAAAAATCCTTTGATAGACTTTTTGTTTTGATTTTTAGTTAATTCTTATACTTTTTATTAGATTTTGATGTAACAGGCGTGTCGAGAAGTGGGCGTGTCCGCAAGAAGTCCTCAAAGTTGATGGATTTTGAATCTCCTGATGAAATCGAGAAGCCCAAGCGTCAATCAATTCCACACAAGAAGGCTGACTTCGGAAATATCTCACCGAAAAAAGTAAGCCATGAATTTGCACACAAAACATAACCTTATTTTAATCTTTTGTGTAAGTTACCTGGGGAAGACGACATGATGAAACCAGAATACGACTACGATGACATCGTCAGCCAGGAAAGCACTTCGGACTATGAAGCGGAGCCATTCCACGAACTCCAGATTCCTTCCAGTGAATCAATGGACGAATCACAAAGCGACATGGAGGAAGAAACGCCGCAGGCTGGTTTCCGTCGAATTGATGAAATGCCCGCGCAGACAATCTACGCTAGTCCTTCGGATAAGTCACCAAAGAAACGTCTGATCATCAAGGATAATAAAGTAATCAAAGCGAAAACACCGAAGAAAGAAAAGGGTAAAGCTAAAATGACTGCGTATATGTTATGGGCGCGTGAACAACGCGCTAAGATTCTTTTGGAGACACCTAAGTTAGATTTCGCGTCCATTTCGAAACGTCTCAGTGAATTATGGGCGTGTGTTACTACAAGCGAAAAAGATGCTTGGCAACGTCGTGCGAAACGACTCAACTCGAAATTACAGCCGTTTGCACCCGAACAACCCGATGCAGGCCGTGCTAATAAAAAATTCATTTCTCATTCTCCTTCACAACGTGGTACTGGAGGCGGTGTTAAATTCGGGGCGGGTGGGCATACACCAGGAGGGTCTTACCAACTGGGCGTGCCAAATGTAGGTAACACTTTATCCCCCGATAGTCCTCGATCAAGAGAAGTGGCTAAGCCAGGTATTAAACCGATAGATGTCGCTGCACATCTCAAACTCCTTGGTGAGAGTTTGACGATAATTGGAGAACGACTCAAGGAACACGAAGGACAAATTGCTGTTTCTGGTAGTTTGTCAGTATTATTAGATTCGTTACTTTGCGCTCTAGGACCTTTGCTGTGTTTGACGCAACAGGTGCCTGAATTACAGGAGAATTGTTGCACGCCGGAACAATTGACGAAGATTGTTGATAATGTCGCGTTTATTATGCCAGGACTGTAATTTTTGACGTTTATTTGTATAAATATGTTGGAAAATTAAAGGTTTTTTTTGTGTAATTCAAAATGAGTGGTATACCAACTCGGAGGGTTGGCCCCAGGGGTGCCAGCCGTAAGTAACAGTATAAAATTAGTGAAAATATGTATAATATGTAAGAAAAATATGTAAATGATTATGTAGAACCTTCGCTTTATGAAAGAACCACTTCAAGACGTGCTGGGGCAAATGCTGCGAGTACGAGCAGGATTCCTCCTGGTCCGGGACCCATGCGGGCTACATCCACCTTGGCACCTTCTAATATCCCCACTTCTTGTAACCCACGGGGACCTGGACAAGGCCCGCAAAGATCTATGTCTCGCTTGCAACCTCCCTCGACTTCACGAAGTCAAATACCAAGTTTAAGTAGTATCCCACGATCTGTTTCCAAAACTGGTGCTATTCCAAAGGCCTCCGCGAAATCTGTTACTGTTGAGAAACAAACCAAGTCGGGGTCTCAAATGGTTACCAAGACATCATCACGGAAGATTACTAAAGGTGATATTAAGGAGGCTGCGAGGTCTAAAGCCCAAAGGACGAAAAAGTCTACACTGGTTAAGGATGGCGAAGATAATGAAGAAAGTGAATGGGGTCAAGGACGTGCAACTACATCAGTCCTAGAACAACAGTTAGCTGAGAGTTTATTAGAAGCTGCTGCCCAACGGCCGAAAACTCCTTTGATTGCCACCACAGGCTGGAAAACAGCTATGAAACCACCGATGATGATGACTAAAGAAGGGTTGATTCCTATTGAGACACAGGTAATCTCAACGAAAAGTGTTACCAAACAGCCTGGGATGCCGGATATTATCGGTAGGGATGTTACTACTATTGAAACGATCTCACCTGATATGGCCGAGCGTACAGAGGTGGTCATGTCAAGAGTAAGTCCCTTTCGTCCTGGAGCGCATGCAACTAAAACCAAAGAAGCCGTAATTGTGCAAAATAAAGTCGCATTGGCTGCTGGATACAAGCAAACCATAAAAACAGTCACCTATGAAGGTGATCCTGAAGATATTCGACAAGCGCCGGTGTTACCAAGTCCCCAGGACGTAGCAAAAATGGTCCGGGAAGAAACAGCGTTGATTAATGAAACATTAGCTCTACAAATGCCGGATGTGAAACGTGTAAGCCCTTCGACATATCCAATCAGAAAGAAAGCACTTGGATATTCTTTTAATAAAGACACAGTTGCTGGAGTGGAGTCACGTGAGACAAGCGCAACCTGTACTGCAATGCCTGCGTATTTAGAGGAGCCCACACCTGAGATGATTGCTGAGATGATGAATATTGAAGAAAGGGGTTTGACTTTAGGTGACGTACCTTCAAACCTCTATAATTATCTCTTTCCTGGTCCAACAAGTACAGAACCCAAGGTGGCAGTAGCTTCCGCTGTATCCTTCCCTCTTCACGATGTGGTCATTCCTGATAAAATACCCAACATGTCCATGGATGTGCAGAATATTGAAGAGGTGATGAATGTGACACTGCATGCAGCTGTTACTGCTAGTGGGAATCAAAATGATAACAGTTATTGCGCTACGGTTGGAGAGGAACCTTTGGTAACGAAAAACGCTGCTCGGAAAGGTGGTAAAACCAAAAGGAAAAGGGTCACACCTTTAGCAAATGAAAAACCACCTTGGGGAGCGATAGAAGACGTTGAACCTGTTATAGATTTAGTAGGTGCACCGCTAGCTGTTAATCGTACTATACAACAGGAGACTGAAGAGGAATGTGATCCTTTAATGGAGGGGATAGAGTTTTTGCTACAAACGGAAGCCCCGCAGCATTATTCACAGATTCAGATGAGAGGCACACAGAAACCTGATTGGTTTCCAGGTATTCCAACTAAAAACAGTTTTAAGTGTTTTAAATATACATAGGTGTGATTATAGGTTATGTTATGGCTTTACCAAATGTTCCTAATCTGGTTACCTTGGCCAGATCACCAAGTGAAGTGTTTGGAGCTGCTTGGCAAGCAACACAACCAGATATCTTCAATGATGACAGCCTATTCATCATTTAAACTAAAACTCAGGTGCGGGGACGTTTTTTATTTGACATCAATAAAGCGACGAATATATTAATATTTATTAGTCTAATTTGCACCTTCAGCGCGTGACAATTATTGTCTGAACACTAATTTAATGCTAAGGTTGCCTCTGGTCATGAGTTTCACATATCCGCGATTGTGATGAGGAGGTAGGTGTACCCTGTACTGATATGTTCATCCATGCATGCGCATGCGCGACTTTTAACAATTTACAATCCTTTATTGTAGAAAAGTGACTTTGGTACATTATCACCACGATTTTTCCGTATATCTTCCTGTAGGCTGGATTCTAAGCTGTTAAAGCTGATCTCAGCTTTCTGTTTAAATGCGGCACACGCGAGAGGCGTGGCGAAAATAAGGAAGAATCCAACCACGCCCAGTTGGATTGGGAGATTCAACCATGGACGCCGTTTGAAGATTCCCTTGTTGTCGAGGTGCTGTATTACGAATGGCGTGAGCATCATACCGGGTGCCGCCATTACCACCCGGCTGAAGATAACCTGGGCGATACCACTGCGTGCAGCCGCTGTGGATTGACCTAGGCGGTTACCCTCGGAGTCAAAAACAGGTGTGCCTTCGGTTATTTCCTGCATACGCATGCATGGGATGTTAATGGCGTTGGCGGCGATGACGGCGATGAAGGGCACGAAGCGTCCGGCGATGGGCGGCAGCCGTTTTGCGTATTGATTCAGTGTCATCGCTGTGCCAACGGCGCCCGTTGTCGCCAAGACGTACGAAGTGCCTAATTGCCTGGAAATTCAAATGGAAAACATTAATGGCGTCATAGAACAAGTTTCATAATGATGTTTTCCTGTTATTGTAAATTATTTACATGTTTTGCACACGAGTTGTGCGATAACAAACGAGAATAATTTATTTCAATTCGAATTAAACTTGAACCAAAACTTCAAAGTTCATATTGGTTTTTACGACTTTTACGTAACCTGTGTGTGATTATGTACGTACTTTGCCGATATTGCAGCATCGCCGCTACGATTTGTGTAATTCACGAGCGCGTTGAACGTTTGATTGATCCACTGCCAGAAGATGACCGCCGGATTGCTTTGATAGAAGGTCATCATGCCTCCGGTGATGATCATGTTCATTGGCACCTGTGCAGACATCCTGCCAATGACAAATTGCTTCTCGCCGGTGTCGGGGTGAAACGCTGAATCGTAGATGTATTTTTGTCGCCATAATTCATTCACTGTGATTGGTTCCTTCAATTCACCCTTTCTACAAAGTAAAAATTAATTATTTCATATTTTTTTTAGTTATTTTTAGTTTTTTACTCACCTGAAGGCTGTGATGATTTGCCGCGCTCTTTCCAAGGTGGAGGCGCTTTGAAGTACGTTCAATGGATTCGTGACCATGAAAAAATGTTTCGCTCGGCCGGAATACGTGCCCTGGTCATATCGTGGCTCGTTGATGTTCAACGTCTGCAAATTCTCCTGCTTACTATTCGACATGGCAGCGAAATAATGCGAACTAAATTGTTGCGGTTTCTCTTCGCGACTGGTTTTCGGCGCGCGGCGCGATGTTGTGCGCGCACTTTTTCACGCCGTCCTCGTCGCAAGGCGAAAGTATTAAATAACTGATAATTTATGCTAAACTAATCAGACAACATGAATGTATACGGCGAGGCGTGCGCGCGTTCGCAGTGTAGGTGTTTGTGTGTGTTATCGATGTGCCAAGGCGGTTGTTTTTTTATAATTGTCTTGCGATTGTATAACACGCGTTGATAAACTCGCCATCAGAGATTATCGCCGCACCAGTTTGCTTCGTCGCTTGTTGTGTGCGAGAATGACGAGAATTTAAAACATGCACGTAATCGATAACAGTGGCTGGAGAGCGCCGGCGCTGATTCGCAATGATTTCCGGCTACAAAATATAATCTTATTTAGTTTAGAGAAGTATATACGTGCCATTGATAAGATAAATTTTTGGGATAAGTGATAAAAGTGTAAATTTCTAATAATGCGAGATGTAAACTTCAAAAATTTTGCAAACTTTCCACCTATGTCAACACAACAAAAACTTGCGTTGTATTAATTCGACGCTAGAGGGCGCTACCATGTCTAGTACAATATTATCTCTCACCCGAACAGCTGTAAGTAGAAACAGTTGTCTGCAGAAGAGTGCGTGAGGTGTGCGGTTGGCGGTTTTCCGGGATTCCCTTGATCCTGAATGAAAATCATTCGCGGTGTTGATAGAAAATTGTTCAATGTTTTATTGATTCGTTCAGCAGCAGCCGCCGTACCGGCGCACTGCACCACACAGTATTCGGTTGGGGAGACATCTCAGGACAATTAATATGTAAGTAAACTACCCTTGCAGTTTTCCTCATTTTATTTTTACACAAGCGTGTGTTGAATTGGCGCGCATGCCGCAGTTTGTTTGCGTTGCATCACGCATAAAGTGTAATTAATGGGCGCCGGATCGCGTCAGTGGCGAAAAAATGTTCAACTTGAGCGCGCGCTCTACCTGCGCTAAAAATACACGAGGAATTAAATCGATATATGATGTATATACAGGCGGAATACGTCTGATTATTTGCATACAAGTATCATTTAGCCGCAGTTTTCCGGTCCTTGATTTCCGAGATTATTTACACTGGCTGTGCGTCGAGTAAGACATTATTGACATGCGAGGCGATTGAACGCCGACGAGTAAATATTTATCTACGACGCGTACGCATACTTGATGTGGAAATTGCGGGAAATGTAGCGATTGTTTTCGAAAATGTTTAAAACAAACGCACGATGTGCGTGTTTGTGTGTGTGCGGGTTTGCGCAGTGCGGCATTTGAATTGGAGGCGGAAGAAAATAAAATAAAAATAAATAAAAGAGAGAGGCGCGCGCGAGTGGCGGCTTTTGGCCCAGCGCACGAATTTTATTTTCGTGCGCGCATTCGCAGCGAGCGGTTAATTTACAATCGAGTGTATATTAATAGCCCTTTTTAAAGGAGCGAAGCGTGGAAGGCAAGAAAAAAAAAAGCGTGCGCGCTCGCACCGATATAAAATTATATATCGCGAATTTATTGCGTGCGCGCGCGACAATTTTGGCGCGGTGTAAACGCTCAGTTGGTGCGGTGGCCTGCTAGGAGACTGATGCGGGTGTTTTGATTTCGCAGCCATCACGCGAAGAGAGATGGTTCTATGGAACGCCCGCACGAGACGAACGGCGACTGCGCGAAGGGCGTGCTAGACAACGGGCACGCCTCGCCGATTAATGCGTGCGCCAAGCGAAAGGTGGCGCGGCGTCGCTGGGCCATCCTAGCGAAGGCACTCAAGGTAGGTGTATCTACTTACACCCTGTTGCTCAAGTTGCATAACTTGATTTTTAGAGCCCCAGCGGTAGTGAACCGTCCAGCCCAACTGACGAATGCTCTGTCCGCCGCATCTCGTCGTTTCTTCTGCTTACAACCCGCCAGATAAACGAAGAAATACATCCGCTGCACGTGGCGAAAAAGCGCACGTGGTACCGCTACGCCATGACCATCGACGCGCATGAGTATTTTGTCATCGTCGGACATCGCATGCGCACTTTTTCCGCTGAAGATCTAATGGGTTTCAATAATACAGGAAACGTGTGCATATGGCCCTCAGAGGAAACACTCACGTATTATTTGGGTGCGAATCTACATCTGGTTGAAGATAAAAGGGTTTTGGAGTTGGGTGGGGGGATGTCCTGCCTGGCGGGGCTAGTCAGTGCCAAATATGGCCACGCCCGCCATGTCCACCTCACAGATGGTAATAAATCATCTGTGGAAAATGTCCTGGTTAGTCTGGCGTGCAATGAATTGTCATGTCCTGTTGAATGCACGGTGTTGAAGTGGGGACGCGGCGCAGCCACGCCTACCGCCTACGATCTCGTCCTGTGCGCTGATTGCTTGTTTTTCGACGATGCGCGCGCTGATTTGATCGATACCCTGTGGGAGTGTCTTGCGCCTGCAGGCGTGGCTCTAGTCATGGCGCCGCGTCGTGGTAAAACCCTCGCTAGTTTCATCACGGCGTGCGAATGCCGCGGATTTCGATGCTGCGAATTCGTCAACTACAATCGCATCGTATGGGAGAAGCATCTGCAGCTGCTGGCGAATTGTGATTACGACGATGACATCCACTATCCTATTCTGTTAGAATTGACCAAAGCGTAAAAAGTGACCTTAGGGAAGAACTACAAGTACATATTATTACATTTTACAACATATCGCGTCTCTTTATACCTTTACAAGTTCTAATCGACTTACGTAATGATCAATGCGATTGGCGTCCTCTAGTCATACTCACACTAGTCTATTGTGAATTATATCCGGGGTGTTTAGACAAGCAGATAGATGGACACCCTGTATATCGTTGACTTTTTGTATCTTGTCTGTGATAATTAATACACGTTACAAAAGATAAATAAAACTAGCTCAGATTTACTCTGGAGAGAAATATGATGATGGCAGATGTAAATATATTTATTAAAAGTATTTATCGAATATAAAGGAAGAAAGGCCCGGGTAGACACGGCATCAGGTGCCCACTAAAAATAGCCCAGGGACGGGATTCAGTTGCGAGGAACGATATATGCTCAATGTTTTTTGCGATTTCATCGTCGTTTGTTGCTGCGACAACATGTTTGAAATGAATTCATATTGTATACTCGTTGTGTACCTACGAATTGATCGTTTATCTCTGTTTCAAACTCACATATCTTGTCGTTGGAGGAAATTTTCATTATTATCTGAAGCACGTTTACTAGTGTTTTACTGTTTTAGTCCCGTTGAAAATAAACAAAACACATGAAAGTGATTGCAAGTTATTTATTCTGTCCTTTTGTATCTTGTCTTTTCCTTGGTGTTTGTTTGGTTGTGAATGTTTGAATTTTAATTTTGTTCTGGTCTACTTTTCAGGGCGGATTATTGGAAATCGAACGCCAAGAAATACTGCGACTTTTGCAAGTGTTGGATTACTGACAATAAACCTGTAAGTAGGATAGAAATTTAATCAATAATATGAAAATAATGTTGGTTAATTTGTTTGTTTAGAGTGTGGAGTTTCATGAAAAGGCCGTCGACATCAAGAGAATGTCTCCAAGCGTCTGAAACAAATCACCCGGAATAATACAAAGATTGAACATGATAATGTTAAAATTGACGCGGCCATGGCCAAAATGGAGGCGGCCGCCATGGATGCCTACCGCAAGGATGTGGAGAACAACGCGGATATGACCTCACGTGCGATTAATAAAAGATTGCAGGATGAGAATTTAGAAGTGGCTGGCTCCAGCGCCGGTGGTAAGAAAATATGGAGGGAAGCCAAGTCTGATAAGGGGACGTATTATTGGAACATTTTAACTAATGGTAAAATTAAACCCAGTTTATCTTATTCTATTCATATATTAATGTTTAAATCATTTATATTTATAGAATCGGTATGGGAACCACCCAAAGAAGGTTATTTATCAATACTGGAAGCTAAGGAACTAGAAGAGTTGGAAAACTCGAAAGCCTGGAAGTCTTACAATCAGAAATTGATAACTAATACACGGTTACAAGCTCAGGAAGAAAAGAAAGTATCAGAAGAAGAACGCGCTAGATTAGCTAGGGAGAAATTGAAAGAAAGGCGGGTTGAGCAGGAAAAGCCTGTGGTCGCTGCTCCACTTTTAGAAGAAGGAAAAACGAATCCTTATGGACGTTGGCAAACCGTTCAGATAGTGTAAATAACATTTTTTTATCAAAATTAGTTTTTATTTTAACACTGGTTGTTTCTAGTGAGCAAGAACCTGAACCAGCAACTGTAGAAGAGATACCATTACCGGAAGTACCAGTGGAAGCACCACCTCGGCGAGAATTTAAGGAGAAAACAGTGGAGGCTTTAGTAGATGTTGCTGGAAGCACACAATTTAAGAAAAGGAAACAGAATGGCGTTAACAAGCGTCAACGTAACACACGCGCTAGAATAGACGATGATTAAATATGTATACTTTATTTTACTTAGATATTTCATAACACTCTGTATTTTTCTACATCAATATTATTTTTAAGTTGAATCTGTTAGCCTCCCCTCCTTGCTCAACGGCTAACCTTAAAACTTCACGTGTTTTTACACACACTTGATTTGTTTCCAACAGAATTAGTTTGTTTAAATAAATGGCAGGACCACCAAAGAAAAAAGCTGTAGTGGTTGAGGATGGCAGCGGTTCTTCGGCTGGGGAAAGCGATTCTGAAAGCATTCATGGCCAACAGGTTCGTAAAACATCATAAAATCTTTTCAAGTCGATTAAAAAGCATTGTATTTGTGGTTCTAGGAGATTCAAACCGACTTTGAAGGACGAAATCCAGACAGTCAAGACTTTCATGGCATCAAACAACTATTGCATCAATTGTTTCTCAAAGCACACATTAATATCTCAGAAATGAGTGATTTGTTGATTGCACAGGCTGGTGTTGGCAGTGTGCTCAAGCAGAGCATGGATGATGATGAAGATGAGGATGATGAGGAGGATTGCACCATGAGTGATGCCCTGGATGTGTTTGGTATTACTTCAGTTTTAAACTTGACTAAAAACAAGGTAATTAAAAAGATTTCAAACAGCAAAAACAATTCTATAAGGATAATAAGCAATAATATTGAATACATTTTTAGCAATCATCTTGTGTTCAAGAATTCACTGATCTCCTCAAAGAACTTTCTCTTAAACACGCCGCTAACGACACACAAGCAGAAATCATCAATATTTTAAAAAGTAATAAGAAACTAGGCTTGCTAATCAATGAAAGATTTGTAAACATTCCCGCGAAAATTTCGGATCCATTGCTTTCATCACTGCTCAGTGAACTGGATTCCATAAAGAAAAAGACATCAGTTATGATTTTGATTATTTTATTATGATTTCCAAGTTTCACAAAGAAAAAACCAATAGTTCTGAGATAATATTTGCTAATGCAGAGGAGGAGTTGTTTGAAAAGGCAGCAAACTGTTCCTTTGAATTCTGCGTGCAGAATGATAGCGATTCAACAGTTGCTGGCAAGTGGACAGAGAACGATGTTGAATTGGTTCCCTACAGAAAGGTGCTACTTTTTAGTGCCAATAAACTTGCGAATATCATTCAGCAGGTCAAAGTTTTGGTTAATTAATATGTAATTTTAAGCAAATAAAAAATGTGATTGTTTGCGCAAATTCGTGTCAGTTTTACACATTTTCCTTCGCAGGTTGATGTAAAATAAATAAAATAAACAAATCAATATTTACCAACACCATTCTGCGTGCAGGTCGAGCAAAAACTCAGCGGTATTAAAGGAAATCGTTTACGAATTCATTATCGTCACTCGAGTACCGTTCGATGACACATCCAAACCGACAATTTGCAGTTAACGCCTCTTCAGCGACAGTTGCCAACGACTTTTCTACGCACAACGACGCAATGAAAAACAAATCATTGATTTATTTAGCCATTCACGTTATTCTTCTTGGTAAGTGTTTTTAAACATCTCTGGAGTATTGATATTAATGAGTTATCTTTAATAGGAATGGTAACATGTCAAATAATGTCCTTCCTGGCGAATCCCGCTGCTCTTATTAAAGAAGAACTTCTGCTACATAATGCGAGTTTAGCAAATCGCACAATGCGTGATTGCACATGGCGACCGGTAGATATGAAAACGGTGTGTCCCGATGAAGATATTAAAACTATCCTCTACACCCCAGATGGACAGAAGGAAGTTGTTGATCCAATGCAGGATGATTGGCTGAGGCAATCTGCGTATGATTCTGATAAGGAGGATATTCTGTTGATACATGGCTATGCTGGTGGTGATGACACTTTACCAATCGCTGTGCTAAGAGACGGTTAGTGAATAATTTTGCAATGAATATTAATAAATTTCTGGTGATTTTTTCTAGCTTATATTAAAAATGGGAGTTATAATGTATGGATGTTGGATTGGGGTGCGCTGTGTCAACCGCCATGTTATCCCGCTGCTGTACATAACATAAAAGCAGTTGCCAAGTGTACTGGTGATTTATTAATGGCTTTGCGTCGTGTTGGGCTGCGTACGGATAAACTGACCTGTGTGGGTCACTCCTTAGGTGCTCACACATGTGGTTTGATTGCCAAACACGTGCAATTCCGGATGCACCGTATTGTAGCATTGGACCCGGCGCGCCCTTTACTTCCGGCCGCTAGTAGGTTGAGTAGCGGTGACGCGAGTGCTGTACACGCTGTGCATACCAATGCTGGTCATTATGGAGAAGCAGGCAGGTCTGGACATGTTGACTTTTGTATCAATGGCGGTAGGACGCAGCCATATTGTGAAAATGCTGGATGTAATATATGGTTTGAATGTTTTTGTAGAAAAATGATTGAATGATTGTTTTAGTTGATGTTAACTTGTGTAGTCATGTGTGGGCGATTTGTTATATGGCGGAAAGTCTGCATCCGTCATTGGCGCGCCGAGCTGAACCCTGCTCGAGGAGATGTCCGACGGGACCTCGACCAGGACATCGAATTGGGATTCCAATTCTTTTAGGGCAATTCACACCTCTAAAGTATTATTTATCAGTATAAAGCTTTATTAGTACTTTTATTAATGCATTTTTAGAGTTTCTGGTTCGTACTGCGTTTTCACGCCAGATCCGCCATATTGTCCACAGAAACCGGGTGATATTGGTGATGTGCGTTGTTGTCTTCGGGCACCCGATTACGAAGTTACCGAGGTGATAGATGACGTTTATGATAATATTACGGTGGCCAACTATATAATATCATAAATATTTTATTATTTTATGCCGTACTATTTTATGTTTATTTTACAAACTTGTAAAAAATGTTAATAGTTAATGTAAAATCGCGCAAATCTTTCATTAAATTTAAAAATTTAATTTAAAATTTACGCAATCGCTCACTGACGCCACACTTTTTGAAACGCTTTCTATTTTCTGGAAGTACAATAAAGAATTCACAGGTGGCGCAACGATGCATGTTTTAACTAAAAATATTCCTGCGAGTGAAAGTCGACGTGCACAGTTGTGATGCCGGCACGCAGCTCTTACTTTGTGCGGCTGATAAGAATACTCCGCCGAGTATTCGTGTTTCTCGTTGTAAATTCGGTATATCGCGTTATATTTTATTGAATTTAGTATTAATTGCCGTGTTTCGTCATTCGGTTAATATTTATCGTGTATGTAATCTTCGGAATTCAATGTTTTTTGTGTTTATTACATTTTCGCGTGGATTTCTGATCGATTGCCGTCGGACGCCGGCCGGCAGACTTTGTGTGTGATTATAAATAATATATATTTTGGACTTGTGCGAACCATTTTTGACTACTGCACAACTCGTTGGCTCAATGGCGGTATTCGATATACTGGTAAGTAAAATTTTTATCATTCATAGTATGTGTTTTCCTGATTTCTTGCAATTATAAAATTGATATCTTTTGTGGAAATCTTTACTTCAATATAACTCAAATCATAAATCATAATTTCATAATTTAAATTTTAGTTCACTAACATGAACTAAAAATCATAAAATAGCATTGTGTATTTCTATATTTATCGGTAAGCGTGTGGACATTCGAGACGACAATCGTGTTTGTTTTGAACACAATTTACTTTCTTATCGCTTCCGCCGGGTGGAATGCAACGCATGAGACTCCCGAGTGTCGTGTTTCAATCACCTCACGCCGCATGCAGCATATTCTAGTTTAGTTTGGATCGCGGGCATCTTGCCTATTGCAACTCGCACACAAGGTCACATGCCATCGACGCGCCGGTTTTGCGCATCTCTTGACTTCTTATCATAAACTTTTGCGTCGTTTCATGCTCGGCTGCGGAATATGCGTTTGCAGCCTGTTTTGTGCGGATCGCTAGTTAATCTAGGCGTGTTTTGATTGACTCGTAAATCGCGTTTTTATATTGTCCATCGACTGCATTTAGCTATTACGGGCGTGTTTAGTGTTTTATTACAAAATCGTTAATTTTTGTTGCGGTCGGTGTGCGTATTGCAAGATGACCGCGTGCAATCAACTTGTTTACACTGCACGTAAACGAGATACATGTAGCATGCAACGTCTTGCAACGTTTGTTGTGATATTATTTGGACAATGGATTGGAACAATGAGAATCTTCTTCGTGAAAGCCGAGAAAGAACGGTACAGTGCAAACTTTTTAAAATTTTAATTCACTCATTCGTGTTTGCATTGTTCTACAAGTTTTATTCATACGAGTGCAGTTACGTTTTTGCTTAGGCCGGGTTGGAATGATATCTTGTTATTGTTGTGAACATGCTTATCTAACCGTGTCTAGTATTACCTTATTTAAATGTGATTTAACTTTAGTTTGTGATGAATTCTGCGCCCTATTCTTGGCCATGATCCAACGGCCTATTAAGGACCGTCGCAAGCGGTCATATAGTTTTAATATGTAATGTGACACTACATATTTTCGCCGATTGTTTTGAAACTTTTTAATGCGATTCCTAGGCGGAATTCTACTATTGCTTATCAGTATTTGTTTGTGTATAAACAAGTTTTCGAGTCGCATTTATATCATATTTTACACTTCGCCGCGAAGTTTTATTGCATGTTTTGTCTCTGCCTCTGCCTTTTATCATTACTTGCACACAACGTTCTAACTATCGTTCTCTTCTCTGTTTTAGCAATTGTCTTCGAGTTCCGATGCCCGAGTCACGAGCTAAATTAGAATGCGAATTTGATTCGCTTCGTCGGTCGACTCCCGATTTAAAATAAAATAAATATTGACACCCCTTCCCGCATTTCCACTTAACAATGTCATTTATTTCACAGATTTTATCATCTGCAACAATAGTCCTGAGTGTTGCAACGAGTGAAATACTGGTATGTGGTATGTATAACTAAGTACTCTCGTACTACCATTGTATTTCAGTATAACTAAGTGTTTGTTTTGTACTTATCCCCACGTGCTGGTAATATGTATGTCTTTTTAATCATTGAACGCGAGCTGGGCGTCGCACAAACTCGAGCGGGGTGTCTAGAGTTGTAGAAATATATTCTCCGTCGGGTTGTATTTGTTAGCGGTGGAAGTGACTTGATTCAGGGTACCTTACGAGACTAGCGGTAAAAGTGACTCATGTTCAGGGCACCGTATAAAAATTTGCATGAAAAAATCACCCTTCTTCATGAAATGTTTGTATTTTTTGTGTTTGCGCGCGATCTAGGCGGCTCACTAACGCCAGCGCGGCGTCTAGAGATGCGAAATTAAATTCTCCATCGGGTGGTATTTGTTTGTAGCCGGTATTCGGCCTGCAACGCGCGAAAATTTGCATAAAAAGTGATTTTTATCACCATTTCTCGTGAAATGTTTGTATTTTTTTGTGTTTGCGCGCGATCTAGGCGGCTCTCTAACGTCTGCGCGGCGTCTAGAGATGCGGAATTAAATTCTCCGTCGGGTGGTATTTGTTTGTTGCCGGAATTCGGCCTGCAACCCGCGAAAATTTGCATTAAAATGTGATTTTTATCACCATTTCTCGTGAAATGTTTGTATTTTTTGTGTTTGCGCGCGATCTAGGCGGCTCTCTAACGTCTGCGTGGCGTCTAGAGATGCGGAATTAAATTCTCCGTCGGGTGGTATTTGTTTGTTGCCGGAATTCGGCCTGCAACCCGCGAAAATTTGCATAAAAAGTGATTTTTATCACCATTTCTCGTGAAATGTTTGTATTTTTTCGTGTTTGCGCGCGATCTAGGCGGCTCTCTAACGTCTGCGTGGCGTGTGTGGAGATGCGGAATTCAATTCTCCGTCGGGTGGTATTTGTTTGTTACCGGAATACGGTATACAACCCCGAAATTGGCATAAAAAGTGATTTTTATCACCATTTCTCGTGAAATGTTTGTATTTTTTCGTGTTTGCGCGCGATCTAGGCGGCTCACTAACGTCAGCATGGCTTCTAGAGATGCGGAATTAAATTCTCCGTCGGGATGTGTTTGTTAGCGGTAGAAGTGACTCAATTCAGGGCGAATTGCCGTAACTAGGGCGGTACCAGCAGTACCAGAGCACAGGGCGCAGACCCTGGAGGAGGCGCAAGAAATGACCATTTTATTTTCAGAACCTGGTTAGAGCATTGTTCAGGGGCGCAGTTTTGAAAGCTCGCACCGGGTGCATAAAGGCTAGTTACCACTGATTCCAGGGTACCTTACGAGACTAGCGGTAAAAGTGACTCGTGTTCAGGATACCGTATGAACCCGGCGAAAATTTGCATGAAAAAGTCACCCCCTTTCATGAAATGTTTGTATTTTTTCGTGTTTGCGCGCGATCTAGGCGGCGCACTAATTTTACCGCGGCGTTCAGAGATGCGGAATTGATTTCTCCGTCGGGTGGTATTTGTTTGTTGTAGGAATTCGACCTGTTCGAAAGACTCATTTTTGCTTGTTTTAGGAATTTTGCACCGGAGTCTGACATCGTAGAAGGACCATTCTGGTATCAGATTGTAAGTAATTAATTCCTTTATCATTTTCCTAATTAACTTTTATGATTATCGTACAAATTGACCCCCAAAATTGCATTTTTATGTTCGAAGGACTAATTTTTACTTGTTTTAGGGATTTTGCAGCTGAGTCTGACACCGTAAGAAGGACCATTCTGGTAGCTATCAGATTGTAAGTAATTAATTCCTTTATCATTTTCCTAATTAACTTTTATGATTATCCTCATTACAAATTGACCCCAAAATTGCATTTAGGGATTTTGCAGCTGGGTCTGACACCGTAGAAGGACCATTCTGGTATCAGATTGTAAGTAATTAATTCCTTTATCATTTCCTAATTAACTTTATGATTATCGTACAAATTGACCCCAAAATTGCATTTTATGTTCAGGACTAATTTTTACTTGTTTTGAGTTTTTAGCTTCAGGTCTGACACCATAGAAGGACCATTCTGGTATCAGATTTAAGTAATTAATTCCTTTATCATTTTCCTAATTAACTTTATGATTATCATTGGAAATTGACCCCAAAATTGCATTTTATGTTCGAAGGACTAATTTTACACTTTACCTTAAATAAATTTTTGTGATTATTACACAAATTGACTCCCCAAAATTTATGCTTGTGTGTTTTACCTATTTAATAAAAGAATATTTTTAAAGTTTTCTAATTATAATTATTTTTGTTATTTCTACCTGATCACATATTTATCGATTCCTTAAACAGTTTTATTTTGAAAAGTGCATGCTAGTGCCATCTATCAATTAGAAACGACAACAACCGAAAGTTTTGAGCTTCGGTCTGCGTCACCACAGAGGCAACACCTTACTAGTTACCGCGAAAACTTTATCAACCCTCCTCAACTTTCTGCGATCTAATATTCAATCTTTATTTTCTCTCGACTCTGAGAGAGGCAAAATGACACAAAATTTGGACTCGAAACAGTCAAACTCAGGATTTAGTATTCGGATCGCAGAAAGGAAATGAGGAAGGCTTAATATTAAACTAAAAAGAGTCAGAAATAAAGATTGAATATTAGGATCGCAGAGAAGTTGAGGAGGCTAAATCTCCAGCAATCTTGAACCGGGCGTAGTTTGGTTACTCGTGGATGGATGACACTAGTGATACCGTTTTAAATAAATTAATATTGATACAATATAAAATTGATTTTGAACTATTTCTCATATCTAGCAGTGGCATTTCCATTAAGTTTAGAGGGTTTTATGGATTAATTAAAGGGTGACGATGTTGCAAGCTATGATTCTCCGTTTGGAACAAATAAAACAATAAAAATTTATAGTTAAAAGTATAAAACAACAATTTTATTTATTCAAACATGTAGAATATACACCCATCAGTAACTCAATTTCTCAATATATACATGTAATTATACAATGCTCTTTTTACAATTTTTAACATAATAAACAAAAATGATATCAATAACAGCTTCATTGTAAATTCTTTCAATCGCATTTGGAATCATCATCAACACCGGCAATCCAATCTTCAATTTCTTGGACACTATAAACCAGAAAGAATAACAGAATAGTAAAATATAAAATATTATAAATTGCAAAAATATAACATACGTTCTGGGTATTTTAGTCCAGTTGTCGTCTTAGTCCACCTTAGCGGGTTGCCGACCGAATTCCTGCAACAAACAAATACAACCCGACGAAGAATTTAATTCCGCATCTCTAGACACCGCGCTGACGATAGTGAGCCAATAGATCGCTTGCTTGCAAACACGAAAAATACAAACATTTTCACGAGAAGGGTGACAAAATCACCCTTTTATGCAAATTTTCACAGGTTGCCGACGGAATTCCTGCAACAAACAAATACAACCAAACTGAAGAATTTAATTCCGCATCTCTAGACACCGCGCTGACGATAGTGAGCCGAATAGATCGCGCGCAAACACGAAAAAATACAAACATTTCAAGAGAAAGGGTGACAAAAATCACCCTTTTATGCAAATTTTCACGGGTTGCCGACGGAATTCCTGCAACAAACAAATACAACCCGACGAAGAATTTAATTCCGCATCTCTAGACACCGCGCTGACGATAGTGAGCCGAATAGATCGCGCGCAAACACGAAAAAATACAAACATTTCAAGAGAAAGGGTGACAAAAATCCTGCCCTTTTATACAGAAGATTTTCACGGGTTGCCGACAGATTCCATAGCTCAAACAAATACAACCCGACGAAGGAATTTAATTCCGCATCTCTAGACACCGCGCTGACGATAGTGAGCCGAATAGATCGCGCGCAAACACGAAAAAATACAAACATTTCAAGAGAAAGGGTGACAAAAATCACCCTTTTATGCAAATTTTCACGGGTTGCCGACGGAATTCCTGCAACAAACAAATACAACCCGACGAAGAATTTAATTCCGCATCTCTAGACACCGCGCTGACGATAGTGAGCCGAATAGATCGCGCGCAAACACGAAAAAATACAAACATTTCAAGAGAAAGGGTGACAAAAATCACCCTTTTATGCAAATTTTCACGGGTTGCCGACGGAATTCCTGCAACAAACAAATACAACCCGACGAAGAATTTAATTCCGCATCTCTAGACACCGAGCTGACAATTGAGCGAATGAATCGCGCGCAAAACACGAAAAAATACAAACATATCAAGAAAGGGTGACAAAATCACCCTTTTATGCAAATTTTCACGGGTTGCCGACGGAATTCCCTGCAACAAACAAATACAACCGACGAAGAATTTAATTCCGCATCTCACAGACACCAGGCTGACGATGATGAGCCAGATAGATCGCGCGCAAACACGAAAAATACCGACATTTCACGAAGGGTGACAAAAATCACCCTTTGTACGAATTTTCACGGGTTGCCGACGGAATTCCTACAACAAACAAATACAACCCGACCAATTTAATTCCGCATCTCTGAACACCGAGCTGACGATGGTAGACCAGATAGATCCTTGCCTGAAACACGAAAAATACAAACATTTCAAGAAGGGTGACAAAAATCACCATTTTATGCAAATTTCACGGGTTGCCGACGGAATTCCTGTAACAAACAAATACAACCGACGAAAAATTTAATTCCGCATCTCTAGACACCGCGCTGACGATAGTGAGCCAGGTAGATCGCGCCGCAAACACGAAAAATGCAAACATTTCAAGAGAAAGGTGAAAAAAATCACCCTTTTATGCAAATTTTCTAAGCGGGTTGCAGGTCGAAATCCTGCAACAAACAAACTCCTAATACGACGAAGAATTTAATTCCGCATCTCTAGACACCGCGCGCTGACGATAGTGAGCCGAATAGATCGCGCGCGCAAACACGAGAAAAATACAAACGACACCGAGAAAGGTGAAATGCGCTTTTATGCAAATTTTCGCGGGTTGCAGGTCGAAATCCTGCAACAAACAAATACAACCCGACGAAGAATTTAATTCCGCATCTCTAGACACCGCGCTGACGATAGTGAGCCGAATAGATCGCGCGCAAACACGAAAAAATACAAACATTTCACGAGAAAGGGTGACAAAAATCGCCGCACATGCAAATTTTCACAGATTTATAGGCGGAATTCCTACAGCAAACAAATACAACCCGACAGCGAAAAGATTTAATTCCGCATCTCTAGACACCGCGCTGACGACAGTAGGCCGAATAGATCGCGCGCAAACACGAAAAATACAAAACATTTCAAGAGAAGGGTGACAAAAATCACCCTTTTATGCAAATTTTCGCGGGTTGCGAGTCGGAAATCTGCAACAAACGTACAACCCGACGAAATTTGGTAAAACCACGAAGGTGACCAAAAATCACACTTATATACAAATTTTCGCGGGTTGCAAATCGAATTCCTGCAACAAACAAATACCACCCGACGGAGAATTTAATTCCGCATCTCTAGACGCCATGTTGAAGTTAGTGAGCCGCCAAGATCGCGCGCAAACCGGAAAAAATACAATTATTTCACGAGAAAGGGTGACTAAAATCACCTTTAATTCATTTTTTCGCGGGTTCCTACGGTGCCCTGAGCACGAGTCACTTTTACCGCTAGCCTCGTAAGGTGCCCTGAATCGAGTCACTTCTACCGCTAACAAATACCGCACCCGGCATAGATTTGAATTCTGCATTTTGACGCCGCGCTGATGTTAGTAGGCCGCAGAGTTCGCATAACGAAAATATACAAAAATATACCTAATACTGACAATCAGAAGTATCAAACATACATACATACTGTACTTATTCTAAGTATACAAAAATATGATGAGACTTACCAGGAATGCAAATCTGAGATTGAAAATCGTAGAACGAAATTATTGATGCCAAGTAGAAACATATCAGGAATGGATTTGCATTAAAACCAGAATTGTTCGCATGAATCGACACTAGAAAACTCAGGAAATTTGGAAAATGGATTTGAACGCTGTACTGAAGGAAATTCCCGATCAAGTAATACTGCAGTAAGAACAAATCAAAATAATTCAATGAAATATTTAATCAAAAGAATAGAAATACTAACACCGATAAATAAGTAGAAGTCAGAAGCAATTCTCGTGTGTGTATTGCAGAGTTGTAGGGAACGGAATAAATATATTTTATCTGTTTTATTTCATGCACCAACCGACCTAGCATCTCACATAAGTCGGGGGAGCAAACCGAAAAATGTCAATAAATTCGCATATCAGGGGCATTCAGTGTAAGAAAAACGTAGAAACATCGGTAAAATAAGCATTTCCCAGGCGGGCAATGTATTAAATTTATATTAATTCAAACCGGAAAGACAATTACAATGACGCGAAACTGAACTATACCCACATGAAATGAAGAATTTAGTATAATCTCACCCATGAACTCTCACCCTATTGTATTGTAACTCGCTGGAACGTCACTTTCAGCCCTCACTGGTATTTCTTCAATTACTATAATAAATGAATAATAAATGTTAAAACATGTTATACAATTGCAAAATAAAAGAATGTTATCAATTCGTGCATCAAAACACGATGTTTGCTGTCGAAATGTATGTGCACGGTGCATTCCACACGGCGAACGAGATAAGAACACACTAGTTGTAAATAAACACCGATAAGCGTCAATAGTCAGAAGATTGAACACAATGCTAGCTGGCAATATCGGCACAAGTTAGAAAAGCTTCGATTTTAATTTGAATTTAATAAAAGATGCAAACGTTCATATGAATTTACTGTATTGTAGATAGGTTTTAAGACCGGCCATTGTGCGCAGCAGAGCTGAGATACCGGCGGCGGCCATGATGCGCCTGAAAGGCAAACACATGCACGGCGAACGCGACGTTATATCGGATACTGACAGACGCTTAGAATGGAAAACTAAATCAATTACATTTATCATTCTAACTTTAAAGAAAGTCCAATGTTATTCCAATTCTTACCAATTGGAAGATGGCCGACGGCATTTCACAACAGGTAAACAACATAGCCGCGATACACTTACGCGCAAATAATAAATAACAATACTAAAGTTGTACTAAGTCAATTTAAAAATTAAATAGTCAATTGATGATTGAATATAATTCGGGTGGAAGAAGTAGAATTCCGAAAGGATAAACAATACGCGTCGCGCAAAATACGTCTGGATCAACCAGCGACCGGCACAAAACTTGTACAAGCTGCATAAGCAACGACGAGGCAGTTTATGATAAGAAAACAAGAGGTGCGCAAAGCCGGCGCGTCGATCACACACGCGACCTTATGCGCGAATTGCATTAACGGTTACCTGAGATCAAAGCTAAACTAAGATGCAGCAACATGCGGCGTGAGGTGCTGGCAACGACGACACACGGCAATGCGATAAGAAAGTGTATATTATGTTCAAACAAACACAATTCTTGTGTCGAAGGTTCACGCTTCCGCATCTCTAGATGCCGCGCTGACGATAGTGAGCCGATTAGATCATGCTGAGCACGAAAAAGACAAACATTTCACGAGGGGCGGCGAAATCCACTCTTTTATGCAGCTTATTGCGACACCGCGTTTGCGTGTTGTATTAAAAAAAACTACAATTTCAATACCGGGAGAAAAATATAATTGAACTATAAACTTACCTATCAGTGTACAGCTTATCGGACTGCCAGGCACAACGAATGCTGTAACTAAACGAAAACATCAATTAAAACAAAGATGAAATTTTAATTCTTAAGAAAAAACTGCCAAGGGGGGGTGCTTGATACTTTTTTTCGACGATTTTTGATAATTAATATCTCTTAAACTAAACGAGATAGCAACCCACGAATTATTGATTATAAAAGATTGGAAAATTCTCTATCAGATAAAAATATAAAATAATTATATTTCCCTGCAGTAAAGGTCGAAAACGCGCCTAAAGTGCTAAGTGACATTTATCAATTTTTGGTACATTCAATCGCGAATATCTCGTAACTAAAAGAGATAAAATAAGATCTGATCGCAGCGTCTTAATCTACGGACCATTTCTATCAGATAGGATAGTTAAAAAGGGAAATGTAAGAGACAAAATTTTAAGTCTTAGAAAAAAAGAATTTCCAAGGGGAGTTAGCGATACTTTTTTTCGACGATTTTTGATGAGTAATATCTCTTAAACTAAGCAGAGATATTAACAACCACAATTTATTTGATTATGAAAAGATTGGAAAATTCTCTATCAGATAAAAATATAAAACAATTATATTTCCACTACAGTAAAGGTCGAAAAAACGCGACTAAAGTGCTAAAAAGTGACATTTTGCAATTTTTGCCCATTTTATTCAATCGCGAATATCTCGTAAACTAAAAGAGATAAATAAGATCTGATCGCAGCGCGTCTTAATCTACGGACCATTTCTATCAGATAGGATGAGTTAAAGAAATATAGTAAAATTTTTAAGTCTGAAAAAAAAATTGCCAGGGGGTGCTTGATACTTTTTGACGTTTTCAAATTCATATCCCTTAAACTAAAGATAGCCTTAACGAATTGTTGATTATGAAAGATTGGAAGATTCTATCAGATAAAAATATAAAATAATTATATATTTCCCTTACCAGTAAAAGGTCAAGCGCGACAAAAGGGTGCTAAAAGTGACATTTTGCAATTTTGCCCATTTCATTCAATCGCCAATATCTCGTAAACTAAAAGAGATAATTAAGATTTGATCGCAGCACGTGTAATCACACGGACCAATCTCTATCAGATAGGATAGTCAAAACCGAAATCTGAGAGATGAAATTTTAAGTCTTATGAAAAAATTGCCAATTTTACTTACCAGTATATCGAATACCGCCAATGAGCCAACGAGTTGTGCAGTAGTCAAAAATGGTTGGCACAAGTCCAAAATATTATATATAATCACACACAAAGCCGGCGTCCGACGGCATTCGATCAGAAATTAACGCGAAAATGTAATAAACACACAAAATATTGAATTCCGAAGATTACATACGCGATAAATATTTACCGAATGACGAAACACGGCAATTAACATTAAATTTAATGAAATATAACGCGATATACCGAAGTATTACACGAAGAAAGAGCTGTGTGCAGCATCACGGCACATGCACGTCGACTTTCACTCCTTGGGAATGGCTATTGCCAAAACATTCATCGTTGCGCCATCTGAGAATACTTTATTGTACTTCCAGATTATACAAAGCGTTTCAAAAAGTGTGGCGTACATACGAGGCATGAGGCAGTATGAGGCAGTGAGCGATTGCCTATGTATCAGTGAGTGGTCACGCACCTAAGTGGCCGTGTCCGTGTATCACACGTACACGAGAGTACGCATTCCATCATCTATCTAAACAAATAGCAATTTTTACACATAACTCAAAACTTCAAATATAGAAGTCAATAGAATATACTTATTCAAAATAAATGAATCTAATTATAATATTATTATAATTATTATCTCTGAATGATACAAGTAGGAATCTCGGCATCTGGATTATTAAATTAAATGAAAGATTTGCGATTTTTAGATTACTAAATTTCAATACATACACTTTTCGGGGTTTACTCATTTAGAATCGAGCATGGAGCATAAGCAGGGGTATGAAAATTGCAAAAATTATCATAGATGACAATAATTTAAATTTTGACATGAATTATAATTTGAACAATAGTTATGTTGTTGCCGCCAACCAAAAGTTGATTTTAATTTGTGTGTTATTCGATACGAATACGAATATCTGCGCTTTCTATTTAGATCATCGTCGCCTGGGCACGTACGCCAACACTTTTATCATTGTATTCTTTCTTCTGATTTTTTCCTGCACGTACAATAAAAGTATTACACACATCGTACACTTGTAACTCGTTCGGCGGGCCAGGTGAGGTGTTTGCAGCATAAAGTACCGTAAAATTGATTCGGGTTCTTTAACGCACACGAAACCTGTTGTACCTACTGTGTATTCAATCCAAAGATTCTCCTTCGGCATTTTGAACTTATTTAATTAGATATATCATTATATACCGTTTTATCCAACGCAATCAAATTTAGTTCTCTCTGCAACGTGCAAAGCTCTGAAAGTAAATGTGTTAAAATGTCGCAAAACGGTGCCAAAACAATTGTTTTCTTCATTATCTTAATATGTGCTTTTATTCATTGTGAGTGCTTCATTTGGAATATTGGTGACTGTGCGGTGTATTATGATGAACCATGTAAGAAAACTGTAGTGGATTTTCGTCTTTATACGCATGAAAATGGACGTACTTCAGTTGTCACCCTCAATCCGTTTAAACCAACAATGCCGCGATCGTTAAAAACAAATCGCGGTTTAAAAATTTTAATCCATGGATATGGGGGTTTAGGAATTGACTACGCTATTAAAAATGTCACCGCTGCGTACAAACTTTCAAAGGTTCCAGTAATTATAGGTATAATTGTTGTAAAACTAAGCTACCATCATTCTAAATAAATATTGTAGTTGATTGGAGCATGATATCTTCAATACCCTGCTATCCAACCGCGTTTTTCAATACTTGGCATGTTGGACAATGCACGGCCATTTTAACAGTCAGCTTGGCGAAGGCAGGCATCCCACCGAACAAAATTCACGTTATTGGATTCAGCTTGGGTGCCCACATTGCAAGTTTTGCTAGTAATCAACTGCAAAAAACGTTGGGAGTGCCTTATCATCGGATAACAGGTGATATTTAAAAACCTTTTCGGCGAAATTGTTTAAAAGATGCCTCCTGTGAGGTTTGAACTCACGACCCCTGGTTTACGAGACCAGTGCTCTACCACTGAGCTAAAGAGGCTCACAACATTGAAAATTAAAAAATTAAAAGTGTTTAAAAGGTTTGGATCCAGCCTTACCATTTTTTGCAACATTGGTGAACGAATGGAAGCTAGACCCCAGCGATGCGCCCTTTGTGGATGTGATTCACACCAGTGCAGGGTCCTTCGGTAAACTGGAAGCCATTGGTCATGTGGATTTCTATATCAATGGAGGTGCTATGCAGCCAAATTGCATCAACGCCAATTGTAATCAACTTGTACAAAAATACAAAACAATCGATTAATATAATTCTTATTTTCCTTAAGATCCTCAACTCTGCAGTCACGTAATGGCGGGTACGTATTACGCCAGCACAATACGCAACAAGAAGTTCTTCGGCTACGCATGTCCGAGTATTTTACACTATACGCTCGGTTTCTGTTCGTTTGAGAATGCAACCGGCGTTTTGATGGGCGAACACGTCGACCGCAAGTAAATTTTATGTCGGGTAAAAATCTTATGTTCGTACTTTTAATGAAATCATTTATATTCCAGAGCACGAGGCATTTATTTTGTGGAAACGACTAATCCATTACGATTTCGTGCTTTAGAAACAAAAACCTAGCGAATTGAATAATTACAGATGTTCCGCAAGAAATCCATTAAAATTATTGATAAATAACAAATAGGTGCAAAGATTCAAGTACGTCCAGTCATCGGCTACAAGGCCGCCATATTACTTACGGAGCAATTAATGTAAATAATGTAAACTGTGAGCAATTATGCGACACTGAACCACGATCAAGCAATCACAATTAATCACACCGTAATAGAAATTCAACACGGTTCAACTAACTGTGCGACGCACGCACATGGTGATTCCGTTATTATGCAACCAAAATGGACGTCCAGCATGAATCGTGGCGTGAATTTTAATTATATTTGTGACAAATTCTTGAAATCAAGTTTTCTTACACTCACAACTTACTTCTTGACAAGCGTTGTCTTTTTTTTGTTATTGAGAAATCGTGTGTAATAATAATTGATGTTGATAAATAAAGATATAAGTACCAGTTCAAAAGTGCGATTCTCCCCTCTAGATGTGTGTGGTTCCCCTCTCGATCAGCGATTTCAGTTGTTGACTTTTTCAAAGTGGAAAATGACTATTTTCTGATCGTGCAGCATTGCGTAACAATGGCAACCACAGCGTGGTGGTACAGTTTTAAAGTTTGGTTTATTCTCTGCGCACATTTTGGTAAGTAAATTACATTACTTTCCAGTGCAGGTGTCAATTTAAGTTTTTTAGAACTTTATCACTTTTCGGGAATATTAGAAGAAAATTTTATCCAATTGGCGCCTCCACCACCGCCATTACCACCATTTGCACCTATTGAAGACGAAACCGGAAATGATCATATACTAGGTCCACCATTTCGACAAGAACGACAAGATTCACTTGGATTTGGATCATGTATTGTGGTTTTATCAAGGTTTTAATAAAAGGTGCCTTTTACTCACGGAAAAATTTAACTTGACACCATTTTCAGGGAATGTCCACATAAAGATGTTTCTTACCACCTGTACACTCGTTCCCACCCGGATCATCCGGAAACTATTCGAATTGGAGCTAATTCCGGTGAATCCAACATCACCAGCAGTATGTTCAATGCAAGCCACCCTACGAAGGTCATAATCCATGGATATAATTCAGACATGTATATTAGTGCACTGGTTGAAGTTAAAAATCGTAAGTTATAATTACATAATTTTACCTTAAATTACCTCACAACTTTGTTTTCGTAGAATACCTTGCCCATAATGATTATAACATTTTCGCTATCGACTGGAGTCCACTTGCACAAGGTCCCTGCTATCCTGCAGCCGTGTGGAACGCGAGATTTGCCGGCCGTTGTTCCGCCATATTGATACAACGCCTTCGTGAACTCAACGTCACGGATCTACACGTCATCGGGTTTAGTCTAGGTGCTCATGTGTGTGCATTTATGGCAAACCATTTGAATCCATATAAAGTTCCACGCATCACTGGGTTAGACCCTGCATTACCTGGCTTTGCAACAGTTAGTACTGTAGGGAAACTGGACGCATCTGACGCGGAATTTGTTGATGTGATTCATACCAATGCGTTCGTCCAAGGCAAGGTGGAACAATGTGGACACGTGGACTTTTATTGTAATGGCGGCGTGATACAACCAGGATGTTGGGCTGATAACAGTAGGAGATTTCTTCTAGAATATATAAATAAATAATTACATATGGTCGTTATGTTTATATTTGTAGGATTCTTTGCGTGCAACCACCACCGGGCGCCATTTTACTTTGCGGAATCCATCAACTCACCGTTGGGATTCTACGGCTGGACGTGCCCGAGTTACCTTGCTTATGTTTTTGGAAGGTGCCCACCCCAAGGAGTACAAACCCTTATGGGAGAGTATGTGGATCGTGCTGTACGCGGGATGCAGCTGGTTATTACAGATTCGGTACCGCCATTTGCCGTTGGGCAGTTTACTGGTCCCACAATTGACATTCTCTACAGGCAACACGAACTCAATCGAATCGAAGACTTTGAACGCTACAAGAACGAATTGGAACAGTGTGACGTAAATGACATCAACGAGGCACTAGCAATTGAAAATGCACCTGTGCTGTACGAAGAAGAATTTGAACATATTTTCTACTAGATTCATTTAGTTGTAATGTGGTAAATTATTCATCAAACGTTTTACAAACTAGTTGCTTAATTGCAATTATTTCAAGGACTGCGCGATTAAAAAAAGGGTCAATTGCACGACAAGCGTAAACGTTTAAAATTAAAACTACATTAACGTAAATAATTACCTCTTCTACGACCCCATAAAATGTAATTGAAAACATTTTGATTGCAAGGAATTAAAACCGAACTTTAATTAATAAACTTTGGTGATTCATGATTAGTGTGTGTTTGTTTATTCCAATTAACAGCAATTCCGAGCAATTTTCGTAGCCATATTGGATTTTTATATCCGTGCGGCGATAAGGAAACGGCTACAAAGTTGTGAGAATGTTTAAAATGCACCCGAGACGCAAAAATATAAATACAAACCGGGAATGAAACTGTCCCACGCTCATAAAACGCTGTTTACGATGAGGATGCGAAGGTATTATGTATGTTTTAGGAGGTATCGCCACCATGTTGGATAGTTGCTCGCATGGACGAAGTTGGGTATATTTTGCTGATAGTATTAATCCGAGGGAATTATATCTTGCCGAATTAGAACCGGACGTTGTTAGTAAAATGCCGCATCATTTTTATGTGCATGAAGTGATGGGGGAGTATGTAAATCAAAAAGGCCACGGGGTTTTCTATTTAAGAACAAACAGTCAGCCACCGTATGCCCTGAATTATTCGTAATTTTTACTACACTGAAGTGCAAGACATAGTAAATTATCCCTGAGTGACGACTAATACTTTACCACCTTTTAAATTTATAAATAATTCTTATTATTTTGTCAAAATACAAGTACTATATAATTTTGTTATTATCTTTTTATTTTTATACCAACTGATAAAATTATATTTTAAATGTAACGAATTATTTTTAAGTTGGGTACGCAAAAGTCCCTAGATGGCTGTATCTAGCGCCAAAGCTGTCATTCCATGGTTACAATATTTTGTAAATGGTCGGCCATGTTGTATCGATTTTATATACTAACCAAACGCGTTTCCAACGCGTAGTTATCAGTTTTCGTCGTGAACAAACTTAATAATAAGAAATATAAAACAATAGTTTAATTTGTGCGCTTAAACGGAGTATTCCTTGCACTATGGAGGACATTCCGAGAACTCACGAAGGTATTTATAATTTTATACAATACATTACGTTCAAATTACGCACAGGAAAACTGATAATCAACAACATTTTATTCCAGACATCGAAGCCCAGATTCGAGAAATTCAATCGAAGAAGAAAGAACTACCCGAGGAGCCGGTTGATAAGGGCGTTGGTCTTGGCGAAAGCGGTTATTTTGATAGTGAGATTTATGATGGAGGTGGTGGCAAGAGCAAGTATGAGGGCTATGTCACTTCAATTGCTGCAAATGATGAGGTGGATGATGAAGAAGAAGATGTTGGATTCACCCAAAAACGCACAGGATTGGGAGCGCCGGTTGCGCTACTTAATGATGTTGCACAGGTACTGATTGGGAACGAATTTATTGTAATAAATACTGATTTGTTGCTTCAATTTTGCAGGCGGATAAGGATTATGATCCATTTGCCGATCGTCGCCGGCCAACAATCGCAGATCGCGAAGATGAATACCGGCAGAAGCGGCGCAAGATGATCATCTCGCCCGAACGCATCGATCCTTTTGCAGACGGTAAGTCGGCGCGCGTTTTATTTCCATTAATATAAACTCATAGCTAAGCAAATTGTACTATATGGGGTGTGTGAATGAAATGGTGTGAATGTGACAAATATTAGGTGACCACTTTTTGCAAACATAAGCAAGTAAGTCTTCTTAGCGAACAAGTACACAAAAAACTAATGACTGTTTTGTTCTCATCGGCGATGTCTACTAGGTAAACATCATAGATCTGCACGATAGTGGAGCGCGCGCGCAAAAAAGCATTGGTAACAATCTGAGAGTGGCATTTGATTCGAAACCTAAATGAACACGCGCAGGACCTAGAGAGAGAATGAGTGTGTAAAGAAATGAAACATTATTAATGACCCCCAGCCTATTTCTAGGTTCGCTTTCCTGTTAAATCAAGAATCGGTTCGAGATGCCGGCGTAGATCATGTACGTATAACGATTAGCAATGTTGCGTTCGCTGTTGTGGCTAAACAGCATTTTATCTCTGATCAAAATGCGGGCCAATCTTGCTAAGTCGTTTTAACAATAATCTTCACTGCAAGAGTCTCTTTAATCGCGCTGCAGGACGGGCATTTTAATGCATTGCAATTAAAGGGACACCAATCATTTCGAGTGTGACTAATGCGGCGCCGCTTGACGCTCGTTCTGTTTGCAGGTGGCAAGACGCCCGATTTTAATGCCAGGGGTTATACGCAGATTATGAAAGAGCACCTCTTGAAGGGCGAAGAAAATGAAGTAAGTGAACAATAAATATTGGAATTTTTCTTATTCTAATGGTATTTTTTCTATAGGTACGTCGAAAATTGGCAGAAAAAGCAAAGGAGGGCACGCTCAAAGCTACAAACGGCGATTCCAAGGCGGCGAAGAAGCGCGGACGTTGGGATCAAACAGTTGAGGACAGTTTTGTACCGGCGAAGAAGAAAACACTCGCAATCAGCACTGCAGATGCCACACCAAAATGGGGAGATGCCGGCGATGTATGAGAATGTCCTATGTAAATCAAACTTGTACTAATATTGTTTTGTTTGTAGAAAACGCCAGCTGATCATCGTTGGGATGAAACTCCGGGTCACAAAGGAAGCGAAACACCAGGCGCAACTCCTGGCCAATCTACGCGTATATGGGACGCTACCCCAGGCGCCGCCACACCAGGAAGAGAAACTCCAGGTCATGATAAAGCAGCATCACGTAGAAATCGCTGGGATGAAACGCCCAAAACTGAACGTGAAACACCGGGACATTCGAGTGGGTGGGCTGAAACCCCGCGTACTGACCGAGCTGCGGCTGATCTTATTCAGGAGACACCGACACCAGGCGCGTCAAAACGACGGTGAGTTAGTTTACAAGTAATTGCAATTGGCTTTTTATCTTTATTGTTATGGTCGTGATGTTGACGACTCGGTCTCCGCACTTTGCTCTCCCCGCTGTTTTTTCTTCAGCTCTTCTTGCACAGCAGCCGATTCTTTGATTATATCTTTGTGTTGCGCCTGTGGAATATTTTGATGCCATCTTCTGTCCTCATCGCGTGGTTGCAAACATAGTTTGGTTGCTGTGAACATACAATCAAGGATCCATACTAGTACTTCCACTGCAAGCAGTATGTACGAGACATGTGTCCACTCGGTGCTTGACCTGTTTTTTGCGATTAGTGCAATCACAGTAATCGCAGCAACTCCCGACGTTGTTGCCAGACCGTTAACCAAAGACATTGCATTGATGTTCCGGATGCTCATGTCTAACATGTTCAGTCCACCATAGAAAAATCCTGCAAGAAGTGCCGCAATATGAATCAACACTAATGTTGTTACTTGTTGTTGGCTTGCAATATAAAATGCTGATACTAGAGTTACTCCGCTGAGAACATTACCAAAAGAGCAGTAAATAACTCGTAGAAAATCGACGTTTATGTTCTTCTTATTTACCATCCATGAAAAACCCAAGCGGGAGATAATCCCACACATGTACATTAACGCGAAAGGTGTTCCAGCGTATATGGAATAATCTTCTACTTCATATTTTAACACCTCATGCAGATACTTGGGCAAGTAAGTGTCTAGTGTGAACAGGATGTATGTGTGCCCGAAGGTTGCAACGATCTGGCAGCCGTAGGAAAGTTTCTGGACTTTCTCGGCTACTAATTCGTTTTGAATGAAGTCGGCGCGTTGGTAGGAACTGCCTTGGGCTGAAATACGTGGATGTGTTTTCGGATATGAGTAAATGTACACCATGAATAGAACCAGCCATGTGGCAGTGAAGCCACTCCACATGTAATAAGCATACTGCCAGTTTTTCCAGTATGATGACACGATTGCAGAGAGGTAGATTCCTAAGAATGTACCCATTGGTGCACCGGCGTAGATTATCGCTGCTATTGTTGATCGGTTTTCTAGGGGTACCCAGTATGTTAACAGGGAAGATATTCCCGGCATTAGGACAGATTGGCCAGCGCCGGTTATTATTCTAATGACAACCAACGCAGACCAGTGGAAACTTGATACAAACGGGATTAATCCAGTCATCACGCTTGAGATTATCATTCCGATGATTATGGGAATCCGTGCACCCATTTTTTGTATTATTAGTCCGGCACCAATGTGACTTATAGAGTATCCTATGTAAAATCCCATCAAAATTAGGGCTTGTTGTAACTCTGTCCATTTGTGAGGTTCTTCAGAGTTGATTGTTATTTCTGATATCGATATGGGTAGAACCTGTCGCATGCAGAAGGCTAGTGTTAGTCCAATGAATGCTAGGATTGTGAGTAGTTGTCGCGGGGGTGCTGTATAACAGATTCCGCAACACACCATGTTGACTTTGACTCTGACGTGAATTTGAAGTTATTCATTTGTTTGTTTTGGTTTTATTTCAGATCGAGATGGGACGAAACGCCATCGGCTACGCCCTCGGTGAGCATGACACCAGGAGCCATGACCCCGCAAACTCCGCATGGTACACCCAGTCATTCTACGCCTATGTTGACCCCAGGTGGATCTACACCCGTAGGGATGAAGGCGATGAACATGGCTACGCCTACTCCAGGCCATCTTGCTTCAATGACCCCGGAACAGCTTCAGGCTTTCCGTTGGGAGCGCGAAATCGACGAACGTAATCGTCCGTATACTGATGAAGAGTTAGATTCTATGTTTCCTCCTGGCTATAAAATACTACAACCTCCGGCTGGATATATTCCTATTCGTACTCCTGCGCGTAAACTTACTGCTACACCAACACCAATGATGGGCAATACACCACAAGGTTTCTTCATGCAAACCGAAGACAAATCTGCAAAGTTTGTCGACAATCAACCCAAAGGACAAAACCTTCCGTTTATGAAACCTGAGGACGCGCAATATTTCGATAAGTTATTAGTCGACGTCGATGAAGAATCGCTTGCCCCCGAAGAACAAAAAGAACGCAAGATTATGAAGCTGCTGTTGAAGATTAAGAACGGCACTCCGCCAATGCGTAAAGCCGCGTTGAGGCAGATCACTGACAAGGCGCGCGAGTTTGGCGCTGGGCCTCTTTTCAATCAAATTCTTCCGCTTCTTATGAGTCCCACTCTCGAAGATCAGGAACGGCATCTTTTGGTGAAAGTCATTGATCGTATTCTCTACAAACTTGACGATCTGGTACGTCCATACGTGCATAAGATCCTCGTTGTCATAGAGCCACTGCTTATTGATGAAGATTATTACGCGCGTGTTGAAGGTAGAGAGATTATTTCGAATTTGGCCAAAGCTGCTGGTTTAGCCACGATGATCTCCACAATGCGACCGGATATTGACAATATCGATGAATATGTGAGGAATACAACTGCCAGGGCTTTTGCGGTTGTTGCATCTGCACTTGGTATTCCATCTCTGCTACCGTTTTTGAAAGCGGTTTGTCGATCAAAGAAATCCTGGCAGGCGCGTCACACTGGAATAAAAATTGTTCAACAGATTGCTATTCTCATGGGATGCGCAATTTTACCCCATCTGAAATCTTTGGTTGAGATTATCGAACATGGTTTGGTTGATGAACAACAGAAAGTGCGAACAATTACTGCTTTGGGTATTGCAGCTCTTGCGGAGGCAGCCACACCGTATGGTATTGAAAGTTTTGATTCGGTTCTTAAACCATTGTGGAAAGGTATACGCACACATCGCGGCAAAGGTTTGGCGGCTTTCTTAAAAGCTATTGGTTATCTTATTCCGCTCATGGATGCTGAATACGCTAATTATTACACTCGTGAAGTGATGCTCATTTTGATCCGGGAGTTTCAGTCGCCCGACGAAGAGATGAAGAAGATTGTCCTTAAAGTCGTGAAGCAATGCTGTGGTACTGATGGTGTGGAACCTCAATACATCAAGGAGGAAATTCTTCCACAGTTCTTCAAACATTTCTGGAATCATCGCATGGCGTTAGATCGAAGAAACTATCGTCAATTGGTTGATACCACCGTGGAGATTGCGAATAAAGTCGGTGCTTCGGAGATTATCAATCGTATCGTTGACGATCTCAAGGATGAAAATGAACAGTACCGTAAAATGGTTATGGAATCAATCGAGAAGATCATGGGTAATCTAGGAGCGGCGGATATCGACTCCCGACTCGAGGAGCAACTCATCGACGGCATTCTCTATGCCTTCCAGGAACAGACCACTGAAGATGTGGTCATGCTCAATGGATTCGGAACGATTGTGAATCAACTTGGAAAGCGAGTGAAGCCCTATTTACCTCAGATTTGCGGCACGATTCTGTGGCGTTTGAATAATAAGAGCGCCAAGGTCCGACAACAAGCTGCGGATTTGATATCGCGTATTGCTGTTGTTATGAAGACCTGCCAAGAGGAGAAACTCATGGGTCATCTCGGTGTAGTCCTGTATGAGTATCTCGGAGAAGAGTATCCGGAAGTATTGGGATCTATTCTCGGAGCATTGAAAGCAATCGTCAATGTTATCGGAATGACCAAGATGACTCCACCTATCAAGGACCTGTTGCCTAGACTAACGCCCATTTTAAAGAACAGACATGAAAAAGTACAGGAGAATTGTATTGATCTGGTTGGCAGGATTGCTGATCGTGGACCTGAATATGTCTCCGCTAGGGAATGGATGCGAATTTGTTTCGAGTTGTTGGAGTTGCTCAAAGCACACAAGAAAGCTATTCGCAGAGCGACTGTTAATACATTTGGTTACATTGCTAAAGCAATTGGACCGCACGATGTGTTAGCTACGTTGTTGAACAACTTAAAAGTGCAGGAACGTCAGAATCGTGTGTGTACCACTGTGGCTATTGCTATTGTGGCGGAAACCTGCTCACCTTTCACGGTTTTACCAGCGTTGATGAATGAGTACCGCGTTCCCGAGTTAAATGTCCAAAACGGCGTTCTTAAATCTTTATCCTTCCTCTTTGAATACATCGGTGAGATGGGAAAGGATTACATCTACGCTGTTGCACCTCTGCTAGAAGATGCGCTCATGGATCGAGATCTTGTTCATAGACAAACTGCTTGTGCAGCTATTAAACACATGGCGTTGGGGGTGTATGGTTTTGGTTGTGAGGATGCCCTCATTCATCTGCTGAACTATGTCTGGCCGAATATCTTCGAGACATCGCCTCATTTAGTGCAGGCGTTTATGGACGCCATTGAGGGCATGCGCGTGGCGTTGGGTCCTATTAAGATTCTGCAATACACTCTTCAGGGACTGTTCCATCCGGCAAGGAAAGTGCGTGATGTCTATTGGAAGATTTACAACTCCTTGTATATTGGCGGGCAGGATGCCCTCGTCGGTGGATATCCGCGAATCATGAACGATCCGAAGAATCAGTACCTGCGCTACGAGTTGGATTATGTGTTGTAGTACGTTTAATATTCAGCGCCTGGGGGTTTTAATTTTATTATATTAAAAAAATTATCTCTATGCATTCAACCAACATAATTATTATTAATACTGTTCGCTTGGCATTCAGGTCAAGGACTAGTTTTTGATTTGTACTTCCTGGTTACTGAGGTATGCGATCGCGCAGATACGCCATGACTGAGTCCGTGCCCTGCTCTAAAATAGCATAACGCGGCTGCCGGAAGCTGTTGCCTTTCAGCTCAACGCATCTGCAATTAACAACATGACAGAATTATTTATTTATTTGCGGATCAGTACAAACCTAATTTGTTTGAGTAGACCTAATTCAAATGGTACGTGATCTATGCTATTATTGGTAAAGTCTAGCGTAGCCAGTCGCTGCAATCGTTTTAAACCGTCAACATCAATCTTTCGTACTTGATTATCAGAAATTAACAATATTTCCAACTTTTCTAGAGAATATACACATTCGGGCACACTGGTAAATCTGAAATGTAAATTGTCTATCTTTACAACTGCTAAAATTTTATAATGCTGTTTTGCCTCACGCATTAAAACTCAATATCAATTCGCGCATATTGGGTAATCCTTTCAAGTCAGGCAAATCCGAGAGCTGATTCCTGCCAACATCCAAATATTGCAGGCGGGTGAAATCCGCGATGAAACTCGGCAGAGTTTTGAGTTTGTTGGTGTTTAAATTTAATTCGCTTACATTTTCGGCGACAATTTGCAAGCTACAATATTAGAAACTTGTTTTGCGATTGCTTCATTATATAATATTTTTTGTTATATGCGTACCCTGAAGGCACTTCGAGAAGTTTATTCTTGCTGATGTCTACAATGTGCACGTCAGCACTCAAAGCATCTTTGAATACTTCGTCCGGCACGAAGGAGATTTCTTTCATCGCGAGATTAACAGCACGCGAATTCCTCATCATGTATCTACATACAGTCAAAAAAGTTAATTATTAGTGTAAAAAAATTATAGAAAGTTAAATTGTACATACTTGTCCGGGAATATTCGTGGTTCTGGTGATAAACTTGTATGCGTTTGCGATGGACTCAATCGAATGCTTTCATCGGCATCCATTTTATCTCTTAAATGCTTCAAAAGTCGACAAGTTCCTGCCTTCAGCAGGTCTTGTCTTATGTGTCGGAATTTGTTTCCTTCAATCTGTAAATTTTGAAGGTGCGACAATAAACCCAATGAATTCGGTAACGCAGTTAATTCATTGTTGGTCAAGTCCAACCGAATTAAATGTTGTAACATTGCAATCTTATCGGGTAATTCTTCGATTTTGTTGTCTCTAAGGTCGAGGATTTTCAGCAGTGGTAAATTCTCGCAGAACTCTTCGGTTACAGCTTTAATGAAATTATTTCCAAAATGCAGTTCTTGCAATGCATCGCAACCTTCAAACATGGGTAGATCTTCTATATCATTGTGTTGCGCATGTATCACATGCAATTTACGCATGTCGCTCATATTGGGTAGCGATTTTAAGTTGTTATGTGTGACGTCCAATTTAGTCATTGCTGAAAAGTTTATTATTAATCTCGTTGATTTTAAATTAATTGCGGGTACCTCGCATGCAGCTAATGTCCAAAGGCAGTTCGGTGAGTTGGTTGTGGGAAACGTTAAACTCAGTCACTCGCACCAGATACCCAATACCCGTAGGCAAACTTGTTAATAAGTTATTTGATAGATCCTGCGAAATTTAAAGTGGTAGGATAAGCCGGAACTTAATTTAATATTATAAATTTAATTACCAGCGTTTGAAGCATCACCATATCAACAAACTCATCGCCGAGTTTCTCCAAACAATTGTGTGCGATATTAAGATGTTGTAATTCTCCAAGGGAGTAAAACTCGCGAGGCAGGGATGCGATTTTGTTGCGTGATAGATTCATTTTGGTCAGTTTCTTCAACGCGCCGATCGATTCCGGCAACGTCGATAAATTGTTATCTTGAAGCTACAATTATAGTTGATTCTCAGCGTTAATAATTAAGCGACCAGAATATAGCATGCGCAATTTGAGTTTGAGAGATGTGAGCGAACACAATTGAAAACTTTCACCAATTAAACAGCAACACTAACGAGTAAACAGAGAAATTGCGTTATTTACAAACAAAGAATATTCTTACGTTTAGGACGGTAAGATCTTCGAAGAGTTTAATGTCAGTGGGAATGTCGGTAAGCACATTGGAACTACAGTCCAGATAGGTGAGTGGTTTGAATGACCACCAATTTTCTTCTGTGTCCTTGGACATGTCGAAATTTGCGACTGCATCTTTTCCGATATCGTACATCGAGAATACACCTTTTGGGACTTGAAATAAATCATATTAACAATTCATATCTGACCTAAATAGCATCGAATTAATAATGATTGATTATTTTCGGAAAATGTTATCTAATCGTGATTTTTTGCTGTATAATTGTTTGTTTAAACAAGTTGGCATAGCGTGTTTGTAGACACTCAAATAATTCCCTACGAAGGTCACATATTTTAAGATGATCTCGCAACTTGTAAATAAAAATAAACGCCGTATCTCGCAACTATGATCTCATGCACGAATATTGCGATAGTCGTCCTGACAACAACTTGTGTGTTGTGTTGACGCTAAACAATGCGTCTATTTTTAAATGCTGCGCTCCACCAGAGCGCCGCACAACTGTTTGTTTTAGTTTCGTGCACCAACCTGTGGCAAGCGCGCGTCCCGATAAATTAAGCTGGCCAGTCTTTCGAACGACGTTGATCATCCCCTTGGTGAGTTGTTCGTCGTCCTCGCGTTCCGACTGCAAGTGGAAAATCGGGTGGATCATTTTGCGCCGCATACGCACTTCCGTCGGTTTCGCCATCCCGAGCGCGTGCCAGATACGAACTGACTGACGCGCTCTTTGCGCGCTCGCGGATCGATATGATATAACGAAACCGCGCGGCCGCAACCTTGGGGAGCCCCGGGGCCCTGGACTTGTGGGGGGATCGTAGAGAGCGCAAGCGCACATCGAGCACGCCGTAATATCGCGATTACGAAAACAAACAGGCGCGACCGCGGCAACTGGTTATCGCGGAAAATGTGTTGTGATTCGCATTGAGTAAATGTCGTCGCCCGCGGACGTTGAAGTGCAGCTGACGACCGCCGCTTCTGTCGCCGCCGTAGAACCAGAGGATGACAAATGCTCGATCGTGTCGATTGTGTGTCGCATTTGCTTCGATGACAACAAAGATGAATCCATCATCACTCCGTGCAAGTGCAAAGTAAGCATCTATCAATTTTAAACTAGACCTTTACCTCGAACGTTCGAACGTTGAAACCATTCAATCATGTTCTTGATTGGCTAGACAGGTTATGATGACAGTTGCTACTTGACAAAGTAATGTATGCAACCCGCTTTTCAGGGCACCGTAGCGTTTGTCCACCGCAGCTGTCTGGAGAAATGGCTCTCAGAGTCGAACACCACCTCGTGCGAGCTGTGCCAGCATGTGTACGAAACAGAACGTGTGCCGAAATACACAGCAAAAGAATCCCTCTGGCAATGGGTTCACCATCAGCCGCATCTCGGTATCAGGGTGCGACACATCCGCTGCGACATTGTGGCCTGCTCCATCCTCACCCCGCTCGCCGTTGTTATCACGTACATTTGCCTCTTCTCGGCGGATTACTACAGCCAGCAGCGTTTTGAAAGCATCCCGACAGCGCGCTGGACGTCCATCTCGTTGCTCATCATGATCGCCATCATGCTTTTCGGTTATTACATCTGGGTGTATGTTGTAGTTGGGTACCACGGCCGCATGTGGTATTACTGGTGGCAGCGCGAGTGCATCGTGCGATATATACCACCCCCGCCAAATGCGGAAGACACAGCGGCCGCGGGTCAAAGCACAGAATTACAGACGTCGGCCTCCGACACTCTGCCGGCAGCTAGCTCGACGGACAAAATCGGCAGTGCACACCTTGGCGAAGTATAGCACTCTTCATATTTTATACAAAGATGACTCACAGTATTATGTACTTATATTTTATTAAATTACAACTTAACTTATTGAGCGCGGCGCTTTATCGATACTTTGCCTTTGGCAAGGCTTTGAATCAGGATCTTCTGCTTAGTGTTGTCATTCTTTTTGACATAAATCTGAAAGTTTAAGATTTTTCGCATTAGGCACCCACATTAAATACAAATCCAACTCACTGCTTCATTTGCAATTGCGGAAATCGTCCCTGGAAACTTGGGCATGTCCCTACCCTCGACGTACACGCCCTGTCCGCGGTGGAACCACCTTCTTTCATATAACAACTTGCCATCTTCTACTTTAGTTTCCACTAGAGCAATGTCATTCATAGCTGAAATTCCATGCAAACCGGTGTTGCTACCTTCGGACGTTTTCCTAAACGGCACCGAAATCCTTTTCAAATCATTTTCCACCTCCTTGTCGTCGAGGATGTAACTAATCTGTGATATTGGCGGTTTGCGTCTTTTTTCCGGTACAGGAATCGGGTCATTGGGTCGACGACGTAGTTTCCTTGTAAGCGCTGGCTTCACTTCCATGGAATCTCCGGATAATTCCATTGTGTGTCTTTCTGCTTCAATTGTTTTCTTTTTGTCTTCAAAGTCTGCAATGAGATTCTCCTTGAGCGCCACCTTTTTCTCTTCAAATTCCTTAGCTGCCGCCTTTTTTTCTTTGCAATATTCAGCTTCCACACATTCAATCATGTACTCCTTGTAGATTGCATTCAGACGAATACCCTCATTGTAAATTGCCTCTAATTTTCTTACTTTGCGATTGTAATCATGATGTGTGCCATCTTTCAACTGTTGCAGTTTCTTTTTTAGTGTAGCCAAACTATCCTGGTAGACTTGTTCTTTTATTTCCATGTGTTCCTCTGGTCGGCCTGTATCTGTTTCGGATGCATCCTCCGTATCTGTTTCAGGGGAAATTCAGTTTATTTAGTTGTTTACGCAGAATGTAAACAAGAGGAAAATTAAGGTTACCTTCGTCTGTTTCGTCTGGCTCGTCGTTTTCGTGTTCCTCGTCATCGTAGCGATCTTCGTCAAAGTCGTAATCATCCTGGTTGTACATTCCCGAGCCCGGTGAACCAATATACGACATTATGATTAATAATTCTTGCAATTTTACACTTATTGGTTTACCGTATTGGTGTTTGTGTTTACATGTTATTTGACAGCATTACCGCGTCAATCTCTCAAACTAATTTATACATAGTGTCATTATTTTATTTTGAAAAGGTACGAATTTATTCCCAAGCTATGCCTTAATTAAATATTATATATTTGACTTTTACTGATATTTAATTGTAGATATTTGTACAAAAAAGCAAATTGGAAAATTATATTATACAACTTATCTGCAACACCCTGTAGTCATGTTCTAACCTACGCACGCAATATGATTCAATGTTCGGAAATTCGGAAAGAAATAAATAAATAAACTTTCCGCTTTCTTCCGTTCTATTCAGTTCGGAGCGCCATGTCAGGTGTGATTCCTAAACGTGGTGCATCTGGTCGGAAACAGTGGACAGTTCACGGTAAGCAATTGTTTTAATTAATTATTCCAAGGTGGGTTTATAAAGTTGCAATGTTAGTGCACCTACTCAATTACCTGCAGACACCTCTCGTGGTTCATTAAATGGCTTGCGCAATCAACTAGCCAACGACGGATGTCCTGAATCTCAAGTAGTCCTCGCAAAGCAACTCTTACGCGATGATCAAGGTACCAAGTGTAGTTAAGCAATTGTTTATTAATTGTATAATTTATGCAATCATGTTATATTTTAGAACGAGATGACAATCGCGCGAACGCTTGTTTGGGCGTTTACTGGCTCATCAAAGCATCAGAACAAGGCAATGTGGAAGCCACTGAGCTGTTGAAGCAGTGTCTTATTAGTGGAAAAGGAATCTCTGAGCAAAACTATTTAGATGTCAAATCATGCATCACCATGACCCAGGATGAGAAACTTGCACGGAAAGCTGCTCGCGAAATGTTCGCCAGCCTTTCCAACGGCGGCGAATACATCACATCCGAACAATTACAAAAGAAAATGCTGGAAATTGACAAGGATCAAGAAAATCGTCTGAGGCAGAGCGTGAGAAATGGCGACTGTGTCACAAATCAGCAGTACAATGGCGAGTTGATGAACCACATCACCGACGATGATTCCGATGAAGAAGTTGATTGGTCCCAGCGGTCGGAAAAGTCTGATGGTAGCGAAAAACTCACCGAAGATCACCTGGTGGAAGCGGCGGTGCATTATTCCCATGGGAGACTCCCATTGGTCAATCGGGTGTTATCACTCACATATCCGAATCTACATGCGTTGGACCACATTCCCTACGTGCACCGATCTATTCTACACCCTCTACTCTGGCTCAGCATCATCTACTATAAACTGATTCGGTTTCTTGGCGCTGCATCGCTCAATTTCCTCAACATTTTCAATTCGGACTTTCAAATTGTTTACTTGATGTTTATTTACACGCTGGTGAGCACGGAGAATATGCTCTTTTTGATTCCAATCATTATCTACTGCGGCACAATTATCGTAATGGTCGTGACCACTTTCAAGATGCTGCAAACCAAGCGGGAATTTTTTGATTTTCGTGTTTGGTCTGGCTTATTTCTGACGTATTCCGGAGGGTCTTTAAATGGCGAACAGGCAGAGTACCAGTATATTAAGAACAACATGAAGCCCTATGGTCACTATTTTCTCGCACTGCTCGCCAACTTTTTTGTTTATCCTATTATTGCGGAGGTAAACATTCCGCAGTCAGAGCTTACAATATTGGCATTTTGTGCGACCTTTATGACCCTCTTTGGATTCATGTACAAGCGACGCTCGAAAACCGTGCCGGATTTCTGGATTCTCTTGAGTTTCTGCGTTAATGTGTTGGCTAAGTATCCATATGAAGCGGATACTGTGGTCACACAGGGCTGGAGGTACCTGGATCTGAAAATACCCACACTTGCCAGTTACATAATTGGAAATGGCATTGAATTCTGCATAAATTTCAAATCCCTGCTGTATGCATGTATTCCATTGATATTCTGCAAAATCGCCTATCGGGAAAACTGGCGTGGAATATACAAGTATTTAATTCCGCACTGTGTGACGCTGAGCTGGTTTCAAGTGGTAGTGATTAGCTCACAGGGAGCGACTATGTATGGCTTAATCCGTGGAACATTGGCACTTGTCGGTGTCGTGATGTTCCTGCCGCTGATGGGTCTAACGACAATTCTATTGCCTGCAGCAGCGCTTAGTAAATGGCTCATGACCAATGATCATCTTTATACTGCGTGTCTCTTCCTTCTGTTTGTTGTTATGGGTGTCTCGATATGTTTCATCATCGCTCGCAGCAGATTCAGCAGTTATACCTCCCAAGCGCAGGTTGTTTTGGCTATCATCGCGCTTTACTTCTTTATTGATAACGCTATCCATGAGAATGCGTCGTATGCGATTGAGAAACAGCTGCAGAAGACGATCAGTTATGAAGGCTACCAGAAATTTTGCCATGAGCACGCCTGGACGCAAAGTAATCTTGCCACCGCGCAGATAAGATGCGCGAAGTTGGAAGGCGTGCAAGTCACGTGGGAGGGCTACGTGCATCAGGTGCGAATTAAGTCGAGACGTAATACGTACAAATACGTTATAGATAAACTCCCAGAGGGAATCAGACAGTATATGACCTGCTACTTTGGCGATGAAATCGTCCCGGATTGTGACGATAAATCTGAGGATTGCTTGCTCTTCTACGACATTGTGCAAGCAATGAACGGCGGCTGTCATTTGGATCGGCACGATGTATACGCGTTTGAGATCATTGTCAAGATGCATTCGGGCATATGGGGAAAGGGCGCAGACGTGCACCTGACCGCTGATGCTGTTGGGCTTAAGAAATTCGCGTTGAAACTGCGACAAGACGACCAAATATGGTTTAAGGGCTCTCTAGTGCGCTCCGGAGATCGTCGTGTGCATGTCAAAGTTATTGAACTAGGGTGTACCACGTGTCAGGACGATACCTTGCTGATTGCGAGGATACGCGATGACGAAACCGCAATGGACTACGATAAAATCCTGGCATGTATGGCGGCTGGATTGCGCACGGTGCTGAATTGTATTTTTTACCCTATTTTTGTGTTCAAGTAAAAGAAAGAGCCGAGAAATGATTGCAATGTAAATAAATGATTGAATAGTACGCCTGCGCCATTTTAAATACATGCACTTGTCGTTACTTTAATCGCACTAATTATTATGCATTGTTTTATGAATGACTCTCGATAATTATAAATGTTTGCTTTTAAGGATCGGTTTGCGAACGCGCGTTGCGTTCGCTTTCAAGGTTGGGAATTGGAGACCAGGTACGCCGCGGCGTATCAATTCCATTGCTTATGACTCAGTTGATTCATTTCGGTTTCAGTGCTTGCAGTGATCGGTCGTGCTTCGATCACGAAAGGCACGGAAAGAAAAACGCGACCAAGTTATACGCGAGTTTTCGCACTCAAGTTATAAGTGGACGTGAAACATTTGTGTTTGAAAATGGCTGCCAACGCATCTGCAGGTAATTTAAATTGCGCCTTGTCAGTTGAAATATTCACGTGTAGGATGATCGTACCTATCACTTATCTGACGACATGTAGACATGTAGGCTATTATTGTCCGATTTACATCGAAATGTATACGTACTTGTAATTATTTTACTTTCATTATTATCATCGATCGTAAGAATTGAATAATTAAACAATTACTCAATGCGGCAAAACACGAATGTTGGGTAGGTACACAAAAAGTGCTTTGTTCAATATTCATAGGTGATGTTAATCAATATGCCGTGTTGGTCTCGAATGCAAGGAAATCCTATGGAGCAAAGCCGGTGCTGAACGACTTTTGCATGAAAGTGCCACGTGGATGCATGTGCGTATTGCTACAGACATGTGTCCACTTTTTATTTAATATCCCCTTCGTCCCGTTTATAGTTATGGCTTGCTGGGAGCTTCCGGTTGTGGCAAAACCACCCTTCTCAGTTGCGTTGTTGGACGTAAGCAACTTGATTCGGGGGACGTTTTTACCCTGGGCGGTAAACCAGGTACCCCGGGTAGCGGTGTACCGGGTCCCAGTGTCGGGTACATGCCGCAGGAAATCGCTCTCGTCGCTGAATTTACGGTCCGTGATGCGGTTTATTACTTTGGACGCATCCTCAACATGGACGACTGGCTCATCGAGGAACGCTTTCAGAAGCTGAAGGTGCTGCTCGATTTGCCGCCGGACGATAGGTAGGTACTTGATATTATTATAGTATGTATTTGCACGCAAATGTAAAAGTGAATCCGTAACGCCGTCACGCTGCTTGCAGCTGAACGTGTGTAATCGTTACCTAAATACCGATCACACGACACCACGCAATATCAGTCCATTGGTCAAGGACACGCGTCTACAGATGAAAAACGAAAGATCACAATCACTTTCGTGCATTAATTGTGTCATGCTTATTAGTATAATTGCGCGCTTTGCACATCCGCAGGCAATTGAAAAACTGCAGCGGTGGGCAGCAGCGTCGCGTGTCCTTTGCGGCGGCGATGGTGCACAAGCCACAGCTGCTCATCTTGGACGAACCAACCGTCGGCTTGGATCCGGTCCTCCGCGACAGCATCTGGAATCATCTCGTAGAGATTGCCGAGAAGGAAAACACCGCGATTATTATTACTACGCACTACATCGAGGAAGCCCGTCAAGCACACAAAGTAGCTGCTCACCAGCATGTCGAAAACCAACTACATTTTGTGTTTCTATTTAGATTGGATTAATGCGAGAAGGACGTTTGCTCGCTGAAGAGTCACCGGAAAGATTACTGCAGTTGTTCAATACGGAAACATTGGAGGAGGTTTTTCTCATCTTGAGCAGACGCCAGGAGGAGGGGCGGTTGAACCAGGCGATTGAGACATTGGCCGACGAGCAAAATAACACCATCATATCGCGCGCCGAGTCCAATACAAGCGTTATGACTCTACCGATTGGTAACAATTCATCTACCGATGTAAAAATTGCATTTTCGATAATTTAGCAACAAAAAATTAATTTTCATTTTAATAGTTTCTCGCGCCAAAAAAACCTCTGAATAATACTAGCGCATTCAGTCTGAACAAACATCGCATGAAGTCCTTAATGACCAAGAATATTAAACAATTCCTGCGTAACTATGGTGGCATGTCCTTCACGTTTATATTCCCCATTCTGGAAATACTTGCGTTTCTGATGGCTGTCGGCAGTGATCCTAAGGACATTAAACTTGCAATTATTAATGACGAGGCCAGGATGCAGCAATGCAGCAATTATTCCATCGAAGGCACTGCGGTACCATATAGTTTCAGTAACTGCAATTTTACCAATCTGGCATGTCGATTTATAGACGAAATTGAGAATCCTATGTTTGAGTTTGTACGTACTTTCCCACCAGCAACCTGTTAATGTTTACTCTTATTTTAAATTCACGTTATTCCAGAAATACTACGATTCTCTAGAGACGGCTTTTGATGACATCAAACATGGCGAAATCGTTGGAGTGTTGTACATGGCCAGTAATTTCTCCGAAGCTTATTCTAATCGAGTAAACAATGGGCGGCAAGTGTCAGATGCGGATATCGACTTTGGCGAGATCAAAGTGTGGCTGGACATGTCTAGTAAGGATAAATTTAATTTTACAGGTGCCAGAAATGTAGGTAAATGCAATGATTACAGATCGACAAATTGGTGCTTCGGTCAAAGCACGCCTCTTTCGACTCTTCCAGGACTTTCAAGTATCAGCATTCAAAGATTGCCAATACAATGAATTATTGGGTAGAGTGCCACTACGCTTTACATTTGAGTTTGGCGTCGAGGACGAGGACTACACCAACTACATGATACCTGGTGTCCTTTTGACGTAAGCTTGATCTATCCAACCAAACACACTCCTAATAATGCATTTGTTTTCCTGCGCGTGTAGAGTAATGTTCTTCTTGGGGGCCACACTCACCTCTACGATTATCGTCACTGACCGCCAGGAAGGCGTTTGGGATCGTTCAATTGTCGCGGGGGTAACCTCGCTCGAGATCGTCGTCACACATTTCGCGACTCAATTTTGCCTCGTTGTGTTGCAAACGTGCGAGCTCATCGTACTGACGTTCGTCATTTATGACAAGGATTTCGAAGGAGACATGTGGCTTATCTTCTTGTTCACACTCTTCCAGGGTGTTGTCGGCATGGTGTTTGGATTCTGGATCTCAGTCGTTTCTGATAATCATACCGCGGCTAATATTGTCTGCACTGGCATGTTTTATCCGATGATTGTCTTGTGTGGGCTTGTTTGGCCGCTAGAGGCCCAGCCTGATGGGTTGCGCCATTTCTCGAAATGTTTACCCTTTACTCTACCTATTGTATCACTTCGTCAGGTGATTAAGAAGGGATACGGTATGGACGAGTGGCAAGTTCTAGATGGGTTGGGAATAACCGTTTTGTGGATTTTAATTTTGTCCGTGATAAGCGTCTTGGCTATCAAGGCAAGTCGTTAACAAATGTGTATTTATTGTTTCAAAACTCACACGTTTAATATAGTTTAACGGCGAAAGTTTTCCAGGCCGCTAATCATGTCTCATTATGTATCAAAATTACAGGCCACCGTCCTACACTTTGCCTTTTGCCTGTAATGACCAATTTCCCAATTCACTAATAATGCACAAATCACAGCCAATAAATGCCACTGCGACCCACACCACCTCTTAGTAACACTCGAAAATCTTAAACAATATGTCGTCTTCTGAGAGTCAATATGCCAAAAACCATTTTGGCCTAAACCGATGGATTTTAACATACGCCGGACTCTGGGTGCCCGATACCAAGTCCAAAATAGCAATTTTTTTCTTTCGCGTATACGCAGCGATTGTCTTTCTGTTCGTAAACGTTTGGTTCACGAGCACTGAGTTTATCAGCATTAAAGACACTAAACACGACTGGGAATTGTTGATAAAAAATATCAATTTTGCACTCACGCACATGATGGGTGCGTTTAAGTGCGTCTTCTGGTTTGTGCGAGGCAATAGGCTGGTTAATATTATCGTGCGCCTGCAAGATGAAAGATGGCATTACGAGGCTGTGGAGGATTTTAATCCGGGCGCCATTACACAGGATGCTAAGCGCACCGGAATCAAATATACGTTTGCATTCTTTATGCTTGCTCATATGACACTCTCCTCCTCATATTTTCCGGCCTTCTTTACAGCAGTTTTCCGGCCGCATTATGTTGAAGACGCGAATGGAAACTTGACATTCAGCCAGAGCTTGCCGTATTTGAGCTGGATTCCATTCGCGTATGATACACCTTTGTCGTATATCATCGCCATTTTGTATCAAGCGGGCCCGATGTGGTCGTATGCGTACAGTATTGTTGGAATGGACACTTTGTTTATGAATATTATGAATTACATTGCTGCCCACCTGCTCATCCTGAAGGGTGCATTCAGGACTATACGGCAGCGTTGTGTACGACGGGTTGCCGAGCGTGGCGGTGCGCTGGAGATACGCGAAGGACTTGCTAATTCTCCGGAGCTGGATGCAGAAATGCATCGTGAAATGAGAAAATGCGTGCAACACTTGCAAACTGTTATCAAGTAATACCATATGTGTGAGAGAATTGACATTTTCAAATTTATTTACCAAACGTGTTTACGGAATTTGCAGTAGTTGCGAGGAACTCGAATTCAACCACAAGTATCTCACGCTAGGACAAATATTGGCGACGCTGTTTATTCTATGTACTAGTTTGTTTCTCGTCTCCACCACACCGGTGGCGAGTAGCAAATTTGCGGCTGAGGGCGTGTACATGATTGCGATGGGGTTCCAGCTGGTGCTCTATTGCTGGTTTGGTAACAAAGTGACGGTGCGCGCCTCGGAGGTGCCCGATTCGTTGTGGCACAGCGAATGGCTGCAGGCAGCATATTCATTTAAGACTTCTATGCTGATAACAATGATTCGCATGAAGAAACCCCTCTATTTGACTGTGGGCAAGTTTGCGCCTCTCACACTGACTACGTTTGTGGCTGTAGGTTTTTAAACGAATTCATTTTTGCTCTTATTTGTTTTTTCTCGATTTCACAGATTATCAAAGCGTCTTATTCGTTTTTCGCCGTGTTGAAGAAAGTCAACGACTAAGTCATCGAACGGCTAAACGTATAGTATGAATTTAGGATATTCACTAACATGATTTAGTTGCAAATGAGTAAAGTAGAATAAATGAGTTACTTATCTTGTTGTATACCAAGTATATTTATGTGTGTTTCTTAGAGAGATAGGAAGTTTTAGGTACAATGCGACACCATAATCGCCACTTTGAACTAGGCTGCGCGTGCCGCGGCTAGATAAACGCAGTGCGCATGCGCACGCGACACACCAGTGGTTTTCGACAGTCGTGAACAACATCAACCAGTCGCACATCGTAGTTGTAGTCGCAGTCGCGGTTATTAGTAATGTCCGCTGTTGATGCTGGTGGCATTGGTGGTGTTGGTGCGCTCGCTTCCTTGCTTAGTTTCAGCGTGACTCTTGCGGCGCCGCCCGTCTACACCGTCTGGCTGGGAGCCGCTTCCGCAGGATGGTAGTCGTGTCGTAATCGTCGGGTGTGTGCCGATGCGGCGATGTCGGCGGCGATGTTGGCGTGTTGCCCGTGCTGCATGCGCTTTGCGTTCTCGCCCGAGGAGCTGGAGCAGCGGCACAAGAGCGCCGAGATCGACAAGATGATCGAGAAGGACAAGCAGACGTTCAAGCGGCAGGTGAAGCTGCTGCTGCTCGGCGCCGGCGAGTCGGGCAAGTCCACCTTTCTCAAGCAAATGCGCATCATTCACGGCGTGAGTTTCGAGCGCGACCTCGTCCGCGAGTACCAGCAGATCATCTACCAGAACGTGGTGCGCGGCATGCAGGTGCTGGTGGATGCGCGCGACAAGCTCGAGATTGCGTGGGGCGACAACGACAACGCCAAGATCGGCAACAAGATACTCGCCCTGCAGAGTAATCAGATTCACGACGTGAAGACGTTCGTCGAGTACCAGTCGCTGCTGGCGACGCTGTGGATGGACGCGGGCATTCGGCGCGCTTTTGAGCGCCGCCGTGAATTCCAACTGGTATTTAACCACATTTCATAACATTTTGTACTCTTGACCAACTGCTGGTTGCCTACTTTCAGAGCGACTCCGTAGAGTTCTTCCTCAATAATCTCGCCCGGATAGCCAAGGAAGACTATGTGCCCACTAACAAAGACATTCTGCACTGCCGCAAAGCCACCAAAGGCATCACCGAGTTCATAATACCCATCAACAATGTGCCTTTCCTGTTCGTCGATGTGGGCGGGCAGCGCTCGCAGCGACAAAAGTGGTTCAAGTGCTTCGACGAAGTCACCTCCATACTCTTTCTGGTGTCCTCTTCTGAATTCGATCAGGTGCTCCTCGAAGACCGCAAGACCAATCGCCTGGAAGAAAGCCGCGACATTTTCGACACCATCATCAACAACCGGATATTCACCAACGTGTCCATCATCCTCTTCCTCAACAAGTCCGACTTGCTGGAGAAGAAGGTAGGCAATCCCGAGACGGATATTCGCTGGTACTTTCCGCAGTTCAGCGGCAATTCGCATTCGATCAAGGAGGTGCAAGCGTTCATCCTCGCCATGTTCACCGGCGTCAAGCGCGAGGCGAAAAAACAGCTGTATTATCATTTTACGACCGCTGTGGACACGGAAAACATTAAGGTGGTCTTCAATTCGGTCAAGGACACGATACTGAATCGAAATTTGGAAATTCTAATGCTGCAATGATTGCTCAAAGTGGAATCATATTCTCAGAGAGTGTACTCGTGCATTTAACTTTGTTTACTTTGTTTACTTCCACACGTTCTTGGCATTTATATGAAATATTTTTTATTACGTTGTATATATTCGTAAGCGGGCGATGATTGCGCAGATAGGTTTTAATGTACATATATCGGCCGATATAGAAAACAGCGACTCTCTCGTGTGAACTCTGTGCTATTGTGCAAATTGAGAACACAAACAAACTTGGTTTATGATTAACATATGTATTAAGACTGACTTGATGTAATGACGTCCCCAGTTTGACGTTTTGGTAGACTCTACCAAAGAACGCGCGCAAAAACACGAAAAACACATGACAAACTGCCTTAGAAACACAGGCCGCCGAAACAGTGCCTTCTTCCCTACCGATACTCTGTGTAAATCAATGTACAGTCAACCGAGTAACCAACTACGAAAACTTTATTATTGTAATTTGTATTATAACATATTATACATGCATATAGTATATTTACGTATATATTTTATACAGACGTAATTTATGTACTCACATGGCGCCGATTGCGGAAAATGTGATTTATGAGGTTGTACGGATCATTGTAATAATCGATTAATAAACGAATCCGTAATGGTTATTAACGTAGGCAACCGAATGCACACATTATGTAAGATGGAGGACATTCTGGCGGTGTCGCATAACTCGCATTCTAAGCCAACTTTCTAAACTATATTCAATTAACATACGTATTTACAAATACAAAATATGTTCGATGCGTTCAATAGCCCGCGCAAGGAGTGCCGCGAATCGCATCCTGCACTTTGATGCGCATTATCCTGTAATTGACCTCGTCCGGCTGCAGGGACTTGTATAGAAAGAGGGACATTTTGTCTGATAACATGTAAACGTAGTCGTCGGCGAGCATAATATCATTGGTGAAGATTAGACGCTCTGGGTCCTTGGCAATGGTCCCTAAGCTGGAGGGGCTGAGTCCTCGTTGCGTGTTCCAGCAAGCCGCACCATCTTTATTCAGTTGTGTCAGGAATAAAATCTTGGTGCGCTCATCATATGCACTGGAGGTTGCCTGCGTGTTGTGGCCGCGATCGCCCTCGAGCTACAACGTGTAAACAAATTAATATGCGCGCTAAATGAGTATTCAAATTTGCGCCTGCCTTGAACATGTAGTAGTTGTGTGGATCAGTCGCCAATGTTTTGTTTTGCAGGACGCCTGTGGGCACCGAGAACTCCTTGGTGCTTGCCAGTGCATGGAAATACATCAAACGTTGACCATTTGCCTTTGGTTCAGAAAGCGCAAGACCAAACACGCCGTCTGTCCACTGGAAATTGACCCCGCCGACGGTGAGGTCACCCTTGAGCGGATCAAAGTGGAAGAAGTTGTGTGTCACGCGCCATGAGTCGTTCTCGGCCAACGAGTAGACAACCACGCCGTACCCGCCTAAATCCGGCACGTATGCGTACGCCTTGTCGCATCTGTCGGGCGTCACATCAACAACGACATTGGCAAAGAAAGAATCCTCCTTTAAGTCGGTGGCTTTAAACTCGTAGCGTCGGATGAGCTTGTCCGTATTAAGGTCGAAAATGACCAGCGCGGGTTTAGTGATCTGTCTTGGCTCGCCGAGAATGTCGGCCAGGCCGGTGTCCATCACCCAAAGGCGGTCGCAAACGTCGACGCGCGTACGAAATACAGAAACGACGGTGTTGTCGGGGACTTTCTCGGCGCCCGCCGGCGGTAATGTGTTCGCCGTCCAATCAGGATAAGGTACCAATGCCGCCGTTTTATTGGGTTTATCCGTGTCGAGAACGTTCAAGGACGCAGCAACTCCCGCCTTCCATCTTAAACGGCCGGCATTAACAAGGACACTTCACAGGATAAAGCAGGACTTACCTGGGAACCGTCACAAACAACTTATTCTTCCATTTCTGAATTCCCAAAGGCAGATTGTTTTCCGGAATGTAGGCGCCCGATTGGAGCGCATCTTGCTTGGTTTTCTCGTCGGGCCAGGCGAATTCCATCTGCTTCCACCCGTAGACCTCCTCGAGTTCAGCTTGGGCCCAGGCAAGCCCGAGCGTTAGCGCCACGATCAACAACGTATTCATCTCGAGCGGATGGTCGACGGTTGACTACTCGACTAGTCCTCCAACACCGCGAAGCCGTGATTATAAACGTGAAAACACGGGTGTCCGAAGAGCGACTCCCACCAACCAGCCAGCCCAATGCTTGCTTTGTTTGCACCTAATGGCTGCACATTAGAAATCCCCAGATAAACGATCGATAATGATCGTTATTAGTCAGTAATAAACGGGTTACCAGAATACTTAAACTTAAACTTAAACTTAAGCGTTTCGAAAAGTTGTAAAACGCGCGAATCGATACATTTTACAACCCTGATGCTGTTTATTATGTCGACCTGCTTCATTAAGCATTCTTGTAATTGGTGTATGTTTGGCTTTGACCCCTATAGAGTCTTTTGTTTAAATAATCGCACGCGCTCGAAAGCACTGAATCGAGGTGGAAATTAATCTTGAATCTAATGCAATAATTCCACTCACATCTTCGAGGTTGCGCACGCTGTGAAGCGGGTGATGCACCTGCACGACGAATTACGTACAATGGTCATTACATAATCGAAGCAAAATGTTTATTGAAAATAAGCCAGCGAGTTGCGAGGCGCAACACAGTTACATACCTACTCTCACTTCGTGCGATCGTGCGCGACATGACCTTGATCGTGCCAACCATAGCAAATATGCACGTTCTTGAAATGATCACAAAGGAAATAATGCCAGCAGAAAACAAAGATTTCGTCTGGTTGAATGTGATACATCCGACGTATTTTGGCTTTTCATTGCGTAATTCGGATGTGAAAGGAGGACGAATAGATATAGTCATCCATTTTGGTCGTTTTGTGCGTTGCGTTGAAAAAATGCACATAAACTGGTCGTTACCCTCGACCCTTCTCGAGCGGTTTCGGGCCACAGCCAGCTAGCAGCGAGCAGGCAGCAGCCTGCAGCGTCGATGAGTTCATGGACATTCCGTGCCTCCTCTCGTCCCTCTTGTGCGACGTTCGACGTGTCGGCCGCCGCACGCCCAATGTGCCACCGGTGTGTAAGTGCCAAATAACGTTCCCTGCATCTACAGCCAGTGGCAAAAGTCGCAATATACCCACACCCACACCCTATTGCATACCGTTCAGGCTTACCCACCCACGCCTACCCAGCGCTGCCTTGTGCGATCCTGTTCCACCCCCATGATTGTTTGCCTTGCCACTGGCCCAACGTGGCGAGCAGGACGATTTTCGCTCACGTGCGGTATTATCGGCTGGCGCAGTTCGCACACACGTGGAGAGAGCGAACGAACGAGTGCACGCGGCACGCGGCGTCGTTCCCGGTTCTGCCTCTCCTGCCTCTTTGCCTCTCGACGACCACCCGGTCAATAATACTGCGCATTGCATGCGAAACTTAATTTCACGCTTATAACGAGCAAGACGTCGGCGCGCGACGCATCGTCCCGCGCGCTTCTTCTTTTACTTCTTCTTTTTCTTCCTGCACGCACTCCTGCTGCAGCTAAACCAGAAAAACTCACACTTATCGCGTTGCGCCACACGAATGAACGAACGCCGCTTTCGCCCTGTGCGACTTGCGCGACCGCCGAGTCGATAAGGGGGTGCAAGTCCCGCAACAGCACATCGCATGTAAGTCCAACGCACTTTTGTTTGCTGTTGCATTTTAATGTGCTTATTAGATTTTTTAGAATAATGTCGCAGGATAATAAATCTGCGATCAAAGTGAAGAAGAAACGACGCTGCTTGTCGATCAGCGAAAAAATCGACGTCATTCATGAACTGCTGCGCGGTGAGAAAAACAAAGCAGTGTGCCAAAAATACAATCTCAAGTCTTCCACCGTTTCGACGTTGTGGAAAAATCGCGGGAATATCATCGCCGCGCTCACCGATACGCACACCTCGACGAAGAAGTTGCGCAAATGTGAGCTGGCCGACTTGGATCAGGCGCTCTACGACTGGTTCACGACGCAGAGCACTGCTGGTGTGCCCATCAATGGACCCACGTTGAAGTTGCATGCGGAGAAGATCGCCAAATGTCTCGGCCATGACAATTTCACCTGCAATAATGGCTGGCTGGGGCGCTTCAAGTTTCGTCACAATATCGCCTATGCCAGCGTGCGTGGCGTCACCGTAGAGCGTGCGGAGCGCGCGGATCAAGTTGATGCACTCCGGACGCTGCGTTTCAGTGACGCATTTGATATGTCGCGGAAAAACGAGGACGATGAGGATGAGGATGATGAAGAGGATGATGATGACGAAGAAGATGCTGAAGAGGACGAGTGGATGCCACTGGATCTCAGTCCCACGGGGCGCTACTATCAGAAGTACAGCGGCAATGCGTGACTACGTCTGCTTCTGTGCAATCGAAATGCTTGTTTTCTAACTATGCGTAATTACATAACTATACTATGTACAAATGTCAAATTAATTAAATAATATACTATGTATTGCTTATAAGGAATCTGGCCAGGATAATCGAAGTGCGTACCGTTATATAGGCAACATGTTGTACACGTAATTTACGCGAACTTGCACGACCAGTGACGATTTTTGAATTGACAGTGATGGCATGGCCGGCTTTCTGTGACACTTCTGTTTTTTTCTGTTCGCAAGATTGGACCGTTATTTTTCACTCGTTTGGTTTCTTTTCTCGTGATATAAGTTAAGACTTGACAAGTAATTAAATTTAATAAGGGCCTTGAAATACCTCCTCGGAACTTCAGAAAGCCACTGAGGTGAGAAAGAAACAGGCAATTTCTTACTTAACCTGCTAAAGAGAGTTGCTAGATTAAACACGATGAGTGATAACGAAGTACCCTGTGATATTTTAATCAATCTAAACGCCTCGGACGAGTTCCGCATTCCTGAAGCTCCAAAAGCTAAACCAACTCCACCTGCTGCTGAATTTGATGGGTGTCATAGGTCAGCTCTTCTGCAAGGAAGACCATTGCTATTTGATGATGGAAGAGAGTCTCTGGGAATCTTACCACAATTTAAATTGCTACTGGGCAACAAAACGAGCCATCAATTTGAGTATAATACTTCTGATGTATGTAACTAGTTTCACTTGTGTCACATAACTATATTAATTAATCATTGCTTTTTAGCCATTCAATACAAGCTCAAGTAGTTTCTTTGATCCATTCATCAATAGTGGAAGGCCATCTTTATTGTATGATGGAAGGGAATCATTGGGCATACTTCCTCAATGTAAAAATATTTTACTACCACATGTAGAATCACAAGCTGAACTTGAGGTATATACAATTACATAGATAAAGTTATTTATATAATTTTAAAACATATTTTAGTGTTGGTTGAAGAGTCCCACACAACCCAAAATTAAAGCAGAAAATCTTTTACAAAAGTTTCAAAAGGATTGTGAAGCAATAGAAAATGGAGATTTCCAACCTGATTTGGCAGATATAACTGATGAGGAGGTGAAGCAAGTTACGTAATTTTATTTGATTCCAATTTTAAGTGCGTTTTTTTCTTTCTTTTAGAATTACTCTGTGTATGTGGAGGCAAATTTTCTAGCATCCAAATTAGCAGACAATTCAATTCTGGATATCTGTGAGCATTATATTGTTATTTGAGTGAAAAATTTGTTCAATTTATTTTATCAACAGCTCAAGAAGGAGGTTCTATTCTGGATAGAACACCTCAACCCGACTTTGTCGAGGACGGCGACTCTCTGAACCAATCCGACAAGAAAGTGGACACCGAAAGTGTTTACAAACAAGTCGACCTTATGTTGCCTCCAGCCGCAGTTGATAATTCAGGAAATCCAGACCACGATTTACCGGCTATCATATCGGATACGGCTCGTCAAATTAATAATCGCTCCGATCTACTGGAACATTTATCCTTCCTTGCTAGACAGTTGGAGGATAATCCACGACTGAGTGAAATCATGCAGAACGCCATCAAGCAAATATCGGATTTGAATGAATCGCAAGATGCGCTGCAGCAGCCGTTAAGCAGTGTAGACGAGGAGGACTCTGGTCATTCATCTACTGAAAACGAGAAGGAGTTGCGTGCCTGCCATGTTGCTCTTGATTTAAGTATAAACGCACACAGTTCAGAGAGCGCACATGCATTGGATTTGTCTTTTTCGAAAGGGGATGTGCCGAAACGTCTCTCAATTACATTCTCGCATAAGGACGATGCGGGCCTCCCCGATAAACAACCGTCCAACAAGCTGAAACAACAGACCATGCATATGCGACAGTTGTGGGGCAAAGTCAACACGACAGCAGCTGCGGTATCTAGCGATGGGAGTACCGTGAATAACGAATCGAAGGCTTCTTCCACGGGATCTATGCGCGTAAAACTCAAGCCAAAAAAATCGGAGCCGCAGGATCTAAAGCGAGGACCTTTGAAGGCAGTGGTGCCGCTTACCTCACTGAACACGTCCTTAACAATGGACTGCGTTGCTTCCAACCGTACGTTGCCTACGCGACGCACCCCCAGGGCCAATTTCACTCCAATGGCTCGTTCGACTCCAGAAGAGCTCGGCGGATTAGCGGATAGACGAAAACAACCACAGCCAGGCACACCGGCAGGTCGTCCTGGCAAAAGCATACGTGTGTCGGCGCGAGAAAAGTACGGTACCCCGCCAACCAGGTGCGAAAAGACACTGACGCGGGGGAAATCATCTACCAATTTGACTCCGCATGCAGCCGAAGCCAGTACGAAGCCAGTGTTGAGGCGGTGCTTTAGTTTGGGTGGTAAGGAAAATTTAAGCACTCAGCAAAATCATAAGTCTTCCCCGGGCGGACGCACCAATGTAGTATCATTTAGCAAACTTCCACAAAAGGTAATGGGCATTAAGAAACTCTAATACACACCCTGGTCACGCTAAAATTAAGTAAATGGCTGGTCCGATTTGCGACACCACCTGCGACTGGACTGCGACAACGCCTCCTTTCGAAACTTTGACCAATCAAATTATGTCCACGTTAAATAAACTAACTTTGTATACTTTTATTAATTAATTTACTTAGCACTGCGTTCTGCTAGTTTTCATAGGGATCATGGGCACAAGAATACGATACATTTTCTACGAATACACGCAGTGTATTATACATAACCGTAGCCGGCAACAGCAGCCGGAATATACCCTTCCTCGCCTTCGGTGCGCCTCACCCAGAACCAGCCACGCAGGTGGGTACTCAACAGGGTCACGACATCCCCTTTTCTTACGCTCAATGTGTTGCTGCCTTTCTCCGCATAATCCTCGTCGACCACGAGCAAAGTGTGCCGGCACACCTCACCGTTATTTGTGGAAGCGGCGCGAAGATACAGTTGATCTACATTGTTCTCCCCCCATGCGGTGCTGGTGGTGATCGTGGCCCCCTTGGTACCGCCGACCCGTCTTCGTCGTCTGAGATGTACACCAGTTTTACGCCGCCTGCCCTCGCTACACGTGCTGACTTTGTCCGCATCGGTCAGGTTACCGGAGGGCCGCGGGAAGACATCTGTCAATGTGGCCCAGCAGGGTGACAGGGCGTCGTCTGCTGAGGGAACGATGCCCAACGGAATGCAGGCTATGTATGCGATGTATCCTTCCTCACCGTGCGGTGTCTGCGCGTACAGCCAATGTTGATTGCGGAAGACTGCGTTTAGGACCATGCCTAGGGGCAGGGCGATCTCGACTTGATAACCACCGACGCGTGTCTGGTAAAGCACGGTGGGCACGGACAACACCACCGGTATGTTTGCGGGCCTCTCCAGTGACGCCTACAGGGATGAAATTCGAATCAAATTCTAATCAACACTTGGTTGATAGTGTAACAAACCTTGGTCAAAAATTGATTAATATCCTCCACATCGTATCCGAGGGTATCGAATTTTTCCGAGCTTGTATTGAGGGCGATAAGGCCGAAACTGTGGCTGGATCTTTTACCGGGACGGGCGTGCGGCTTACAATCATCCACAGTATCCAGGAAAGAAGTGGAAATTGTGCGCTTAGTAGGCCTAAGGTTGTCGTCACAATCGACAGGCGTTGGGCTTGGATACGAAGTGGATTTTCTGCGTGACTTGAATTGAAATTTAATTGGTTGCTCGGGATTGGGGTGCATCTTCGGCTGACCGCGCAGTATCCAAACGAGGGGGGCATTCGGTTGGGACGATAGTTTCTGGCCCATTTCTGCAAGTTGCACTAGAAAACTCTAACTAAACTCTAATTGCCATGCAGCGATAACTTAACTGTACATGAATTGCAAGTAATTACTACTGGTTGAAGATTTGCATACGTTTATCGAATGGTAACGACAAACGGTTCTCTTCATTCATATTCAGCGCATAACTTGCAATTTTTAAAAGTTATTGGAATTCATCATTACCTGCATTGAATCTATCAATGGACGTTGTTTGCACAAATGTGATTATCGGTGATGCACCAATATTGTACACTTGAAACGGACACGCGAGCGTTGCCGGTGACCGAACGCGCGGACGTCTTGCGTGAGTTGTGTTCGCGCGCGAACTAAACTGCTTTCTCGCAGGCGCACAATTTTCCCATCGAACAGATGCTGTCCGATTGAAGAATTCATGAACAACGGTCAACACACGCCCCTCGCCGCTCGCACGCCGCACAGTCCTATCTATCGATCAATCATCAATTATATCTTATAAGTAGCAACCCCCCAATCAGGGCGAATTAATCATCAAGTTTGAATTCGCCAAGTTTATTAGACCTGAGAAATTGTGCTATAATTTGAAGCAGCTTTATGCAGGGCGTCGTGGGTGGATTGGTTCCCACAGAGACTTGTACTCGTATTGAGTCATACGCGTGCTTGTAAAGATTGCGTGCCGATACATTTCACAGCTTTTTCGTCTCTTTTAAGTACTCTTAACTTTTTTGGAGCCTCACGCACGATACGATTTTCCATTCTCTCACTCACACACGAATGAGAAGAAGAATTGTCCAGCGTAAGGCGATAAGCATCGTCCCGCACGATGAGTAATAATTACGATCGGGTTGGACGTGAGACGTGGGCGTCGATGCGTGCGGAGGGGGCGGTGCTCCTCGCCCGGGTCGTCACGTTTCCCTGCGACCTTCAACCTCTCGCCATGTGCTGAGAAAAACATTGCTACGAAACAAATTGCTCGAATATCTTGCAGGCACGATTATAATCTCACATCAAATTCATATGTACAAAAGTAATTAAATGAAACAAACTTCGCAGCTATATCAATTGCGGAAAGAGCGCAGAGACCGTCGAATCGAAGAAGTCGTCATGGAAACTGCTGGGTGACCCCAGCGATTCGTACCCGCCGTCGGAAGCGCTTGAGGAAATGTCCGGCGCGCTTAGCAATGTGGTATCGACGACCGTTGTGCTGTCGGGGAGTAGTTGCTCCTGCAATTGTGCGACACTCTGGCTCAGGTCCTGCTCGCCGTCCACTATGATGGTGATGCAATTCTCGGCCTCATCGTAGAATCCGCAGAGTGAAGCCGCAGGTTGAGGAGAAGGGGCAATCCGCCGCTTCGGCTTGATTGTTTTCACTTTTTTCGTACAGCCCCGCACCGCTGGTTTGCAACTATAATCGTGGTGCAAGAGTGGAAATGGTGAGGCGATGGCGCTTACGCTCTTGCCATTTCCAGGGGGTTCCAGTTGTTCTGATGGCGGCCCCACCACTTGTCCAGGATCACCGGATTCACGAGTTGTGTCCTAAACAAATGCAAATGCGGCGAATATTAGTGCGTTTCGATTCGAGTGCGCTGCCAGCAATGCTCGACCAACATGAGCATTGGTCATGTGTTTGACAAACACGCGACATACAAATGCGCACCTCAAACGTTTCATGATGACAAACTCAAATTGGTGCCAGCTAGAAACCCAGCAAACTCTTTTTAGTCATTTGCTACAGATAGAAGTGACACTTACTTGAGATTTAACATCTTCACCCACTGCATCAAAGTTGTTGGTGATGTCAGCAAGGAGGCTTGCTGTGAGCTCATCCAAGCTGCCAATATCGACATCTTTGTTGAGCTCGTCGAGGAGGTCTTGCAGAGAAGGCATGCCAGAAGTATCTTCAATGCTATGAGGCTGCTGCTGCTCCAACTCATCAAAGCCGCCGCCGAGTGAGGGGCCACTCCTTGCTGCTGAAGGAGAAATTCGGATGCTGCAGATCCGCTCAGGTGGCCGTCACATTCGACGCGTCGGTTTTGATGATGGTGGCTGCAACTGTCGCAATTCGGGCAGGTCGATTGACGCAGTGATTGCCGCAACTCCATGTTCTCATTTCTCAAAGTCTCATTTAACTTTTTCAGGTTTTCGCATTCAGCCAGCACACGCTTATTTTGGGCCATTAGTTTATCAAAACTTTCCTCCAGAAGATCCATTTTGGCCTTCTTTCTGTCCCTCGATGTTTGCGCTGCAACACGATTTTTCAGCTTCCTAACGGTGATAAATCAATCAGTAACAATATTCGCAACGTATTGTAAACTCACTTACTTCCGTTGTATCTTTTCCTCCCATGTAAGATGATCCAAGCGCCTCTTTCGAGGCTTTACAAGAGAGTCCATATACGCGTCTTCCGTGTTTTCTTCCAAGACGATAAAATGTCGATGCTCGTTTTCACTTATATGCCGTAGTATGTTAGAATCGGAATTCATTGCGATCTGATTAATTAATCTTACAGTTCAATGCACATGATGCCAGCCAGCACTACTGCAACAGGTCGACTGTGCCTTCGGTCTAAATTTCGAACGAGCACAATATTAATTCTTCATCTGTTGGTGCTTGGCGTAAGACGTCCGACGATCTGACGCAATACGGGAGTACTATGACTGCAGAACATTGGCTAAGTACGGCTGACGGTACTTGCTGACTAATGTATTATGGAGCGCCACGCAATTGTTTTGTTTGCATTGATTGGCGTATTGAATAGTCGAGTGAACGCGCCCTACATCTGGCCATTACTTCTGGAAAGAGCATAGAATTGAAGTATGCACTGAGTACTAATACATTTTTACTTCCATTTATTTTCATATTATGAATTATAATTTTTGAATTTAAATAATAAGATTACGTGTAAACATAAGTACGTATTTTGAAATGTAAAGGAATTCAAACTGATTTGTCATTTTGAATCTATAATTCAAGTTAGAGGGCGCCACTGTCATTCACAACTTACCATCTTCCGTTTTGATGTTTGACACCTCTCGCTCTTCTTTCGTACTGCCTTAGTTACGCACGTTGTGCATCTGTGAAAATTTCATGAAAATCTTTAATCATCGGTCAAAACAAAATTCATACCTAAATATAATTTTGTGCGATAATTTAATAGCAATGTTTTTGTTTCCTGTTGATGGGTCACCCAGCAGTTTCCATGACGACTTTCTGATCTGACGGTCTCTGCGCTCTTTCCGCAAATTGATATAGCCAAGTGTAGTTTGTTTCATTTTAATTACTTTTGTACATATGTATTTGATGAGATTTGCACGTGATACTTGAGCAATATGCTTTCGTAGTAATAGTTTTTCATTGTATAGAGTTGAAGGTCGTAGGAAACGTAGTAGAATTGAATATTCTACGGACTAATATCTATAACATACACAGTTAAAGTGGAAATCTGAAAAATAAAATTTTTACTTAAGAAAAAATCACAAGGGGTGCTTGATACTTTTTTTCGACTACTTTTGAAACGCATTCTTAAACTAAAAGCCTAGAGCAACCAACTAACGCTGATTATAGAGAATTGGAAAACTTTAAAACAGATAAAAATTTAAAATATATATATTTCCTAGAGTAAAGGGTCGAAAAAAAGGCGTGACTAAAAGTGCTAAAAAGTGACCTTTTTAATTTTTTGCCCATTTCATTCAATCTGCAATACCCTAAACTAACAGAGTATACGAAAACCGCAGAATATTCTACTTGATCAATATCTATAACATACATTCGTTAAAGCGGAAATCTAAATAAATTTTTTATAGTTTTAGAGACTCTACACAATACATGCTTATTTTAATGCGCTTAAATATCCTTGGAAGTGCCCTTAAAATGCCCTTCAAACATCGGCTTTTCTTTGGAAACTTGAAAACATGCTGTGGAAAAACACCCTGTATCTCGCAAACTATTACACTTTTCCGAGTTTTCACCGCTATTTAGTTTAAGAGACGTGCCTCTACACAACACATCTCATTTTAGTCCGCTAAAATTGAAGTGCCCTAAATGCCCTTCAAACATCGGCCTTTATTGGAAATTTTGAAACATGCTGTGGAAAACACCCTGTATCTCGCAAATGGTATTATTAATTTTTCCAAGGAGTTTTTTCACCGCCATTTTATAGTTTTAGAGACGCTCTACAATACATCCCATTTTAACTAAGCAAACATTCTGAAGTAAGCCCCAAAATGCCCCTTCTTCAAACATCGGCCTTTTGGAAATTTTGAAAACATGCTGTGGAAAACACCCTGTATCTCGCAAACTAATACACTTTTTGAGTTTTTCACCGCCATTTTATAGTTATAAGAGACGTCACACAATGCATGCCATTTTAATCCATAAACATTCTGAAGTACCCTAAAATGCCCTTCAAAATGGTTATTTTTACGTTTCTTTTAATTTTGGGTCGTGGGGACAAATTTTTTATTTTCGGTTCCTGCAAAACTTGAAATAATTTATACATTTTTGTCTGAAGAACAGGGTCGAACTTTTAAGGTAAACTATTTTGGCCGAAGAACAGGGGCCGAACTTTGTATTAAAAATCTTTGGGTCGAAGAACAGGGCCGAACTTTTCAGTTAAAATTTTTCTGAAGAACAGGGCTGAACTTTTTAAGTTAGCTCTTGGCCGAAGATCATTTTTCCCGCGAAATCAAAAATAAAATTTTAAACGCTAATAAACTCCTGAACTAAAAGGCTTAGAAGGGAAAGGACGGCAGATTCTTGACCCCTTGAAGACTTCTACAAGATGGGCTATTGTCAGCCCTTTTTTCGCCTCAAAACTGAAAAGTGCAAAGAGGTAATTTATAGGTTTTTTGATTTTGAAAAAATCAAACTAAAGTCCTGTCCCATCCACTGATGTATTGTTTGCGCGATTTTCTTTTGTTTCTCTTTATTCATATTATAGATTATCTAAAAGCAGAACCAAAACCAAACCGAGACTATTGTTTAGTATAATATCATACAATGTGTCCGAAGCAATTATTTTCTTTTAATTGTTTACTAGCTTTAACCCGCGGCTTCGCTCGCGAATATCTAATTCAGCTTAAATTACAAAAAAACAATAGAGGGCGTTAGGGTAATATATCAGGAATACTTGGATTAATTTCTGAGCTATTAAAATGGCGGAAAAAACCATAAAACTTGATTTTTAGTTTAAAATTGTAAATTTCACAAATATTTCTTCAAATTTCTACAATTTTTTGTTTTAAAATCTATTTCTAAGCTATTATAAGCTGTAAATTGAGTTGCATAACTTAAAATTATAGACTACTAGCTTTAACCCTTGGCTTCGCTCGCGAATATCTAAAATAATGAAGTTGCTTCCGTACGCGTCTGTAGTCACAGAAGAAGTAACAATGAAGTAGAATGGCGGGAAGTTTAAAATGGCTGAAAGTATAGTCTATGGAAGTATAGTGTACAGTCTCCATAGTGTAGTCAATTGGATTTGATGTTGACGTAGCTGTCGGTAATACAGTGTGATAATACAGTGTGATGGTACTATAGTACTTAGGTTTGAGCTTCATTGCTGGAATGCTAGATGGCGTTAAAGTAGTCAAATAGCCAGATGCAGAGGTATTATTGGCTAAACTATTTCTTTATTTTATTTCAAAAATAATTTTTTTATTAAATAAAAAGTAGCCTATAACCATTCGGGGACCACTAAGAATATGTGTACAAATTTTCATGATGATCGGTTAAGTAGTTTTTGCGTGAAAGTGTAACAAACATCAGGACTTTCGCATTTATAATATTAGTAGGGATTAAATAATGAATATTTTGACTTAAACGTAGTTTTCTTTAGCTTTCATTGGTTTACGAGTAATTATGTCTCTGTGTGTTTATGTGGCTTGCGTGTGGCGAGTACGGTCGAGTGCAACAGATGCACTAATTTATTTATACTCACGCCGCCGCTCTGCCGCCACCGCACGACATTCGTGCTGCCTTCCACAAAACGCTCCGAATTAATTTCGTGCACTGCTAAATTGACTTTAAACTTGGGTAAACAACGTGTTGGGTTACTTAGGTTAAGAAATTCTGACAGTTGACAGGTTGACAATTGACATTTGTCGTATGCAACTTATAATACACCATTAAAACACAAAACACATACAAAAATATAAAACAAATACATTTAAATATAAAAATGTATTTATTTTGTGAATATTCACGTCAATCAAAATAGTTATAAATAAATAAAAAATAAATATCGCGAATTTCACATCAAACGCACGAATTAAAAACAAAAAAATAACAAAAATGAAAAAATATCAAATAAAAACTGTTTTTTTCAAAGCGCCATTTGTGATTAACTAGTTTTGATTTGAATATTTTTTATGCAACCAAACATACACAATATTTTAATTGGTTCTGTGGGTTGTTCCGAATGGTACCAGTTGCTGGACGTCATCATGGAGGCGGGGCGGGCTCTGCTGCTGACACTGCGGCCGTGTTTCTGCCGCGCTGCCACCGCCACCGCCGCCGCCTCCGTCAAGTGAGCGCCCGGCTGCGCCTCGTTACGAGCCGTCAAGCGTTCAGTACCATCCGTGCGTCGGCGGGGACAACGTGTGTGCGAAATGTTCGAAAACTAAAAAGTCGTAAACGCAAACAATTTTCATCGCGTAAAAATTTATCGTGAACAACACACAACGTCACAAATATTCGCGGAAAATGTAACGCATGTAAGTTTTAAATATTTTAAATCACTTTCTACAATAATTTATTTATTTAAACATTTAAATAATAATTTATAAGTAAAAATACTATGAAGTATATTAATCTGTCACATCTTGTTTATAAAACATGACAAGTTGTTGCTTGTTGTGTATTGCTTGTTATTTTGATATTGCCGCCGCCGCTCAAATCCCTTCGGCGTTTGAGGGGTGCAACAAGCAGCTAAACATCCCCTGCGTCTTGTGGGGTTGTATTATTGTTACTCCAACACTACGCAGTGCTTGCAGGCGAAGAAGCGTGAAACCCACAGGTGGTTTTCGATTTTTTCGCGTTTTCTTCATTTTCTTTCGTCGCGTTTCTTGTATTACAATCGCTAACTTTTTATTTTACCTTTAGGAAACCGCACGTATCCTATTTCCGGTATAATATCTAACTTTTCAAGTGTTTTACTCAATCAGACATCTTGTTTAAGTTTTTATGTCATACAAGTAACGCCATCTATGTTCAAATACTTGAAACTTATCAAAAAGAATTTAAAATTAAGTAAAAAGGTAAAATGTTATTAATTACTTGAGAAAACGTTGAAAATGAGGTAAAATTAAGAAAATGATATAAATATAACATAAAACGTGGTTAATTTGACAGCGTCATCCCTACTAATATTATAAATGCGAAAGTCCTGATGTTTGTTACACTTTCACGCAAAAACTACTTAACCGATCATCATGAAAATTTGTACACATATTCTTAGTGGTCCCCGAATGGTTATAGGCTACTTTTTATTTAATAAAAATAATTATTTTTCAAATAAAATAAAGAAATTGTTTAGCCAATAATACCTCTGCATCTTGCTATTTGACTACTTTAACGCCATCTATCATTCCAGCAATGAAGCTCAAACCTAAGTACTATAGTACCATCACATTGTATTATCACACTGTATTACCGACAGCTACGTCAACATCAAATCCAATTGACTACACTATGGAGACTGTACACTATACTTCCATAGACTATACTTTCAGCCATTTTAAACTTCCCGCCATTCTACTTCATTGTTACTTCTTCTGTGACTACAGACGCGTACGGAAGCAACTTCATTATTTTAGATATTCGCGAGCGAAGCCAAGGGTTAAAGCTAGTCTATGATAAAACTCTAGAAACTTATAGAAAACTATTGAAAATTAAAGAAAACTGTAAAAATAATACACCACAAGTAAATTACAAGCACAAACGATAAAATTTAAGTTAATATGTCATATAAGTAGCGCCATCTATGTTCAAACACCCGCAACTCATTAAAAACTACCAAAAATAAACAAAAAACATAAAAAATTAAATATTTTAAGTAAATTACGACTAAAAACATTAAAAAACAATGAAAAATGACAAAATAACACAGAAATAACACAAAACACAGTTAATAATGACAATAGTAGCGCCATCTATGTGAATAATACACGCAACTTGTTGAAAACTACCAAAAATAAACCAAAAAGAAAAATAAAACACTACTAAATCACAACCGTGCGTCGGAAGATGTGATGTGGTGAAATGACAAAAATGACACAGCTATAACAGGAAATGGCGGTGGAAGTAAAGGAAATACGTCCATAAAAATACAATGCAATGCGCGAGCGAACACAATGGCGCGCAAAACGCAAAATAAAATCGCAAGAAAACGTCGTTTAGCATTTATATTTCGCCGTCGTTGAGACGGAGGAGAGATCGTGATCTACATTGCAAACAGAATGGAAATCCTCCATCACTGTATACAACCAACTAAACAAACTCGCATAGGCTGTGAGAACATGAACAAACACACACACCAAACACATATGTGTAGTATTGGTTGCGGAGTGAAAAATATCAAGTGTATAGTGAATACATTTACACAATTGTTGAGCATGTCCATCGATCAATTTCATATTCGATTTCAATCGTCGGCTACTCGTGTAATTAGAGTTTAAATAAATAAACACGTTACACGGGCATGTGTTTATTTATTTTAACGTTACAATACATTGTTTCATTGGAAATTTAATTAATTGACTTGATATGAATTATATGTTATGATGAAAGATGGCGCTGTTTTTCGAGTTGTTTGTGTTTTAAATGCTTTTTTCTTGATGTTCAAAGTGGATAATTGCATTTTTATGAGTTTATGATTTTACGACTTTGTTTATTCATGCAATTTGCACTATTTACTCGCAGACGCGCGTTTTTTTCGGGAATATTTCACAAGTGTGTGTAATTTTGGTTGCGTGCTTTAAGTATACTCACTTGAGTGGGTAATTTAGTATCAAAGATGCATCCACATGGCTTGAGTGCAATTTGTAGCTTTTTTGTTTCACATGAGCTGCGAGTTATTTAAAAAAATAAATAAAATAACAAAAAAATTGTAAAAATGTGAAATTTATTTTTAGAAATTTGCTCATAACTTTTGTTTGCCTGGATGGATTTTATCAAATTTAGTGTCAAATTAAAGAGAAAATTCTGAGGAATATTCTAGAGTTTATTTTAAAATTCATTGCAGCCTAATTTTTATGTAATCTGGGCTGGAAATATCAAAAATTGAAAATTTTCTATTTTTACCTCAGTTTTTTGCAATTAATATGGAACTAATTAACTTAATATTATATTTTTTTATATCATCGACGCAGAATTAAATTCTGAATCAAATGATACCCCACATGATAACTTTTGTACATTTTTGTAAACAATAACTCAATTTTACGTTAATATTTTTGTTAAAAAAAATAGTTTTTTGTTAATAACTTTTAAACTACTGCATGCAAATCCACAAAAAACATATCCATCACAACATAATTAAAAAATAAAACAATTTTCTCAATATCCACAGGAAAATAATTAATTTTCACCTCTTTTTCTTTCAATTTGCACTATTTACTCGCAGACACGCGTTTTTTTTTTTTGGAAATATTTCACAAGTGTGGGTAATTTTGGTTGCGTGCTTAACGTATACTCACTTGAGTGGGTAATTTAGTATCAAAGATGCATCCACATTGCTTGAGTGCAATTTGTAAGCAAAACATTCAACGTTTGCATGCGAACGGCGAACTTTGTGCATACACAAAGGTTAACAACACGTTGTGTGGACGTAGTGTATGTTGAACTCTAGATAACCAACGTTACATTACACAATATCTGGTTTAATTTAAGTTTTACTTTAAAGAAGATTAGTTGTCTGTGTTTTCGTTGAAAGTTAATTAATTTCGATGAAAACTTCAATTTGTGACGAAGGAAACTTGTAAAACTCTGAAATTTTGCTTTTAATTTAAGGAAATATTGTTTTTAAATAATGACAAGGTAACTTTATGCTTTTATTTATATGATGAGCGTTCAATTGGTTGCCTAGCATGATTAGACTTGTTAAAAAACTTGTTTTAAAAGTTTTACAGTTTTATTTTGTTAAATAGAAGTTTAAATGTTGTAAAAATGAATTTTTAGTAGTTTGTTCATTAATTAGTTGATTAAAATGAGTGGAAACTTCAATTTGTGTTGTGGAAACTTGCAAAACATTTAAATATTCCTTTTAATTATGTAAAATATTGCTTTTAATTAATAACAAGGCAACTTTCGTTCAACTGGTTGCCTACAGTATCTAAACTTTAAATAAACCGTTTTTCTAAAGTTTCAAGACTTTATTTCGCTAAAAATGAATTTTAATATTGTAAAATTGTATTTTTAGTAGTTTCTTCATCAAATAAGAACGTTCGACTGGTTGCCTAACATGTTTAAACTTAAAAAAAGCCTTTTTTCAAACTCTTAGAGTTTATTTTGTAAAAATAACTTTAAAACACTCAAAATATTTATTTTTATTAGTATCTACATTAATTAGTCCGCGAGACAATTAGTTAGCATGTTAATTAGCGTCTAAAGCAATTAGTCAGCATAGGTTACACACGGCGCTGATTTATTTTGTTTATTTTCTTTGTCTTTTCTCGTATTCCGCTGTGTTTTGCTTTTTTTCCGCACCACTTCGTTTTCGTTTCGTAATGTTAACACTCAATCACGTCGACATTGAGCACAGCCGCACCAAACAACATGTCATGAGCTCATGAGTCACATATACAGTGTGCACACCGATAAATAACACTTTGCGTCGAGTACAATTGAATCAAACACAGAATATACTCTCATCTTTAATGGGAAATCATTTTTTGTGTGTCTACCATGTTGTTTTATTTTTTTGTGATTTTGACTTGTGTATTGTGTATTGTTGGTTGCCTATGAGAAATAACCTCAATTTTAGGCGCTTTAAGCTGAATTAATAATGGCGTAATGGATTTAATAAAATTTTTAAACTTTTTAGAGTTACTAACGAGAGAATAATGTGAAAATGTAAAAATTGGGTTTGGAATAAACAAAAACTCGGGAGTGACACGTTTAATTTTTCACTTGCACTCTGTTTCGTTTTGGTGCGCTTTGATTTACAGTCGAGTGAATTGACGTGATGAGGTGTGTAGTTTTTCGTCTTTCAAAGCGTAAATTAACAATAAAACAAATTTTTTTTTCGTTTTACGCGTGAAAAAGTTGGAAAATAACAAAAAATAACGCGTAAAACGAGAAAATTGGGATTTTATAGGAGATTTAGAAAAAATATAAAATATTATTGTTAAAAAATCATGCAGAGAGGAATAATTAGTTTGTAGCTTTTTTGTTTCACATGAGCTGCGGGTTATTTATTAGAGAATTTAAAAAAATAAATAAAATAACATAAAAATTGTGAAAATGTGAAATTTATTTTTAGAAATTTGCTCATAACTTTTGTTTGCCTGGATGAATTTTATCAAATTTAGTGTCAAATTAAAGAGGAAATTCTGAAGAATTATATGAAATAAATTTTAAAATTCTTGGGAGCTTACTTTTTATGTAATCACGGCTGGAAATATCAAAAATTGAAAATTTTCCATTATTACCTCAGTTTTTTGCAATTAACTTGGAACTAATTAATTTAATATTATTTTGTTTTACATCAGTTCTG